AAATGCCTGGTTTTGCAACCAGGTTTAGCTTTATGCTCTGTTTGGCTTATTTTCAAACAAGGTCTGTAAAATTTCTATAGAATAGACATTAATTATTTATGTTATCATAACTATCGATAACAGATGAATAGTCAGTGCTTGAGAAAAGATATCTAAACCTATTGCAGCCAGGCTTAAATATTCTCCACTATAGATCAAATTATAAATAAGTCATTATCAAAGATAATCAATCGATAATGAAACAAATTATCAGTCGTTGATAATGAATTGATATTTATTGGTATTGTTAAGAAACGATATCGAATTTTCGCGATATAACTTTTAAATCAACCAAAACATAATCTCAAGAGATTGGGATGGCATAATTTTTCTAATTTTCATATTCGTTTCTAGCAAAAAATCATCTTTATTTTCTATAAATGGCCTACAAATTCGCTAACTCAACTTACTCAAGCGGGTGATTTCCGCGATAAAATAAGAATTTCAAGTATTTTTTTAGTCGATCTATTCTTCTTCTAGCCGCAAGCAGCATTATTGGCTTGGGCTAATCCGCTGGCTGCAAAATTTGACGCGTTCTGAGGTTTTTTTTTTGTTGCTAATTTCAAATTCATATATATGAATGATTCTCCGAATAAAATTTTTTTTTTTTTGCAATTTTCTCTAAAATTATTAAAAGCAAATGAATGATTGAATCATTAAAGACTGTTAAAGTGGTCTGACGAGCAATTATGGTCGACCGAAGCGGACCTGTTTTGATAAATGGTCAAATACTAAATGAGCGAAAATAAGCGAAATTAGTATTTGTCGACCGCGAAATTAAAGCATCGAAATGAGATGATTTTGCTTCTTCGCTTAATATTGTTTCTTTATTTTCGCCATTTATTTTCTAACGATTAAAATTTTTTTAAAAAAAATTTAGATATTCGCTTATTTTACTATTCACTTGGCGATAGAAGAAGTGAATCGCTGGGATTTTTGAAAGATTCTCAACGAGAAACCTCTTAAAAACGCTCGTTCGTTGTTTAAAATTTGTGCTTTTTGAAAAATTTTTTTTAGAATTTGTTTTTTTTTACAGTTTTTAAATAAATTGAAAAATTCTTTCTTTTTTTCGAAATTTTCATCTCCATTAATCATTAAAATTATTAAAATCATTTTATTTGAAAAAATAAATTAATTTGCGAAAAATTTTTTTTGTCTAAAATTTTTAAGCTTTAATAGTAAATTTTTATTTTGTATCAAAATCGCACCAAAAAAAAAAAAAAAACTATTCTCGCGGATTCTCGCGGATGAGAAGCAAACTATGTTTGAAATTTCTTCTCTACTTCCCGTACTATTCCCTTCCCTGTAAACTAAATATACGTTTGATTCACAGATTATATTATTCAAGATTTATTCCTCTACTAAATTTGACTATAAAAATTTGCTATATGATTTGATTTCATGTTAAATGATGAATGATGCAGATAACATTTATAATTAGATCATCCTTAGTTAACAACAAATCGTGAATCGACATTTTCCTAAAATCAGAATTCGATCAAACTTAATCAAGCATTTTTTGACTGACTGATTTTATCAGTTAATCACATTTAACTAAGGCGTCGATGCTTTCGTTGATAGCGGTAAATTTTCATCACTTTATAAACACAACGATTATGGATATAAGGCTTGCTTCTTATTTGTTCTATTGCACATGAGTCTGTGCATCCCTGTTTGTAGGTGTATCTCTACCTATATGCATGTGCAAAGGTGGTGTGTTTGAATGTCCATGTGTATGTGTGTATGTGTGTATGTGAATGTATAGGTATGCGTATATATATACAATAATATGCAACATAAAGTGCGTAAAGTGTTTGTGCACTCTTCCGTGTGCATCGTTTTTGTGTAAACTGACGAATTTGTGTACAGCTTAGCTTAGCTGCGAACTAACTCCCATAACTACAGATTCTTCAATATCTTCAGGATTATTCAAGTTATTAATTATGGGATGGACGCCGTTATTGGTGATTACGTTTATTTTTGCCTGTTTGCTAATTATTTCATTGATTTTTATCACAATTGTATTCCTAAAAATTGACCAAAATCGTTCAAAAATGCTTAAAGGTAAGAAAATTCATAGGAAATTTTTAAATATCGTTTAAAATGATTTTTAGCCGTTGGTTTGGAACGAAATTTTTTTTGTTATGAAAGGCTTTTTGTAATGAATAAATTAAATGAATGAATGATTGCTAAAGTGGCCATTGCGAAATCCACTAAGGCCTGTGGTACTTGAAAATCCGATTCGACTTATAAGATTATTTTTTAAGTATTTTGTACGAAATATTTTATTTCGATGGCAACAAGTCATTTATAATAATTTTTTTTTAAATGTAGTTTATAAAAAATTTACGTTCGAAAACTCGGAAAAATTTAAAAAATATTTTAAAATTTATACAATTTGAAAATATTGCACTGGAAAATCCATGGATTTTTCTATGAGGTCCATGGAAAAAAAAAAATTTTAATGACCATCGAGTTTGCATTGTTTTATTTATTATTTTATTATTTATTTATTATTATTTTATTATTTATTTATTTATTATTATTATTTTATTTATTATTGTTTTATTCGATATTTTTATTTAATTACGTTGTTTAATAAGTGGGAATCTTTTTAAGTTTAAGCGAAATTTTTAGCAAACTTTATATCCTTCCCAAATAAATTTTTCACACATTCCAAGATTATTTTTTAATATATTAATTTTTTTAAAAATTTGTCAATTTGTGACTTATCAAGAAATTATCAAATTTATCAAAAAATTTCCTTTTGTTTCATTCAAATTTAATATTCTAATAAAGTCTGATTTATTTAATTCGATACGAAAGCAATAAGAGAGAAAATTCGAATTTCAGAGAATTATCCGCTTCCTCAACAAATATAAACGTAAACGATGGGACAATTTTTTCATTATTTCAACATTATTGGTTGTTTCATATAATATTTGATATTTTATTTGTTGCTGGAAACTATAAAATTGTAAATTTTCCAATTAAATTGAACAATTAATATTGCTGCAAAAAAAAAAAAACAACCAAGTTGTATATGTTTATAAATGCAAATGTATAAATATTAAATAAATAAACAAAAATATTTTTAAATAAAAAATGATAGAAAAAAAAAAACTCACATGGACGAAATCGAAACAAATCTGCAGCCTTCGAAAAATTTACAGTTTATTTCGTGATCTTGGCAATGGTCACATATATATATATATATAATTTGATAAAACTTAGACTGATAAAACGACACATTAGTAATTCTTTGGATTTTTTTCGAACCGTTCGAAATATGTAAAAATTATTAATAGTTAACTGGTTGGTACTTGGTGTTTTTGGTTAAGCTAACTCTATTGACTGTTGGTACACTTGAAAATTTTTTCATGGGGATCACTTGGCAAAAGTAGTGAAAATGGGTGGCCAACACTATGCGGATTTTTTTAAAGGACAACTTTATTCTTTTGTTTGTATGATGATTATATTTCAATGTGTCGAGAAGTGCGATTTTCTGACCCATGGAAGCAATACCTATTACGATAAGAAGTGACTGTACCGCGAAATGAAATGCAAACAGGATTCACTGATAATATAGTTTTCAAGATACTACACTTTAAGACGGGCAAACTTACTGCAAACCATTAAATGTACTGGAAATGAATGGGAAATATCGAGGTAAATGTTATTCCAACTGTGGCATTTAACTGTGGAAGAGAAACAATTCGTCTATGTGGAAAAAGAATGCTACTGCTCTTTTTCCTTTATTGTTATACTTTAACTTTACACAAAAAGAACTGCTTGATATTCACAAAACAAAGGCTTATTTTTTTTTTCTCTAGGAAATATGTATAATATGCACTGCCATGGGTCCGAATCTCATCGTTTCGCTGAAGTGATCTGCTAGGCAAATGAAATCCAGGAAGCTGCTAGGCGTGTGATGCACATTTTGAATTATCTGCTTAAAAATTATTTTTCATCCTATTCTTAGTATATAAAAACATGATAGTTGCAATGTTAAGTCGATCCTATTCAAGCATCCTGAGTTAGATTTCATCCGTTGGAAGAAAATAGTCAAAAACGAAACCTTGGTAATGCTCGGGACAGATCTACTACCAATCATCTCATAAGTAGTCCTACCTTAGTAGTTCGTATGTAAAAACAGAAATATTGGGCATGCTAACGATGGTCAAAACAATGCGGTTCGACTCCAAACCATATTAAGGCGATATATGCCAAGATATGCGCCCACATCTGATGATTTGTCCTTTCGTAGATCACTTCCAGTTATCTGCATTAGTTCTCAAAAGATACAACAATCAGTTCCATCCACTGTTCACTTTATCAGTTCAACTAAAATTCATCATTTCTTATTTTTAAACAAATTAAATACATAAAAAAACTAAAAAGCTGAATCCAAACTGAACGAAATTCGAGTTTCTCGAGCTGAAACAATTGCGAATCAGCCAACACAAAATGTTTAAAATGTGAGTTTCACATTATACCTGTTAACATTGGTTTTAATAATCATTTATTATATAATCAACGATATATAAATCATTATAACAAAGCAACAATATAAACGTATAAAATTATTACGCACAGTGAAGAGTAAAACCGTTTAAAGACATGAAACAAAAACCTGAACATAAAAAATATTTAAAATGCAAAAAATCATAAAAATGTTCAGCAATCTTAAAAACATTTTTTGATCGTTCATCACGATGGTTTCATCGTCCATCATGATAAATACAAAAAAATTATCATTTTACAATCATCCTCTTTTAAAATGAACTAAGACTGATAAAAGATTTGATAAAATAGCAAAGTAGCAAAGGGTCTAAAATTATTCACCATTATGGATTAATAGAAATTAAAAATCATGAAGTAAAAAATTAAAATTAAAATAGGAATTTTTAAGATATGGAATTTGGAAAGTCAAGTGCAATATGCCATGAAAACAGCAATATTTAATTATCGCGATATTTTTCACTAAGTTTATTTAGAAGTTCTCGATGTGCGATTTCTGATTCGTCTGAGACCTATAAATATATCCACTATAACAATAATATTACATAAATGCGTATAAAGGATGTCTTCAATTTTCGCCGAATATCTAACAAGAAATGCGCTAAAAAACTTACTAAAATAAAATTATTACAATTTTATTATTATGATTATTACTACTTCTATCACAATACTTCTATCGGATGATTAAATGTGTTAGTGAAAAATTTATTCACTACAACAAAGTTCTGTTTTATTTTTTCATTTCCAAAAAGAAACAAATCTCTCACTACAGATGAAAACAGCAACTGTATATAACTACAAAGTCCTGGGAGCCCTCGTCTATGCCCGAGTGATTTTGAAATGATGAAGTTCTATAGACAACAAACGATATGCGCATGAAACTGATGAAAATCTCTAAGGAGAAGGGAAATACTTCAGATTCATTACGGAAAAACGACAATCCTTATAACTGATGAGGTCTTGACCACAGTTGGTAGAGTATTGAGAAGCTTTTCGAATGTCAAAAATCAAAAGATAATGATCTCTTTCTAAAATCTCTCTCTCGAATGATTTAGAAACAAGCTGAAGGCGAATTATCGAAGCATTTCACTGCCTCAAATACTAATAACACCTCAGAAATGGTAAAAAAACCGATGTAAAGGTTCATCTGCAGGCCGAGAAAATATTAAAAAGAATAATTTGACATCTTATCGCAGTATACTTGCGTATTATGAGGAATTTCCTTTTGAAATAAGAACTGATATACATCAAGAAAACCTTCGCACAAAATATTCAATTACTGGGTCATACAAAAAGCTTTGTATTCATGTCCGCATTCGGTATTGTATATTTTTTTTGTTGGCATGTTCCATCTTTTTGTTCCATGTCATGTTGGCTAACGTTCATATACTGCTCTGCTTATCGTGACTTCGCCTTTTGTAAAAGCAGTAAACAGTAGGTTCTTTCAAGTGATTCTGCCAACAAATTTTGACAAAGAACAAATGCTGAAGGATGCTATTTCATAACAACGTGATTTTCTTTTGGCACTTTATAAGTATATAATAAAAGCGAGCTGGAGGACTGCATAAAGAAAGAACAATGCAAAAATAATTCGTGAAGTTCAAGTCCGGATATAAAGAAAGGTCACAAAAATGCTCTTTTATAAATGAATTCCTAAAAGAAATGGTGAAGCCTAATCAACGAAAGAGTTTCAGCGTAAGAGATTGGTTTTTGAAGTGATAGCGTGTGGAATCGCTTGAATGCGAGGGAAAGAAAATGTTTGACAAATATGTATTTCAAGAAATGTCAAAAGGTCATATAAACGGTGTGTTGTTCGCTTCGATACGCAAATGACCTTTTTCTAAATAGGATTTTTATATGTGATGGAAAATGGAAACGATGACAGGAAAAGACCAGTGCAACAGAAGATGAGATCTGTATTCTGCTACTGGATTAATCTACTATATTTTCACAAAAACACTGAAAACGCTTTACAACATTAATTATTTTCAGAAGCTCAGATTTTTATGGAATTGATTTAATAAATAAGTGAATAAATGCAAATGCAAATGAAATAATGCTCTAATAATGCTTTAAATGCATTTGTGCTGGCAAAAGTGCACTAATTCTTCTTCTAACAGCTCTCACCATTGCTGGTTAGGCTGGCTCCGCTGGCTACAAGAGTAAGTGATTGCTAAGCTGCTAGTAGTAATAGAAACCATTCCTTTTTCCATCGTCTAAGTCCATATATCGCTGGTCCCTTGCACTCATTACTTATCTTTAGATAAAAAATATTAATTTCCGAAAATCTTTCAAAACATATGACATAAAACCGAAGGAATCCTTTGGATGACTCAATAATATTCAACAAAATGCGTTGCTGGCACTTCTTATCGCTTAAGATGATTGCAAATCAGTCCGGACCACTTATCATGGAATAAATGCATTAATAGTTTTATCTTTTACACTAAATTATGAAGAATTATAAAATGCCAGACCGCGTGCTGGTAACTGCAACAAAAACTGGATTCCAATGTAAATAAGCTATTTTCTTCTTACGAACCTAATGCTGGTGAAATACCTATATTCATATATGAATCGAAGAAATGGCAAATCCTAAATATCTCATATACAACCGTATAGCTGGCTGCCAAAGTGCGGAATTATTCCAATAGACGAAATTCCATGATGGCCGCACCCAGTAATGCTCTGTTCCATTTGACTAAGCCATTGTGGAATCGCCGTATAATGAGCAAAAAAATTCGCATTTATCTGACTATAATACGCTTGATCCTGTAGCTGCGATAAATGGCTACTGACGATGAAAAATATCAAGAAACATCTAAAAATTGCTGTCTAATAAATTCCACAGAATCGCAGCCATTTTCGCACATCATTAATACCATCAGCACTAAGTTTAACACTCGCAGAGAGTTGAAAGTCTCTGCTGATTTTTTGCTCTCTCACGTTATTTGTCGACTTTTACTTATCATATGATTTAATGCTATTCTCACCACAAACAAATTCTTGAGATAGATGTCAAAACGGCAAAAACCCGATAACTACAGTTTAGAGAGGCTCTAAACGCACAGGTGGCCCATCAACATATAGGCTTAAAAATTGGATCAAAGGAAGATTTCCGTTATTTTCTAATATGGCATCCAATTATGAAACTTAGAAAAGTTCAACCTTCGCAGCCAGTGATGTTAGTCTAACCAGTAATGTGTTATAAGAAAAATAAGAAAAAATTCATGTACAGATTAACGAACTACAACGAATTTCAACACAACAAGCACCACTCATTGCACCACTCTTTTGTGGCGTAAAATCGGCTCCGTATATGAATAGAAATTGAAAAAAAACACTGTGAAAACGAACTTGGAATTGCAGAATTTTCGCTGTGCCTAATGAAGCTTTGATTGCGGATGCAGATGAAGCGTAGACCATTTTCTTTTTTATTGGTGCACCATCAGGACATAACTGAACTATTATTTGTTTACTACATTGATATTTATTTATATTTTTATTACAAATGCTTCAGATGTATTTTAATTTTATTTTCAATTATTTTATAAAGAAAAAAACTAAAATGAACTGAAAAGATGAAATGAAAAGATAAGCAAAAATAATTTAAATTTCTTTTGGCTCTCAAAATAATATAGGCCTATTTTTTGAATTTCTCATTAAAAAATTGGAATTATGGTGGTAGATTGATGTGTTGCTTATTAGGTCATAATTAAGCATAATTAGTTCGATTCATGCCTTTTAATAATAGTGTCATTAAAACACTAAGTCATATGGTGCTGGAGATCTATCAGTGCTTTTGTTCCTAAGTGACCAGTAAAAGGACAATCTCACCCTTGGTAGCAGACAATGCATCCAACCAAATCAGAAATGGTAAATACTCTAGAAAAACTTAAAAAAAAAAGTAGAAAAGTATTTTCGAATTTTAAAACAATATAATTCTATTTTTGCTACCAAGCATCAGAGGTTCTATTTTCTCATTCTGGTACAAATATCATTAAAATATTTGTATGTGCTGGTGATCTCTCAAAAATTTCTAAGTGTGCTGAAAACCAACGAAACAAGCTTAAGAAAAGCTGAACAACATTCAGCTTTTCAACAATATTTTTATTTTTAATATTCTAAATGAAGGAAAAACAAATTCATTGTATTCCTTTTCTCAAATAAAAGTACTTTTAGGACATTTTATTAATCTATAGAAAAATTAAAATTTGCAATGTGTGTGTAAAATGCTGAAAATCATCTTTTTCCTTTAAAATTGGTCTGAACTTTTCGAAATCTTTCCTAATATCCTAATACCCTTTCTTATCCTTGGAGTCCATACCCTTCCAAAGAACTCCCTTAATTTTGAAATTTGAAATTTCTACTTTGCTCTGACCCATTAGTAATATTATTTTGGCCACTTGCAAGCTTTTAAATTCAAAGCTCGCCACGACTTCAATCTACCCACCATTGTACAAAATATTCTACTAACACTATTCTACCACATGATGTAGTCCTTAGAACCCGTTATAATTCCCACATCCCAAAAGAGTTTCCTCATCCTCTTTAACAACAGCACTATATATTCTTCTTTTATTAAAATAATACCTCCCTTTCAATCCCTTATACTTTATTAATTCCACGGATCTCGCTATGGCATCCTAATATATTCTCTAATCTCAGTATGTCTTTCCATTACATCCTACTAAAAATTGCCAAAAATCCTCTATGTTGTGAAATCTGAGAATCTTGGTTGGCCGCAATGAAAATATTTTTATAGGAGTTGTCTCTATCGCACTGCCCTGCTGTAATCCATCATTTTATCAAAAACTCTCCCCTCTTCCTAGGACTTTACTCCTTACATATCTAATTTAATATTTCCCAGCTCTATCCCAACGCGGTGTTAAATTTCACAGAATGTACCACAACTATAGTCATGCATTGTCAAATTACAGATATGACAACAGTCTAAGCCACTGAAGAAGCACTGTGGGAACGAGAGTTGCAAATTCTCTCGAAAATGTGAAAAATATTCCAAACTCCTCTTAATCATCTTTAATGCCTCATCAAGTCGTTACAAAAAACCAAATAGTAACTATCGAAATTCCTTTATAAACTCACTAGACCACATCATGGTGTCTTAACATTCTGTCACATTGAGCTTTTTTATCAAAAACTAGCAGTGCTACTTAAAAAATCTTCCACCTTCTGCGAAATGTCGGCCCATCGAGAAATTTCAGGAAAACTCCTGTAGACTCAGTCGAATGATCCTTTAATGCTCCAAAGCTCTTCTATGCTTTTTTGTCGCTTTCTAGCATCATCTTAGTCTCTTTCTACTGCTTTAATCCTCCCAAACCAGGTTAATTCCATCAATTCCCCTTCAATTCCATCTATTACTATTTCAGTCTCTATAAGCTCGTCCTGCACTTTTGCCAAAGTCGCAATTATAGATTAAAATTATATATGATGGATTAAAGCAAAAACTGGAAAGAATGGAGAGTATATCAGAAAAATATGAAAAACTACATCAAAGGCTCTTTAAAAGAAATATAACAAACTTTAGGAAAATACGGGAGCAAATAAGAACATAATTCCACCAGTCTGAATTCTTATTCTTTATTCTTAAAAAAAATATTTTGCAAACAAATAAATTTCAATGAAAATGAAAATTAAATATTTTTTACTTGAATAAAAACAATTTTATCCATTTTCGATGTGCCAGCACCCGGACGATTACATGAAAATTTGAAATCGAAAACTGCATAACGACAATCAGTGAAACCATTTGTTCTTTCTTTCAAATCCTTCACGAATGCTTCATAGGCGGTTTTTGAATTCTCTTCATAATCATCATTCGTACAACCAATCTAAAAAAAAATTACAAAAAAATATATAAATTTATATATACATATATATTTACACATATATATTATGTATAAATATACAAACAAGAAATTAAATGTGGATTTTAATAAAAAATTTCTTTCTAAAAAGAAAAGACGAAAAAGACAAATGCGGATTATAGCAAAATAAGGTTTCACCTGATTCCTACCTACTTCTATTAAACAAATCCCAAAAATTTTGAATGTAATGTATGAAAGATTAGAGAGTAGAATGCCTCATTGGATTTTTACTTTCATTTTTGTGCGCCGATGGTGTAGTTCCACTTATGACAGGATTAAATCTACCTTTTAAAAATCCTGAAGTTGGCGATTAACCCATAGTTCTATCGTTAAGTTACTCTCTAGCAAAAATTTATCTCATCCAACAAGCCAGCAGACCGAACCTATTCATAAATGATAAGTGCTTTTGGATGAAATGGAAATAAATTGTGAAAAAATTAAATAATACTTGATCATGGCTGACAGCTGCTTCGACAACAACTTCCTTATCTTCAATTTTATATATAATATATCTTAATTTATGCTTTCCTTCTGATAGCTGTTGAAAAATATTTTGGCATTCAGCATTAACCAATACACCAGAAGACATTACTAAAAATTTCATAGGGTTATTCAATAATTCAATTCACACGTGAAAAGACAGAATAATTGCGAATTGCAATTATACCATAGAAAGATAGTTAATTGCTTTCAGCCAGATTGCCATCTATAATCCCCAATCAATTAATATAGATGAACATATAGATGGACCAGTGATATACAGCATCCATTAGTGACGGCAATCAGACCAAGCAGCCTGGAAAAGTCTTACCCTTGCATCCAACGCAGCCAGTCTAACCAATACTGCTGAGAGTTGTTAGAAAAATAATCAATAATTAATAATTGTAAATAAACAAGCAACAAATAATATTAAGCATAAAATTAAATTATGCAATTTTTAAATCTACAAAAAAAATTTTGGGCACATTTTTAAATATAATAAATATTAGTAAAATTTACAACCAATCGAAAAAATTTTTTCAAAAAAAACCATTAACCCATTAAAAATTTTTTGGTACATTTAACTTTTAAATAAATAAATTCACATAAAAAAACTTATATTTAAAATAAAATTTTAAAAAATAATCATTTATATAAATCGGCTTAAACAGTCGAATGATACGGTTGCTTCGAATCGCACCAAGCATCAAAGCTTGCATTCACAACAAAAATAAACCCATAATTAAAAGACGACAGTCCGTCTCTCTATTATGAACCGACCCCAACTATAACTCCCAACAATTCAAAAAACTTTCAACCATGCTAGGTCACTGGAGCGAGTCGAACCAGAAATAATGAGCGCTTAACTATTTTCTTTTTCATTTAATCATATTAAGCAATTAGTTATAAAAGATATTCGTATATAAATATTAACGTTAATATTTTGGTAAGTAAAATTTAAAAAATTAAAATTTAAAAAAAAAATATTTAAAAAAAAATCTTGAAAAAACTTCATAATTCGCCATATATTTATTCTTGTTCATTACTAAAGCCAACCTTTGACCTTTAATCCCACAACCTCCAACCTTTAACCTCAGCAAAAACTGAAAAGAATGAAGAGCAAAGCAATGAAATGCAGGAAACGAATGATGGATGAATCGTTTAATTCTCAAAAACTGTCCACACAATTCGATCAATAAATCAATAATAAAATTAGAAACCGCCCAATGACCTTGGATAGGCATCGTTTACTTAAATAAATCAATAATTTTGCAAGATAATCATTTCAATATGATTCATCGATAATGAATCCGACGGTGATTCACCGCTATCTTTCAACTTTTGCAAAAAATTTTTTCACTTCTTTAAATAAATTCAGTGTTTTTTTAGAAAAGCACCCAGAATGCATAATTTAAGTCAACTTAACAGGTCATAGGTCAAAGGGTAAAAGTGATAGAAAAAAACAAAGGAGGTTCTCATTATTGAATCGATTTTTTTAATCAAAAACACCCTTTAAATTAGGTCATCACTGGATCGATTCCACTGCAAAACAGTGCCAACCAGTTCGACACGAATTTACTCGATCCAATTCCCACCGATCAATAACCACTGAAATATATTGTCTCAGACCGTTCTTACGACCAAATCTAAATAGAGATGGCCTGCAACTATAAATTTTAATCCCTCATTGTGACTGTTTTGACTTGGAATTATTTCCCTCAATTGGCCTAAACCTATTCATTTTCTCTTCGCCTATATTATTTTAATAACATTTCGAATCATTCGACAATACCTAAAGACAGAAATAAACAAATAAATAAATATAAAGTCAAATAGACCATAACAAATTAATAATATTGCACTGCAAAATTCGATAAATACTCCTAAAACGAAAGTTTTTAAGAAATTATACCGTAAACTCATTTATTTCCCTCTTAAAAATGGTTATTGAGTAGATGAATTTTTCGCGATTGAAGATTTTGTTCTTGAAACAAGTGCAGTTGTTTGATTAAATTGCCCCCGTTGTTTTATTGGAAAGTGCGGGAAGGGGGTGAGCCTAATCTTCGGCCCAGGTGGTGGGGGGGAGGTGTACCTGGAGTTCTGTCGCCGGGCAAATACTTAGTAGAGTTTGGTTCGATAAGCTTATGGAGCATCTCTAATTGGGAATGCTGAATGCTATTTGGAAAAAAAGCTAGTGATAGAGATTTAATAATTAAATTTTTTCATTGAAACGAATAGTATTTTTAAGTTAGTTTGCATCGTACTATTGTTTAATTCGGAAATAGCATTTTCGCGTTGTGAGGGAAAAGGGAGAATAAACTTATGTTTAATGAATTAATAATTAAAAAATCTCGGAAAAGGTTTTCTTAAATTCAACAAATTTCAAAAATTTTTCCAAAGTTTTATTTTATTTTTTGTGTAAAATATAAAATTATAAATAAAATTTTAATTTATAGATTTTTAATTTTATGGAGGCTGACAATACGCAAAATAATAATAGTAATTGCAAAATAAATTCTGTGAATAAGAATACTTATTCTTTTCCATATTCAGTTAAAAATACTAAATCAGGTAATTTTGTTTTATTTGAATTGTTTTGAAAAAATTTTCAAGGTTCAATTTTTTATTATTGCAATTTTCTTTAAATTGCAGTTTTTTATTTTTTAGTTTTATAATTTTTTTTTTTTTCAGTTTTTATTCAAGGATTAACTCAGTCGAATCGTTCACTTGCCGCAAAAAATCAAGAACTTCGTTTACAATTAGCTGCAGAAAAAGCTAAAGTTGCTGAACTACAAAAGGAAACAGTTCTTCTACGTGAAAAAAATGTTCACCTTGAACTTGCTGATGATAGTAAACGTTGTGAACTTATGGTCGCTAATAATTTACAGGTTTTTTATATGAAAAAATTTTTGAGCGAAAATTCATTTAAAAAAAAATTTTTCCTTGCATTGTCTTTTTTCTTTTTTTTTGCATTTTTTGGTTTTAAATCAACTAAAATTTCTAGATTAATTAAATCGCTAAATTATAGAAAAAAATCAAACAATTCGTGGCTATTGCTAATCGTGCAAAAAATTATTTGAGTAAAACTGTTACTGATTTTGATAACATTATGCGTTCAATTGAAGCGAGGTCAATTCATGTTAATTATTCAAAAAAAGATTTTATTTTTGCAAATTTTTATCATTATTTAGATTTTTTATTGTTGTTTGGCTTTTATTAAATCTGGTTGGATTGCTTAAAGTACAGTTTTTATGGTCACTTTTAGTGCTTTTAAGTTACAGGAAAAAATAATGTTTCATGTTTCAATAATAAATTTCATATAGATAAGAATTTTAGAAAATTTAATGCAATTTTAACGAAATTTATATTTTTTTAGTATTGATGAGGGTGAAGCAATTCGTTTTGCATCATTCAATGATGACGAACGATCGATTTTTCCTCGTTCATTTGAAACGAGTAAATATTTTATATACTGCAATTTTTAATTTATCTGATGGTATTTTATATGGATATGCCTTCAATAAAAGGAACCTCAACAAATTCAAATTTATTCAAATGATATATATTTATTCAAATTTATTCAAATGATATTTCAATTTTTTAGTAGATGAAGAATATCATGTTCAGTCGAATTTACCAACGATTTCGTTTCCTTGTTCGGGTGAAGATTCGGCAGATGTTAGTTTTTAATTATCAAAATAAATCAGAAAAAATATAGAATTTCGGAGGAGTTGTAACTTGTCAATTTGCTAAATATTTTACTGTTTAGTTCGTCATCTATTTTAGATAAGCGGCCAGAATAATCTGGGCAAAAACTCAGTGCGACAGAATCATCTAAATAGTAGTACTGATTTGCCACGTTCAGGTAAAGATAGGAGACGAGCTGCTGTCTTCTTTAGGGAAGGTTGTGTGAATTTTTGTCCTGTTCTTGATCATGCTCACATTCGTCAGGCAGCCGTGTCATCGTTATAAATTTTTTTTGAAGCGAAAAAATCATAAGACTGTGAAAAGTGATTCGTCAGATAGACATTTTTTTTCAAATATGTTTTTAATACTGTGGGAGGCATTGTAGATTTTGCCTTTTAGATCACAAAAACTTGCAGATTTTCAAAGTTCAAGTTCTAATTCACTTTTTGAAATAGTAGCCAAAGAATCGCTTTTCAATAATGCAGTGAAATCTGTTTCCAATAATGGTTTTTCTGATTCCAGTATGTGTGAGAAGTCATCAGATATCAGGATCTCTCCAAAAAGTGATTTTCTGACTTGTTTTTACTTAGTTATTATTTGCTTCCGAATTATTTTTACACTAAGGAAGTTTGCAGTTCTTCCAAATTTTGGTTCAAATTCACTTAATGAACCTGATAAAGAATTGAACGACGGTACTGCATGTGTGTCCAGCAATGAGTTTCCAGTTGTTACTAATTCCAATACATCGGGAAGACCGCTTAATTTTGGAATCTCGCCAAAAAGTAATTTTTTAGCTTAAATATTCGAAGTCTTTTCCCATCGATTTGTTAATAAAATCAATGAACATCTTTGATCAACATTTGTTGTATGATTATTAAACATATATTATTCCTAATTACCAACAGGTATTGAGACAACGGAATCGCAGAAACTGAGGCAACATTTGTTATGTGATGGTTATCGCTTTCGTAAGGATCATGTAAATGTGCATGGAACAACATCATGGAGATGTGTGGAAAAGGATTGTAAAGGACGTTTAAAATCTGACAAATCAGAGACGATCGTCATCGTTAGGGATCACAATCATGCGCCGACTCCGGGACGCAATGCTGTTGCAAAAGCTATGGCAGAACTGCGGCGTCGTGCTAGGACGACTATGGACAAACCTCGTCAGATAATCGAGCAAACTTTTAATGGTATTCCCTTAGAATCGATAAGTACATTGCCTTCGTTTGCTTCTTCTCAGCGTACTATTGAACGGGTGCGAAAAAAAGCAGCAGACTCCAGGAAATTTTTTAATTCGTCTAATGAAACCCTCATGGGAGGTAATGTTTCAACCCAAAATTATTTTTCCTTAGTTTTGTTGGCTACCAAGATATTCGAGATCTTTTTTTTGAAGTTTTTTTCATAAATTTTCATTGTGATCGGCATTAAATTTCCCATGTAAGTATAAAAGACTTTTTGGTAATATTTTCATCGAAATAAGTTTTCGCCTATGCAATGCAACTGTTTTTTTGCCGCAGGTATTTGTTATTTTGGGTTTCAAAGATTAAAAAGGTATAATGCTGAAATTTTAAGGTGTTTTCTGCACAGTTTTCTGCGCCTCGTACAATTGTATGTATTTTATCGTGGAAAGTTCACTCTCGCCTTTATATCTTTTTATCAACAAACTTTTGTTTAGATAACTTCGAAATTCCTTTATCTAATCAAATTTTATTTGCGAACGATGAATCTCATTCAAATGTTAATGTGGCACCTAATCAATCCAGTGATCTTCAGTCTGATGCTGGCAAAAGTTTGTATCAAAAGATTTATGCTTTCTTTTAGTTCATAATTTTTCTCGTTATAATTGCCATCCATATCATTTTAGATTTCTAATGTGTAGTGATTGGCAATTAGTCGTCTAATACCAAAATAGTATGTAGCTGGAAGTTAGCAGCTCATATTTTTGCGCTCAAAGAATTTCCTAAATTCCTTTAGTTTATTGCAGATGATTTGGTCAAAAAAGAAAATTCGCCTAGTACGTTTGATAGTACTGCTAAAATACAAGAAAAGTTGGTAGAAGATGTCGCTAACAATGCAATATCTATGTTTTCGATATCGCTGAAGGCATCGGATTCATTTTTACAAAATGAAGTAATAGAAATATTGGATGATGATGATGACCCAAGGTATGCAAAAATTTCTGTTTTCAATTTTCTAGTTATGTGTTACTTTTTTCGATTTTCAAATATTCAGCGTTCTAAATATATTATTATTCAGTAGTCTAGTTATAATATAAAAAAATCCCACTCAGTTAGAAAAAAAGAAAAAATTGGAGAGATATTGTATGGAAGTCCATTCTGCAGTAGGAAGACTGGAATAAGAAAATACTGATGCAACACTTAAAAGCTACAAAGCCACAAATTTTGATCTTTCGGAAATGATGAGGGAAGACTAATAGCTGTAGAGAATTTGGAGAATTTTGTTACATATGAGCATAAGATATCGAGATTGGGAAGGAGGGACACGATTTCACAGTTTATCGTTGCAGCCTCGAACCCTGCAATCCTCGAATGTTAGGATTGCCTTTTGCGAATTAAGCAAAGTAAATTGCACAAATACTTAAATAAATTTACTTATCAAATAAAATTTTATTAATCTTGTTACTGCAGGTTAAAATTTCTTTAACTTGTAGTCAGTAGAATCCTTGACTCGAAGGCATTGTATCTGATATCCAGTCTAATATTTCCTTTACTACGGTTGTAAAGTATTATTTTGTAACTATGTTGCGCAAACAGAAACCGCATTTCTATATTCCGTGCGAAAAGGATTTGAGAGTTCGAAAAAAGCTTTCATAGATTTTATTAAATTCATTTCATAGGGAGGAACGTGACAAGCTACCAAAGAATTTCATAGTACAAAAACGATCTTTGGTTCTGTTCCTATTATCAACATTTATTTTTCGATCAAAGAAAAGAAGATAGAGATGACATATGAAATTCCATATACTTTAGTGAAACACCACTTTGTCCTTTCATGCTTTTCTTTTAAAACTTCTTTCATTTTCTTATGTAATTATTTTTTTTGAACATGTTTTAGAGTTATATTTAATTGTACATATTAAAGATCAACAAAAGAACGTGTGGAGGAGATCAATCAAGCTGGTATTTCAATTAAAAGTGAATCTGGTTCATTTTCCGAAGAAAACGAGGCCTATTCACGGCCAAAAAGGGTAGCTGCTGAGCGCATAGAATCACTTAAAGAAGTTAATTTAAAGAAAAAAATGCGAAATCCTTCATAATATTTTTGACTAAAATTCTGGTCGATTATTGTGAAAAATAATTATGGGTGAAAATGGATCAATTGTTGAATATATCGTTCTTGCGTTTTCTAGTATGTTCGAAGAAAATATGATCGATTCTAAACCAAAGTGGATTGCATTTGAATGCATAAATTCACTTGAAAAAATAACTTAAGAAAATGTGAAATATTTTTAATTGCCGTAATTTTCATAATTAATATATTTAAATGTATTTGTACAGTTATTATATATTAATATAATGTGAAGCTATTATCAAGTTTTCAGTATTATTTTTGAAAAAGAAAAGATTAAAATTTCAAATAAAATTTAATTCATTCTATTTTTTTATTATAGATTTATTGAACTGTGAGAAAAATTTATTATTTTTCAGAAGTTGATTTAATCTTTTCCCTTTTTTTTATTGTTTTCGCAGTCTCCGATAGGAGAGCCCTCTGAACTTGTTTATGTAGTTATTTCAGTAGGGAGTTATTGTAATCTTTGAGATCACCATAATTCATTAAATCATTTTTCTTGAGAGGGAGAGACTCAATGTTTAAGTTGTTCAGTTTGCTGGGTTCTTTTACTTGGTCCATTGATATGTCGTGGTGGTGAGGCTTTGTATTGTCATCAAAAGTGCGTTGTATTACTTGTGATACTGCAGTTCATTGTTGGAACCATAGTCGCCAAAATATTCATCGTTAGCATCATTCATAGTAACCAAAAGGCGATCCTTGGTGTCACATTTTATTACAGTTAAACTATAAAATTAAAAAAGTGGAGCGTGGTGCACAGCACATCGCAAGATTGTCGCTAAAATGGAGATAAATTTAAGGGAATATTATGGGCTCGGAAGAAATATCAAGAGGTATGCCGGGGATGAAGTTCGCACGTTTTGCTGCATAAGAATTTGTTCGGAAAAAACTCGTCAACTTCCCTCAAACTGTCCTTGGTTTTTTTTACATAAATGTTCTCCCAATGCCGCCTCTATTATTCTTTCGTGTTAATCATGTTTTCATGTTAAGTTAATCATGTTCGTTCATTACTAATTCTTAAGTAATATCCTCTCATATATGCAGCCTCGTAGTCTTTCAAACTCTTATTCCACTGGTACTGTCCTCGATATGTCCCTTGGAAACAACGGAAGGTTTGTTGCACGGAGTTCACAGAATCTTGCCTCAAATTGGGCCCATTAAAAATACGGATGACTTATGTATGCTGCTTTGAATCTAATTTTATCTCCATTTGGGTTCTCGGCAAAAATTTTTCATCGTGAGAACCAGTGGAGTTAGCATAATATAATCGAAATGGTAAGCGCTAACGGTATATTTTAACCTTCCTCGATGTGTTCCTTAACGCTCCATCAATCTCTCTTGCACTCTTTTTCCATACCCTATTATTATCTTTGCCGTTTATTTCCTTAGATACCATTCAAATCGTTTGGTTGACATATTCATCAGAAATTGTTATAACGATTTATACCCCCCAAAATCTCCTTAATCCTCTACAATATTCCATCAGAGCTTCTGAATTATTTCATTAAAATCAGCATATTCTTAAATTTTCCCTTACAGTGTGAAATATCTCTCTATGGCACCTCAACATTTCGCAAAAAGCTCGTTATTCTTTTGTCCACTTATATTCGAAAAACTTGTAAAACTAGCCACAAAATCCCTCTCCGCACTACTAAAGCTCTTAATACCGCTTAATGCTTGCCATATTCTAAGTGAAGCAGCTTTCCCTGTCAAACACATCCATTATCTAAAAAAACTTTTAAAACACCACACCTTTTACCAAGTCAGTTTGAAGGGTAATATCATTGTTCTTGAATGCTTTGATTATTGTAAATGTTTTACTGAGCTATAGAAAATTACAACGAATGCTAGACTTTATGTCGAAAACTGCATGAAAATGGGTCCCTTATCAGTATAACTGAGGAGAATTAGTCTTTTCGTCTTACATTATCATATAATAACATTTTTTCGTATAAATTCATTATCAATAGAAATAAGAGAGTATAAAGAGAGTTCAGGAAAAGTTTTCAGAAAACTTCGTGGATTTTTGTGGATATTGAAAGTCTTTTACTGTAAATCGAACTTTCTAAGGCACTTTTACGGGGTTTTTAAAGAGTATTTGCGAACTATAGCAGAGCAAATCTCTATGAACTAAATGGAAAAAGAAGAAATAACGAAGTTTTTATTGTAAATGGAATTGAAATGATTAATTTAAAAAGGCCTATCGATTGATAAGTTAATGAATTTTTTTTTTCAAAAAAGAGAAAAATCAAAATTTGCAAAAAGAGAGGAATAAAATCGAGGAAAAGTGGAAATAAGAGGAAAACACAGTAATGTGAGATCCTTCATTTTCCTCGCTGAGTGTTCATGCGTTCATGAGTCTTTATAAGTCGTACACTCATTAAATAAAGGTAAATGCTTACACACAACTGCAAAATAAAGTCGAATCTAACAATATAGAGACATCGTATATTTTAATAATTAGCTTATCACTGATTCCCTTTATCAATTTTTTTTATTAATCATTGCTTAATTTCAGAGATTTATCTATTTGATTTGTTAAGATCGATTGGATGATCTAAATTGTTCAGAATTTTTGCAATTTTTTGCAAAAATTGCTTGCATTGTTTTCTGCATTGATTTAGTAAGTACGCTTTTCAGTTATTGCCATCAACCAAAAATCTATGTTTTTTTCATTATCAGTAGCTTTTGTTCTTGATATTTTATTTCTTTATTCTTCATTATTAGGTCAAAAAAAAAGTTGAAAAAAAAAGAATTTTGACGAGTGCACTATCTTTCGATACATCGAGAAATAAATTCTGATGATTATACTTTATATTTTCCTGTAGTGAAAAATGAGATTTATCAGTTACAAATGATAAATTTGATAAAAAAGATCGATCAAGTACATGTAGGTCCCACAGTTAATTTCCATATGATAATCATTAAATCAATGCGAATGTGCGGTCTATATTTTTAAACGCAAATATACAAAATAAAATATTAGAAAAAGCAAAAAAAAAACAGTATTTATATCTTAAACTATGTCACTTCTATGTTCAATTTATAAATAAGATATTTTAAAATAAAATATTTCAAAAAAAGATAAGAAAAGGTATACAAATTGTAAGACAGGGAAAAATGAGATCATTCTTATGATTTTTATGAATTATAAAAGTTGTTAATTGCAGTGATAACAATTGTGATAAAACGATTGACAATATAAAATTATATCAAAAATGATTGTTCAAAAATTAGCCTTTTATTCCAAGTACAAAATCCAATGGTGACTGTTAGGTGAAACTTAAAATGAGAAAATATTCAATAAATACAATTAATAAAATAGAAATTAACATTGAGATTTATTAATTTGAGACCGTATAAGAACTGAACTTTTAATCTTTTTATCAATGATTTGATAATTTTACGAAAACTTCGAAAGATTCTCATCTAATGGTTTAAAAAAATTATATTACCTGAAAGAATTTTTTATGATATCAAAGAAGATTGATCTATTTGTTAAGGTTTCCTCGTTCATTTCGAAATGATTAGTTGAAATGCAAAAAAACATAATTGAAACTTTTTAATTATAGTTTACCAGATGGAACATTTTTTCCTAGGATTCATTGGTGATCCCAGATGGCAATGATAAGCACTAGCAAATTCATGGCTATTACGAAGGGGTATAATGGCTCTATATTTGTTTGGTGCATGAACATCAGCCAATATAAGTTGAACGTAATGTTTTGGACGAATGAGCGAGCACCAATTCTGAAAAAATTTTCATTAAATGAGGATTCAGATGGATTAGAAGAGAAAATGTGGTGCTTAGTATTTACAAGCGTAAATTTTAATAAAATAAAATTAGCGGAATTCTAAGATTATAGTTTTCATCTTGTTTGCATGATTTTAATAAAAAATTAGTGAAAAATGTCCATTAAAAAAAATTACGTTTGCATATGCCAAGAAAAACATTTGTTCACTCGAAAAATTTTGGAAACCAGGAAGAGAGGCTTCACTCGCCGAATTATCCTTTAACCATGATTTATAAGCCTGAAATAACAAGTATAAGCGGTCGTATTCTAAGTTTACACTGTATTATTATTATTATTTTATCATTATAATTTATTATTATTATTCATTATTATTTATAAATTATTATTATTAGTTATCATTATTATTAATTACTATTATTATCAATTATTATTAATTATTATTATTAATTACTATTATTGATTATTATTATTAATTATTGTTTTAATTATTATTATTATTAATTATTATTATTGATTATTATTATTAATTACTATTATTAATTATTATTATTGATTACTTTTATTAATTATTATTATTGATTGCTTTTATTATTATTAATTATTATTATTAATTGTTATTATTAATTATTATTATTAATTGCTATTATTAATTGTTATTAATTGCTGTTATTAATTATTATTATCAATTATTATTATTAAATATTATTATTATTAATCATTATTATTATTGTTATTATTATTATATTGTCGATATTATATTATATTATATTATCGATTATTATTTTATTATATTATCGATTATTGATTAAATTATTGTAGCATTTTGTGGAAAAATCACCACATTCTTCAAGGATTAGCTGAGTCTAGTGTAAGCTGATTCTTATAAATAATAGATCTTAAAAAAAAAACAAATTTTTCCTTTCTTAAAAAAATTTCACTTATAAAAAGCTTTTTCTATGCCCATGGTGTGCATGTGATAAGATCATCGAGCAATATTAAAAATGTCACATGAGTTCTCGAAAGGAAGTCATTCGGCTCTATGTGTACGCGGCGAGATCTTGGTCATAAATGCCTGGAACGTTAGAACACTTATGAATGTAGAAAGCCAGGCGATAATCATTCACACGCTATCCAAATATAATATGCATATCGTTTTGCTTCCAGAAGTCTGCATTCATAATTCCAGAGAGCCCAAAGCAGTGACTATACCTGGTTCGACTAAGAAATACTGGCTGCATCACATTGGTATTTCGAATAATTCAAAGAGAAGTCGAATCGCCATTATCAAAAATCACAATCAGTTCAAATCGTATGGAACCCTTTACATGACTAGTTGGCCACATCTGCTTGCAACTGGCAGTACCTGTCCTAAAAAGCGATCTAACATTGACCGGGGGGAGGGGGACTTACATGCTTATCCTTTGATCTTCTATGCCCGGCAAATATAGCACTGAGACTAGTTTGCCAATGGAGAGCATTTTCTTCGCTTTTCTAGACTTTTGTATTTTTAGCACTGCATGCTTTCAGTACAAAAAGGTTCTGTAGATATGCATATCACCGAAATGTTTCCATTCGTCTCAGTTCTGCACTCCTTTTTCCATCTTCCAAGTCCATATATTGCTGGATCCCTCATGCATTTAAAATCTTTTCTAATCGTCAGTCTAGGCCTTGATTGGTCCTGTTGGTCCTACTCTTTTATGAAGCTAATTCATCACAAGGTTCAAAACTGTTGCGAGATATACGCCAATTGTGCCAAAAATATCTCCCATTATCTCATTACTGTTTCTCTGTTTATATAAAAGCTTAATAGCAGTTTTCCTCATCCATTACCTTTTATATTATATTAAAACTGATAAAGATACTCGAGAAATATGCTTCTATATTCTTCAGTGTGGTTTCCCGATGAAGAGGCCTTACTGCAGTATGGAACTGGCCATAACAGAAATGATGAGCAGGAAGGAAAAAAAAAAAAATTTACGACATTACTAAGCCTTCTAAGTAATTTTATGGAAATAATTACAATAAATTAAATCCCTTTTGTTGAGATCAACGGTTTCAGATATTAAAATAAAGTTAACGGGACAATAAGCCGAAGTCGAATACTGTTGAAAATACAAATGACAAACCATCAATGCCGTTTTAACTCCAGCGTTATCAGCAATGTTTTCACCGACTGATAAACGGCCATTAAGATGTATGCCCACTTCTTCGACCTTAATGGAATCATATTGTCTTATAAAGCATTCTGCTTTCTCATGAAATTTTTTGGCAGTAGCTGTTTCCCACCAATCATGGAGATTGCCTAATTCATCGTAGCGGCCACCTGAAATGATTATTTCGTTTTGCAAACATGAAGTGCATGAGTAGATTTTGCCTTTGGAAATTAGGTTAATTTTCCAAGAATGCTCTTTTTTCATACAAAATGATGTTCATTATATATTGCTTTAAAATTCCATGGAAAAAAAGGTCATCTTTTTACTGGGAATAATTATTTAAATTACAAATTCGTGGATTATTTCACTAAAATAAAGTCGATCTATTGTAGTCAATGTGTTTAACTATAGTCGCATATAAAGTATTCGGTTAAGGTGGCTTACATAAATATACACATCTCACAAATGTGGAGAAGGCAGTATATGGAAAAGAGGACAAATGAATCTGGAAGGATTTAAATGGCAGAAAAAGGTTGAAAATGATATCAATGGCGACAGAAGAATAGAGTGACACGTTGCACTGTTAAAAGGATATTTATGAGAAAATGCGGAAGTTTTTTTGTAAGACATGACAGATTTACAGAGATTATCAAAGAGTACCGACCCGGGGCTTAAATTTTGCTGGCTTTGATTGGTTTCAGAGATATTAATTTGCTGAAACGAAAGTGAGATTTTTTAGTATGATAGGGCACCATAGTGGGATCTGATGAAGCTAAGACAATTCAAAAAAAAAAGCAGTATTAAAAAGTATCGAGAAATTTGAACGTTATAACAGGTTCTGAGGAACTTCGTAATCAAGAGACTAAATTTCTATGTGATCAAGAAAATTTATGATAACATCACTAACGGTTGTGGGCAAAAGATCATTAGACTTAATGAAGCGAAACATATCGGAAGCATATCGACTTTCACTGAGTAAGGAGGAGAGGAGATATAGCGAAATGTAAGAAAATTAATCATTATGAAAGTAAAGTGTGAAATGATTGTGAGGAATAAGCAGAATCTAAAAGGATGTTATTAGTGCGTCAGGACAAAGGTACTTCGGGTATGGATGAATGGAATTATAGAAGTTAATAGCCGATTCTAAAAGAACGCGCGATATTTAATTTATTCGATTTCGAGAGAATAGTAGATGGATTTTTTACCGACATACATATATATACTAAATTATTATACATCTGCCCAAGAAATTTATTTTCATCAACAGAAAAAAATTTCTGTAGAGGGAATATCATTAAAATCTTATTTAGCAACCTTGATCATCGAATGCATGTGAAACTTCGTGTCCAACGACTGCACCAACCATAGCATAAGTTATATAGTTTGGTACACCAATTGTCATGAAAGGAAACTGCATTATGCCAGCGGGAAATACTATAAAATATGATCGACATGAATATTTTACGAGAATGAAAGCAATAAAATTTTTATCATATTTACTCATTTCATTTAAATTTGGAGCATAATATGCATCAACTTGAGCTGGGCTCTGGAACCATATAGATCGATCGACCGGTTTTTTGAATCTCGAAAGTTCTTCAGCTATTCGTGCGAGTTTTATTTTTATTGTTAACTGTATAAGTGATTCAGCTGAATGTACTTCAATCTAAAATCATTTTATTCTTTGAGTTAATTAGCACAAATTTTAATATAATGAATGGTTAATTATATTTGCAGAAGGCCATAAATGAGAATTCATTTTCCATCAGAATTACTTAAGCTTTGCATGATTAATTTTTATGACAAATTTACGTCATTCATTTGCATGTTTATAAAGTGAAAGTAAATAGTGAAAATTTTATGAAAATGAACAATAATAATGTCCTTCTTGAGATTTAATTTGAAATTTGCAATGCACTATCTATCCTATTATTCATAAGTTTAATCTTACATGTCCCCAAATGGAATTCATCCAAGTTTTATTGAAAATATACGGTGGAAATCCACTTTTATATTGGACGTGTTTGGCTTTAATAATTGCCTTCCGCCTCGTAATTTCATCCATCCAATCGACATTATTTAACTGTGTTACAAGTTCATTTTTGAAATAGGTAGTCAATTCGAACATCTAAATTCGAAATAATTATTATTTTTCATCTTTATTGAGGGATTTATTACGAAAAGAAAATGCACATATTGGTGAAAAAGGAAATTTCGATGGTTCGTTTCGCAAACGTTTGGTGATTTATCACATGCTCGCCAGCAATAATGTCAAAAGTTATAAGAAATTACACAGAATGTCATTTGTGCTTTGATGATAATTGCAATGATTATAGAGATTATAGTGATGAAGTAATATAGCACGAAATGGCTGTCCAACTCTTAAACTCGCACTCAGTAGAACAAAAAGTTTTGACGAGCACACCTAGAGAGCTCAATAAGAATTTTACTTCCGTTGAACCAATAAGGTATCTAACTATTTTCTAATCTTTTTATACTTTTTATACTATATCACATATATTTTATTTGCGGTTTAAGATAATTCCGCATCACTTAGTTTGTTTGACCTAATTTGACTTAATGAAGGCAAAATGTTTAGTAATTATAGAATATATCTATCGGCAAATAGCAAATAAAAAATTTGATTACAATTATTATCACAATTTGAAATCACATACTTTATTCATGGCTTGTTTTTCATTAAAAAAATTTTCTATATATAATTTGCCGACGGGTATGTCCATAATCATCAGTGAAAGAAAAATGCAGTCTTCCCACCTGAAATTTTAACCAATTTCTAATCGCAATTCATGATTTATCACTAAATCATACGCAACTGACTGAATGAATGATTTTTCTTTCTTAAGCAAGAATGGCACCTTTCAAGAGCTGGAGAACTTGGCATTCCGGTTAAATTTGCTTTGAATGCATAGAAAGGTTCTCGTATTTGCTCAGGTAGAAATGATGAATAACCTTGAACTGTACGCCATTGTAAATAATTAGCTATGACCCGCTTATTTGTTGATTGCATTACACGCTTAAATAAAATACTCTCAGAACATGCTCGTGAGCGATATTAAAGGATTGGTCGGCAAAAATTCACTTTTCCCCCCACCTGAATACTTCGAAAATATTCGATTTCTCTTATAATTACAGTATCATTTGGAGAAATTTCAACAATTCCATCAAATATTTCTCTTATATATCCTTCTAGATCAATCTGAAATGGTGCAGATTGCAGATAAATCTAAAAAAATTGCAATAACTATATTTCAAGAGAGAGGATAAGAATGAAGAAATTTGATGCGCTCAAGCAATTTTAACCAGTTTTAAAAATATTCAACAAGCTAAATTAATTAATTTTTTTTTTCAAATTTAAAATGAGGCAACTAAAATAATACAAAAGGAAAGGCATTGCTAAGTTGCCAAAGTTGATAAGGATTATTGCTTCGTTCAGGGTCACGACGAATCATTTCATCTGAAGAGAAATCCACTAGTCTCAATTCGAACTCAATCGCTTCTTTCATATCATTCTCAGCAATCTTCCTGTCCGCACCTAAAGGATCAACAAAAAAGCACTGATTGACTAATAAGTTAATAGATGCTTTCATTTATAATGCTTTTAATCAACTTAACTAAACAAGTAAGGAAATTCACTCACCTAAATTTGTCGCAGTATCAATCATTAACGACAAATAATTTTGTATAGTCTGATCATGGAAGCCCGTCAAATAAGGCCACCTGGATCCTATGCCCCACTTAGGCTGATCCAGCTAAAATTCATAAAACAATGTTAAAATAATGTTTATAACACATTACAATGTTTAAAAATTTCAAAGCATTGAATAACGGATATGGCATATTTATTTAAACAAGTTAATACGGATAAAATTTGCTGAACAAGTGGAATAGGATACACCTCGATTACATTACGTGAACTGTTTTTAGGATCTTGCGTGACTGCCAATTCCATTATGACAGCATTCATACCAGTTTTATTAAACATTATAGCCAATTGTTTTGTCCAATTATGAGGCCAACTTTTCCAATTTCTTCCTTCCAGAACAGGCCAACCACCCGTCAATTTAAGCAGTCCTCGAAGGGCTTGAATCCCTTTCCATTTCGGTATGTCTGCCATGAAATGAATTTAAAAAATAAAATTTAAATCATGAATCAAATTTAAGTCAATAAACCATAACTCATTCACCATATTTCATACAGTGATCAGCATTCCGTGAAGTAACGCGTAACATCTTTAAGATAATTTTATTTATGTTTATCACCCAAATTCATGCCACACGAAATACCCATGTATGAATATAAAGCGGTCAGAAGTGAAAAATACCTTCTTCCATGCATTTTTCATAGTATTGTTTCGCTAAACGGTCCCATGGTTCTTCGTCATCTTTTGCTTTTATCTGGAATTATCGAGAAGTTAACAAGAATTATCAAATATATATGCATCAAATAAGGCCACCTGGATCCTATGCGATTAAATATGGCACTAGCAGTTTTGGCCAGACACTTCAAATACTCCAAATACTTCACCGCAGAGCTTCAGGTATAAATCACGTAATTGTTCATGACATGAGTTATTCTTCAAAATAATAAGCAGAATTTCCAGCTATTCTAAGCAAATTTAGTCCCTGAAAGCTCAAACTCACTTCAAGAATTTGCTTGATCTGCTTGTACAATCGAGTTTGCATATCGCTCAAAGTATGTCGGGATGCTTTATTTGATGGCAAATGTCGATTTAATGGATAATTACCACATGCATACTCATAAAAATCATCACACGGATTTACCTAAAAGAGTGTGTATTGAAAAGGAAGCAAAAAAATATCTAGTTCTTTAATCCATCCTTTTAAAAACATCCGCTTATAGCTATGTCAATGATACATTGCAAATAGGCAATTAACGATGCTTGCCGATTTTGATAACGTGAAACAACTGATTAGGCGTACGAAATAAAGGATATATTCAATTTGGTCCTAATATAATTAGACTTGTCGCCTGAACCGTTTTCAAGAAAAATTATTTTAGAAATATTTTACAATTTACAATTTTATATGATTTATCAATTTTATCATTTTTATATGATATATCTTTTTTTTTTTAAATTTTATATCAATTTTATATTTTATTTTATGGAATATCTCTTTGTTCACTTGTTTGTGCCAACGAGCAAAGAAAGAAAGTCGCAAAAAAGCTAAAAATAAAGTCTATAAGTTGACTAATCTTGCCACCCAACATTTGGTTTTTTAGGTGGAAAGGTGAATTGGAGATGATTTTTGCCATCATTTAATGATTGTTTCAATGCGGTCGGTGTGATTTCTTTTTAAGAACACTCACCATTACTGGGTAGACTCGCTCCACTGGCTTGTCGCACTAGACAAATATGCCAGGGAATCCCTTGGCGATAGTACTACAGATGAGTCGCCAGCATGTCGGTGTGAATTATCATATTGTCATATTATCATATTACGAATATCACAGAAAGCTTTTACTTTATCATTAAGATTTTCAGCCAAAAAACCCGCAATAAGCGCACATTCTCGCGTCGTGCAAACAATTCCACTATGATGAATAGCCATTTTATCAAATGCGAATGGTTTCTCAATAGTTCGAAGAGATGAAAAACGTGATGAAAATAAACTACCTGAAAATTTTCATGAATTTTAAGGGAAAAAAATGAGGAAAGAAATTATTTTAACCATCGATAATTTGCCGATATCCATCTAAGATGAGAAGCCACAGCACGCATACACCAATAAGAAAGCATAATAATGTTAAGGATGCAAAAATTAGGCACACTTCAAGGCGACTGAATCCGTACAGACATTTCCTGAAATTAGCATCACCTTTTTTTTTCAGTGGAAGTTCGATAGTTTCATCACTGAATGAATTATATAGTTATACTCATGAAAATTCATGGAACTCATGAAATTAGAGTCTAAGAATTGTCTAATTTAAGATCTCTATACATATTTAAAACTATTAGATGAAGTTGATATTTCGAATTTTAAGGGAAAAAATTTATTGTCGATATTTATCATCTCATATTTAGATATGATCAGCATTTAGATATGATTTCTTTTCATATCATGAATTTTTTAAAAAAAAAGGAAGGAAAGCTAGCACTAAACTTTTATCATTCAATAAATTCGTCTGCTCAGGTTATCTTATCAGGTTATCTCTCTATAAATGGAAAATTAGAGAGCGATAAAGTTAATTAATCTTATTTGATTATTGCAAAGCTTATCAGTGTGAAGTCTTTGGGAAGAAAATGCAACTAAATAGTTAAGAAAATAAGTAAGTTTTGCCAAAAAACTTACTTGGCAGAGTCGGCATATCTTGGCCAATTATTAATATTCCGATATTCACAAGCGATCATACCGATTTAAAGAAGTCAGAGAAGCATCAGAATTGTAAAAAGCATGAAAATGATGGATCGAAACAATTCAAATTTGGCGAAATAGCAAGATTTATTGGCCATATTAGTAAAAGCAACTATAAAAATAAATTTTTCATGAATAGTAATGCAGCATTTCTTAAATATTTGCGATTTCTCTTAAAATATGCAATGGCAATTATTACAAGTTGATATTTCAAAAAAAAAAAGTGATGTTGATCGGAATTTCAGCTAAATTTTTAAAGTAGTAGTGATAATGTGGCCTTCTTGACATTTACTATACCTGAAAATTTTTTAAAAATATCATAAAATGAGTCGCAGATGAGCATCAGAACTACTATAAATTGAGCTAATCTATAAATAATAGCAATGAGTACTATTATCAATATGAGCGATGGCTATTTATAAACGTAAAATCCAGTATCATATCACGAAATTTTACACAACAGTATGATCATTAAAAATCAAATCAGATATTAAGAAAAACAGGCAATATTCAAATATTTAAATTTGTTTTATGTAAAGAAATGATTCTATAATCAGAAATTAGCAATAAATTGTTAAGAAAATCAGTTCTTAATTATTTGAATTATATTGTTGTACTGATAATTTTTCAAGGCAGTTCAAAGCAGTGATTGTGTGAAACTGTGAGTAATAAATGATGAAAAATACAAGTTTTTCTATGCATTCTCAGATGAATTTAGTAAAATTTGATATGAATTATAAAAATAAGATTTATGCAACACTGAAAGAAATTTCAATTGTTGTTAAAAATTATAGATCTTCGCAGCAAAAATGAATGGTATTACACTGCAGTAGTGGTTCGTTAGACAACTTTGAGCTCAAAGATAGTATTTCAACTTGTAATTTGATTCCTCATTTTCAATTTGCAGTTTTAATCCTGATAGACATATTTCGGAACAATCACAACCAACGAACAAACGAGAAATGAAAAAAACAAGAGCATTGACTACTATTTCTTAAATTTGCATGCAATATTAAAATGTGTCGATGAAAGTTATCATAAAAAAACGGTAAATATTTCTCTTATATGGCTTCATTTTATTCTAGACACATATTATTTATTACCTTTTCATCAACTCATTAACGAATCTATCAAATCCGCTATTTTTCTGGAAACCATAATCATTCACTACACCAACATCTCTCATCTTTTTCACTACTCATTGATCTTACTAATGATTTCGTTATATTTTACCATTTCAAGGCTCAAAACACGTATGCCAGCCAATTCTCTTATAAAAGAAAAAAAAAAATTTGCAATTAGTAAACTTTTTTTTTTTGAATCGTAAGATTTTTAAATGAACGAATAGGCTGCAAAATATCTTACGAAAATTTACAATTATGTTCATGTTAAAGTGTAAAAAAAAGGCCGATTTTGGTAGATTACGAGAAATTTGATGCGATTATCACCGTCCAAGAAACTTCTAAAAATAAACCAATTTAAATTTCGAAACTGAACTAAGAATTGAATAAATCGTAACGATTTAAAAATTAAGATTTCAGCATAGCACATAGAAATACAAAAATGCTAATTAAAAAATTCATAAGAAATTTCTCTCTATAAAATGAATTTTTTTCTTTTCCTTGAAAATAAAATTGCTTATAATTATTAATTATTATATTATAAAATTTGCGAATATCTTGGATGATTGATTTGAAAATGGAAGATTGGTGATAAGTTAAACTATTTTCTATGATAAAATGTTCAGTAAACAGCAGCCGTTCGTAACTATTTCATTCATTTCATTGATTTTATTGTAAAATGAATAAAAATTGTTTAAAAATATTGAAACATTTAATCCGAGAAGCGTAATAATACAAAGAAATACAAAATAATTTGTGCTATATTTGTTAAATTTATTCATTCCAAAATTATTTATATTTATATTATAGGCAGTTTCACTTTTCATAACCCATATTAGTAATTGTTCTACCAAAAATTCGTTGAACGATCATAAAACAAGAGATTATAAATTAGAAGTGCATGGCATGGAAAATAAGAGAGATCGAATTAAAGCAAATGGAACGGAGAATTATAGATGGAAAATTTAGTTAGTAATATCTCAGAAAAGTCGTCTAACCATCAGCTAATAAAAATAGCTTAGAAGCTTAGAAATTCTGGAAAGAGTCACTGAACTTAGGATTCACCGAAAATCCTTTAACTCTTTTAAAATTTATATTAAATTCTTTCAACGGTAGAAAAATTTATGTAAAAAAAAGTTGAGTTGTAAATCGCAATATTTTTTACGAATTAAATAGATGCATTTAAATGTTTCGTTTTAGAAGAAATAGGCATTGAAAAGATTATTTTGCTACAGTAGTAATAAATTAATTAACAGTGATAAAACTTCAGTTCATTGATTTTGAAATAAATAATTTGCTTTAATATTTATGTTGCTTATATTCATATCATTTTTTTATCATTTCTGATTGGGCTCAATTCGTAGAGAAATGGACGAATTTTGCCAAAGGACGAATTCAGTTGATGATAGAAGGATGGATGAGCCGCCAGCATCATCAGAATTATTTTCGAAAAACGGCCTTATTCAAGTCGAAACCGAAAGCAGGAATCTCAGCAACCGTATTCCGCACTCTGAAATAACAACCAACAACAACCAACTCACTGAGCCATTTCAGCCATAGCCATAGTTTTTTGCAAAAATAACAATTAAAAAGCGACTAAATTAGCGAAAAATTTTCTTCTATTCAGATTGTAGATATAGTAAATTTAGTTAAAAATTTCATGATAAAACAATGATAAATTTTAACTGAAAGGACGAATAATTCTAAGAAAACATAGAATATTCAAAACAATGAAAACGTCAAATAAATTAGTAATGAATTATCGATATTAGCTAATATATTGCAATGCAAGGAAATTCAATGAGCCTGCGGATCTGCCGTAAATGCAAATTTATTTTCACATGCTTTTGACAAATTCGCGATCCTTTTGCTTGAAGAACATTGCGTGAAAACATTTTCACATATAATGGCATACAAAAAAATCTTATAACCATGAATGTATTATCGAATATATTGAATTGCGTTATGAATAACTTTGGTTAAAAGCTTAAAGACATTTATTACCGACACATATTTCTCGTTAAAATGTCAAAAAACTGTGGCCCAGGAAAATGCTAAATCGATAGAAAATAATATTTCTGAATGTTTCCTAGAATGTGCCAAATGTAATTCATCAATCGGAATGAATGAATTAATTAGTACAAAATTTTTATATAATTAAATTTTTAAATTTTGAAAAAAGCATTAAATTTTAGGAAGCAAAAATCAAGGAAGAATTATTTACATACTTCATTCTTCTTCTTCTTCTAAGTTTATTTAAAATAACTGAATAAACTGACTGAAAACGATATTTTAGTTTATATGTTATTTGATAAAGATTAAATTCATATAAAATATTAAAAAAATATTTTACTTCTTTAATAGAAACGAAAAAAAAAAATTTTGCTTGAATCAATCATTCAAATTTTTATTTGGCTTTGCACAGATATAAGAAATTCTGATGACAGCGATGATAATTCACACCGAATCAGAAATAAAATGGAATCAATGAAAAAAAATTGCAAAGTGGCCTATGAAAATTTGAAGTTTATAAAATGTTCAATGAATAATTGCTTAGAACAATAAATTAAAACGAAATCGAGGCTAGCACCTCGTTTCCACAAATCTTACCGATTCTTTCAAATGTTATGCTATTAATAATAAATATATTGGATAATAAATCTTAATGGAATAAAATTCGATTTCGCATAGAATCTAAAAAAATTTTTAAAGATATTTTCAATGCATCTATGTTAGATAGCGAATTAGCGCGATAATTAATTAATAAATAGCGAAATAGCGCGATGATTGAAAAAAATCATTTTCATCCATTCATTCATTTTCCAAATGAATTTGCTTAAATTTTTTTTATCTTAGTAATTTTCTTTTAATACAAACTTTATAGCATTTGTGACTTTATAGAATTTGATTATAATTCTTTTTTCGTTTTTGTAGCAGCATGATGTTGCGTTTAGCCAGTTCACTAAGCAGCACTCTAATAGCGTAATTAAAATACGCTCATATATTGCTGCTTAATTAAAATTATTTGTGCTAAGAAAACTTACACAAATATCGAAAGTATCACGAAGAAAGTAAGAAGCATTATTGTGCTATTGATAAAATTTTATTGCATTGGACCAGAGGAGCCAAAAAGGATCAATAAATAAAAGTATTAAAAATTGATTGAGCAAGAAGATAAAAATCCATTTGGCAAAGACATACGCGAAATATATCTAAGTAAGGAAACCTAGAAAAACGGAAAATTTATGCGGAACTGATAAAACACGAAAAGTAAATTGATTTTTTGAGTGGTGAAATTCGATTATGGAGATAATATAGCAATAAAAATAATCATTAAGAGATAATGATAAAGAATTCGATAACATCTTAATTTTTCCAATAAAATGATTTTGCTAGAAAATATTTTGGAAAACCTATCGACCGATCATCAATCAACGACAACGATTACGCAACATCAATTATATTCCAAGGCTTTTGCAATTGAAATAATTTTTTGTCACAAAACTTGCAATGATAACGCTAATTTTTATTGCAATTTTATTTGTCTTATCTTTGTTTTAATTTCTCTTTTCTCTTTTACACATTTTCCTCTAACTTATTTCGTACAAAATTTTAATATTATTTTTAAATAAAAATCCAGAAATCTTAGCAATCATATCAGCTAGTGATAATTTGATAAAGAATTTTCTATTATTTCTTTTTAATTTCTTATAATCCTACATTTTCTGATATGTGATGATAGTGATAATTGCAATTATAATATTGTATTGTATACGAAATTGCCCGCTATTATTCTCAGTTTAACAGCGACCATCTATCGGTTGATTTAACGTCCATCATTCTGCAAAAATTGCTATATAATTTATTTAATATAAAATTTTATAATAGCCATTTTTAAAGATAATTCTTTTTACAAGTTTCAATTCTTTTTTTCTTTTTTTCACTTCATTTTTTTTTTCATACGAAGAAACATTTTTAAGTAAAATTTCAAGAGGGATAATAGTTTCTGACAGATTATAATGGGTTTTAACATAAAAAAAATCGCATTTTATTTTTTATATTTAAAAGACGCCATCTTAAATAAAAATAAATAAATTTAAGACGAACGAATCCCAATTAATAATTTCAGCGATCGCTCTCTAAGGATTGCCATTCCACAAAATGAAAACAAAAGACTCAAAAATATTTTTTTTCAATTCGATTACTTTTATTCTAATCTTATCATGTTATCATGCATCTTATCATATATTTATGATATGTTAGCGTTTTTTTGTAATAAATTTCAATTTCGATATTCAATAATCCATTAAGATTTTCGCAATCGTTCAAGCTCACCAACCACGAAACTCATGGCTCATATATCTTTAATTTTCAATTTAATAGTGCAAAAAAAAAAATCCATAAAATAAAAAAAAATATGTCAGTACAGAAAATATACTTGCCGAAAGAAAAAAGTTAAAAATTTCACAAGCGATCGGATGATAAAAATAAAAAATGAAGCTACTTTTGCTCAAAATTAAATTGAATTCGCTGTCAAAGTCTATTGCCTTATTTCAAGTGACATGAAACTTTATTACTGATCAAGTACGCGGAATTTATACAAATTAAATTGCTTAAGTTTTGCATCTGAATTTTTAAAAAACGTTTGTATGGACGAATCGACATATCCTGGAAAAACACGAGAAAGATCTATGCCAAAGTTCTTCACATAAGTTTTCAATTATGCGATAGACTGTGCTATTCATATCGTTTGCTGGCACTCAGGACGTATATAAATCAGTCTTGCAAAGGATTGCATCAAAGCGAGAAAGACCAATCAACATTAAACGGTCAGAAGAGATTTTGAAAGTATAGGTAATTAAACTACATACGGCTAGAATTGAAACTCAGGAAATATTATCGGATCGAAGGACCGTGGAAGCGTCTTATTGTTGTAGGCATTGGTACCACAAAACTAAAACTGATACGATTTGTTTGTTGATGGAAAACCTAATAAAAAGAAGTAATTTTATTACAAGAAATTTTATCTTTAACAATCCACATTTAACAAAGAAATAGAAAATTAAATTTAGGTATTAAATATCAGTGGCAGATTAGTTTAATAAAAACAAGTGAAACGTCTATGAAATATTATATAAAAGATAAGAGCAATAAAAAAATCTGAAATATGTATGATATTCTTAGTTGCCACGTGTGATGCTCGAAATAATAAAATAGGAAAGCCGTAGAAAATTTATTAAAATTTTTGCGCCATCTCAACGACACATTTCATGGTTATAAATGTTTTGAAAAAACAAATCAACAAAATCTGGAAACCTCGATTAAGTCGATAAAATTTTTTTTACACTTCTCTGCCATGAGCCATCTTAAACTCGGTGCTTTCAACTCGGTCGCCTTAATGTTCCTCAACGCTCCGCTACAACGCCTTCTAAAACTCTCTTGTACACCTAAACCATTTTTTTAAAACTCCTTAAAATCATAGCGATTGATCAATCTCTTTAAAGTATTTCCCTTTGCTTTTTATATTTTTTTACGATTTATTTATTCTTTCTCTAAAAAGCATTTCTCATTCATTTCCACATTTGGCAGAGGGGTGGGAGAGGAGGTGGGAAGTGGGTTATTTTAATGCTTGGTAACCGAATGTCAAAAAATGCAAGCGGTGCTAGAGACTTAACTATATTCTTCAAGTATTTTCGCCAGCAAAAATCTCATAGCAACTGTAATAGAACGAGTCTAATCGGAAATAGCCCTGATCACTCTTTTCTATCTTTTTTTTCTTTTTTTGAGTCCTCACCATTACTGGTTAGACTCGCTCCACTGGCTTGTCGCATTGGACAAATATGCTAGGGAGTCGTTTTGGCGATAGAAATATAGGTGAGTCGCCAGCATCACTCGGATTCTTGGGTAAGTTTACTCCTGCGGGGAATCGAACCTCGGCATCGGTGCTCTAAATTTAACAATAACGCCATTCTATGGCGTTCCCATATGGTCCTTGTATAATAATTTAATCTGTAATGACTTGCGATTCAAAAACCGAGCAATCACACCAACTGCTTTACTTCCAGACTCGCCTCTCAAATCTCTGTACGTCCACATCAACTCAAAGCACGTTGTTTATTGTCCCGTCGACAAAAAGTGATTCAAAAACCCCTCATATTATCATGCATATCGTAATAAATGTAATAATGAGCCATTACAATTCCGCATAAGAGGAAAGAATTCTAAAAATCGAGATCTTGCACCACCTGAAAGAGCATACCTCTCGTAATTATTTTCCATATACGCTAGTAAAACTTGTAATATTCCCTTCAAACTTCTATATATGTTAAATTCAGTCAATATTCCTTCCACACCCTCCGCATTTCCTCAAACCCTATCCTGCTCTTCGAGCATTCCTGAAATTCCACAACACTCTCTCCCTTATTTCATCAAAATGCCCTATCAGATTCTATCACACTCATTTTACTACTCCACTATAATGCTTTATAATTCGGAAAAATGAACAGAAACTTTATAAAATATATTCAACGAGGAAAATTAGAATTTTAAAATGATTATTATTCACATTGCTTCATTTTTAAATGATCACAGTTCGTATTATCATTTTTATTATGCTAAAACCTCGGAATCGCATAACGCAAAATCGCGATCCATTTGATTAATAAAAAATTTCTTTCGAAATTTCTATATTAATTCATCGTTCAGATTCATTAATACTTACATTTCCCCTAATGATCACTGATTAATAAGTTAGAAATTTCAGAAATATTTTCTAAATAATAATATTGGCTATAAAGTCGTGCATCACTCTATGCTTTGCCATAGGCAAATAACTGTTAGCTCGAATAAAATGTAGAATTTTTGGCATGAAAAATCTGCTGAAGGCCTCAGTTTTCTTTCCGGCAGATCAATGGCTAATATTTATATGCGCAGAAAAAAACTGCTGTGGAAAAAATCCGATATTTAATGCAAAAAAATTATTTCAGTGAAACAACCATGAACAACTTAATGTCTTCATCGAAGCTAAAAATATGGTATGTATGAGGCAGAATAAAGAGAGGGCTCTCTACTGGCACATCAAACTTATTAGCCACAAAACTGAACTTGGCGTTCAGTTCGCTTTCTGAACACATTACAGACTTGACTTGTATATGTCGCCTTTTAGGGAAAATACTCCTAAACGAATTCTCACGTAGAATCTATCTCGACCGATGCCATCTGCGCATAAAATGAAGCGTTCATTTTAATTTTAAATCAATGCAATGCGTCGGCTAGATTAGCCATTTGATCTGCAACAATCCTGCAAGGTCGAGCTGTTTCGAATTATTCAAAATAACAATGGTGGTATGGCCAATATCTTTGTTTTAAGTCAGATACAGAGAATCCAGAATGAGGAAGACGGATTTCCGTCAGCCAAATGATATAATAATAAACTCTAAAGTAATTCATTTCTCTTGCAAAATATACGAACTGCCGGAAATCGTTCGCAGTCGAGAATTTCATCGCAGCAAATACATTTTCTCTGAACGGTTTCACATGAATATTGGACAATTTCTTAAAATTTTAGAAATTTTAGAAAAATTTTATAAAATATGCAAATTTATTTACTCCCATGTCACTTAGCGAAATTGACAGCTTGAAAATTTTTAAAATCTATATTTGGAAAGAAAAAATGGCAAAGAAAAAATGAAAGAAATAGCAGTTGGGCATAAATTAATTGCTTACTGATAAGCATATAAAATTACTAGCATATTTCACCAGCTATCTGGCTATTACTCAACTAGCTAAGATGAAACAGTTTTACTAAAGAGCCATTTGGAAATAAAAGTATGGGTAGGTCCCGAGTACCGCATCAACTTCTTAATGAATGGTTTATTCTTGCCAGAAAGCGCATCTCAGTATGATGTTAGAAACAGCATTTTAAGCAATGCCTCTAGGCCACAGTGACCCTCATAAATTAAATCAAAATAAAGATCGAACAATTTAATAAATATCTCGATAATTCAATTAATGCAACAATGATCTGAAGCAGTTATTCGAGCAAAGGTTCAGTTTCATTTTGCGCATTAGCTCCTTCTTCATGAAGCATCCAAAACGTCTTCAAATCAGCGAAACATTGGCGCAATAAAGGGAAAATTGATAAAATCACCTAAATGGCGAAGAATATTGAATGGATATTTATATATATATATAATGGATATTTATAACAATTTTATACACTAATATCCACCTGTTTGCTAATCTATTTTTTTCTTCATAGATAGATCACTAATACTACCACTCTTTTTTTAAAGCTTTTAACCACAATAGCTTGTATTGCAGATTCAAATAAATTCTCCACAAATATTATCAAAAAGTGAAGTCAAAGAAAATTTCATAGTAGTACCAGGCAAAGCACAAAGTTTAGTAATATGAAAAAATACCCATACCAATATGATGAAAAAATAAAACACATAATCCCATCCAAATCGAATCTCAATAAGTGGAATTATTAATTGTCCAAAAGCAGAACTAAGTGAACCAATACCATCAACGATACCAGATACTGTCGCCATTGCCTATGAAATGAAAAATATCGTTAAATTTTCCTCGTTAATAAGAGCTATCTAGTTAAATTTATGTCATGATTTAAAATAATTTGGAAGAGAAAACACATATAAAAGCAATATAAGCACCTCTGCATTTGAAGAAAATAGTGGTTGTGATCCAAGATCAATCGAAATAGTAGCTGCGATAAAATTATATGGCCCCGAAACAGTAAAGCCGACAAAAGTCATAATCAATGCATTAACAAAAACATTACCGCCAACATGTGTGTATAAAAAAAGTGCACCTATAGCACACAACAATATGAGCACTACAATTGGACTCTTACAACCACATCGATCCTGAAATTTTTATTTAAATGTCATAGCGCTGCATATAGCAAATCTCGACGAATACTTCACTATAAACTCAAAATCGTGAGAAATTAAACGGAATAATTTACAAAAATTAATCGAAAAAACTACCGAAATGACTCCAACAAGCATCGACCCAATAATACCACCAATATCAAACCAAATAGATAAAAAATTGGCACTTTGTTCTGTCCACCCGAATCGCGCACTCAAACAGAGAGGTAACCAAAAGAAAAACGCATAATTGACAAGTTTGAGGCATGCAGTACAAAGAGAATACTAGAACACAAACTTGAAATTGTAAGACTGGAACAGTGAAATTTAGAAATGATGAAACCTGGCACCTGATAAAAAATTTCCGTTCTAATGAAAAAATATCTTCAAAAAACCAATTTCTCTTTGATTTTCTTTCCTAGCAACTAGGCTCAAAAAAGATTTGAAAAATAAATCGACCTATCGGTAAATAAATTTCATAATACAAGTGATGGCATGTGCCTGTTAAACAAGTGATTAACAAATCGTTTTTGGTTATGCTCTTTCTACTGACTATTAATAAAAGCAATTTTGCCAAAAAGCCATATAGGGATAGAAGTAGAACTGAGTTCCCAATATTCCCAATATCACCCAGATTTCGTTTTAAATGATAGGTCCAACGGCAGCAGTCCAGGATACTCAATATTCAGGATATTCTTAACAAATTTGACTTAATAGATAGCATAGAAGAGTACTCCAAAAAAATCTAATATGATCCATACTATGAAAAACTAACTGGAATAACACCAGGTAACAAAAGAGCTTCGAAAAGACCAAGATGTCTTCCAGTCCGATTTAACGAATCTTCATCGTGCGTATTATTGAATGATGGAACGCTGCACCTTCTAGGAGCATTTTCGATTAGAAATACGAATAAGGCCACGAGAATCATAAGCGATGAATTTAATAAGAAAGTATACTGAAAACGTACTACTCAAATTACTTCAAGAAAAAAAGAAGGTTCAACTAATTTTACAATAATCGAGTCTGAAACAAAATTGAAAAAAATTATAAAAGAAAAATATAATGCAACTGAATTAACCTCATATCCAAAAGGCAAAATTAGTGCGATGAGCAAAGAAGAGAATATATTGCCAATAGCCTGGCAGGAACACCAAATGCCCATGACGAAACCACGATTACTACCACTGTACCAATTGCCCTATTTGAAAAAAAATAGAACAAATAAAAATTAAAGAATAATTATTTAAAATATTAAACAAAATTAAGCAAACATTATTTTTTCAAAAATTATGAAATAAAATTAATGAATAATACAAACCATGATGGCAATAACATTCGGCCAACCACATGCTTGAAATAACGCAAATAATATATAAATTAAAATATAATACCAGTAAGAATAAAAATTTCGCCATTTTGGAACAAATCCAAACAAAATGAGCTAAAACCTTTTCAAAGTTTTTTTAAATAATTCCATTTGCGCATTCGAAACCCCTTCCTTTATGATTAATTGATAAAAATAACCAAAGTTTGATAGCCACTATTTATTAGTTAATAGTTATCGCTCACCGTTTTTGATTAGGCTAACTCAACTCGATATTACAGTGATATACCTTCACCTGTAAGTCACTTAAGAATAAAAGTGCCAATAAGTCCTGGCCATCATAAATATCTTTTAAATGATAAATTCAATCTTGCCAAAGAAACACAAACGTATGAAACTGCACGAACCATTACAGCCGATCCAATCATTCCAATAATTAAAACATTTCGAGAGTTAACACGATCTCCAAGCCATCCCCAATAAAACAATGCCTAGACTTTTGAATGGATTTTAATGAATTTTTTATTTCATAAATATTAAAATATTTAAAAAAATAAACAAAATAAATAAAACAAATTAACTAATAAACAAAAAAAATTTATAAAATTTCTGAAATTTTCCGAGCAAGATAATTTTTAAAAAATTATCAATAATGCCTCAAAATAAAGAAAATTGTTATACTAAATTATTATAAAAATTCAGAATTACCAACGCATAAGAGGCCATAAAAACAGAGTCAAGAACACCCAAAAAACTCTTCACTTCTTCTTCTGAAGGCAAAAACTTTTCCTTAAAAAAAAATGCAACACTTTTTGTCACTTCACAGTCATTAAAAACAGTTACTTATTTTTTTTAAGAGTCCTCACCATTGCTGGTTAAACTCGCTCCGCTCCACTGGCTCGTCGCATTCTGCAATATGCCAGGGAATCCCTTGGAGATAGAGATACAAGTGAGTCGCCGGCATCACTTTATATAACTAATAGCTTTATATATATCTCTCAAATAAAAATGTTTACATGATAAATTGACGAATTTGCAGAAATATTGCTGGTCCAATCCTCCGTTATAGACTTCTTCACACCACTTAGAGTTTTCCGATCCACATGAAACATTGAATAACTGAAATTTCGACAACAAATGATAAACAACTGAACAAAAAAAATGATTCTTAGCTTATATTTCAAATGATAAATAAAATTTGCAAAAATTTCCACCTAATAAATGTCACCAAGAAAACTACGTATTTCGCATCGAAGCACATATTTGTCGTATTATTACGGACAATAAATTAACTTATATACACCATTTGAGTAGCTGAAAATCATTAAATTTAAAATATTTGACCAAAAATAAAACAAATTTTGAATATACTTTGTATTTTTTAAATTTCTGCCACAGAAAACAACTATTACAAATTGAATAAAACCATTAAAACATCCTAAAATGAAATTCTTAACGATAAAAAAAAAAGAAACTATTTGAATTTATCAAGTACAACAATAAATAGCAATAAACTGCCTAAAAATAAAAAAAACACAAAATAATGTACGATATTTTATTGAACGAAAAAAAAAACAAGTTATCAAGTTATCATATATTATTTTATATATTTCTCCATGAATTTCTTATGAAATTCTGAACGAATAGCATCGTTTATAAAATTCTGCTCTTTTTTACGCTCTTCGATTCCTTTAGCACAATTTTTAAAAACCACATCATCATCCCAACGTCGTTTCACCTGTAATATTATTCTAATTAATTCAATTGATGAATTTAATTTATTGAAAGGATGCCAAATTCATTTTTTTCTCATTTGCAAATATTTTCTCATCTTTCTCATTTTATATATTTTGGTCGTTAACAAATATATAAATTGTTTCAAAAAATAAAAATATATAATAAAAATTTATGTACAGTAATTTACCTTGAAATCTGCCGATTCCATATTAAGAAGTGGATTACCATGTAGTATGTTATCTGTACGTACTCGTTCCTACAATAGATAAAACAGGAGTGAACACAAATTTTTATGCAAATCTTGCACTACTCTCCGCTATCTTATATCAGCTAATTAATTAATTACATTTGATCGAGCCACTGGTTACGACAATAACTTTTCACATTTAATACTTTCAATATTTAATACTCCTAGCCTGACTGGCTGACTATTTACTGTACCCTTGCACCAGGAAGCCACTTGAGGGCAGAAGGACAAATGGGTTCTCAGGAACAGTTTCATTTTCAATGACAAGTTCAATTTAACTATCAAATGGCTTAATATTCAAAACACGGAAAAAACAGGTGCCGTGTTGCGAAAGCATAGAACATGTTACCAAAGGAAGCCAAAGGATATGACCAAAAATTTTTTAATAAAATTTTTCTGAAAAAATAATCAGGATCTTGTCGTTTTAATATTTGAAATACAGTCAGTTTTATTGTTTGAAATACAATTTGGTATATCGTTTTCCCTTTATTAATTTAAAATATTAATTTCTGCGAGAAGACAAGAATTAAACCATGATACTCCAGTCAAAGCAACAGATCACTCGAATATACTGCTTTTCAAAATCGTTATTCTAGAAAATAACATAAAATTCATTATCAATTAACTTCACAATTACCCGTTCTTCAGCCGCTGCAGCATCTCGTTGTGCTTTTTCGACTGCTCTCTCTTTTTTAATTCGTGCCAGTTCAGCCATAAGTTCTGCTGTATCATCATCGTCATCATCAGATTCTGAGTTCTATAAAATCTATTCAATCTATTCTATTAAAAGCAACAAAAAAAAGAAAATGAACAGATAAAATTCAAAATCTGATATGAACAAAAAATATCGAAAAAACAACATTTGACTTTTTTAAGTATAAAAAACATTTTAAAAAAACTTTAACAAATAAATGAAATGAAACCTCCTCAACATCGTCATATGGATCATCTTCATCCTGAGTATTATAAATAGGTTGCTCTACGCGTGCTTTTTTGGAACTACTACTCCATCCACTGTCTCGACTTCTTCGATCCCTTGATGAGAGTCGTTCTTTTTCCTCTAATTCGCGTCTTAAATCCTGTTTCAAAGATTTTTTCAGTTATTGGATAAAATTATCTCGTAAAAATAATAAATAACTGTGGTGTGGCATCTTGTTTCTACAGCACATTGTAGGCATCGACTCTGATAACTTTGGCTATGGACGACACCAAAAAAGACCACAGATAAAAAGTTTGTCTAAAACTATGGCAATTTATTAAAAATTTTCTTCCATATTCTAATTTTGGAATCAATTTTACAATTTTGGAAACTAAAATTCAGAATTTTTTCCAATGATAACATAAATCAACCATAATCTAAAACTGGATAACATGTTATAGTTTGGATTCGAAGAATACAAGTTCTTGCTATCTTTCTCCCATTATTACATGATACTACACTTTAAAAAATTTTAAAGAGCCTGAACTTCGTGCACTCTTTCAGACGTTTGCACAAAATGAAGATTATCTGCTACATCCAGAGTTTATTTATTCGCAATTTTTTTTAAAAGAATCCTCATCACTACTGGTTAAATTCTCTCCACTGTCTTATTGTATTGGACAAATATGCCAGAAAGCCCCTTGGCGATAGAAATACACGTGAATCGCCAGCATCACCCAAATTTTTGTACAGGTTTACTCATGGGGGGAATCAAACCTCAGCATTGGTGCTCTCTCAATTGAGCAACAACCCGCTAAGCCATTTTATCCCCCAATTCCTACTACATCCAAAGTTTATTTGTTCGCAGCAAAGTTGTTTTAGAAAAATTTGGAAAAAAAAGAAAAAGGTTACAACGGTTAATGTAATACCAAAGCTATGAAAAGCCACAAATTTTATTTCTAGCCATTACACCAAAGATATAGCCTAAACAAGCTACCGAGGATGCAGTCGAAATAAAACCATCATTAAATAGGCGAATCATAACACCACAATAACTGTAGCATTCTCAGATATTATAGAAAATTAAACAATCAACCACAATGAAATCATTTCCTCTGAGAAATAAAAATTAAGAAAAAAATTTTAAAAAAAAATTTATAAAAATAAAACTTTGGATCTGATTTCTTCAGCATGACTTTGTCCTTTTTGTCGATACTTTAATTTTGTATGCGATGGCATATCCTTACTTGAATATTGCTGTGATAATTTCGATAAATCACCTTCATTTTTACCAGAACCCCCACGAGCGGGTTCAAAGGTTGGTCTATGCGCTGTTGTCATCTCCTAAAATTAATAATAAAAAAATTTTTAAAAAATCATGAAAAAAAAGCGAAAAACAAGCGACTGAAATAGATAGAAAAAAAAAGAACAATGAAAGATGAATATTTCACAAAATTTGAAAATAAGTTGAAAAATGTATTAAGAGTGATAATAATGATAGTAATATTAATATCAGCAACAACAAAAAGTAAGATAGGTTGATTCACCAGAGCAAGGTACTAAAATCAGAATGGTGCCGACCTGTCCTTCAGTGATCAAATGAAATAATTTCACTCTATTCATAGAACCGGAAGTGCCAAGTTCTATTAGAAAATAATGACACTAATAATAATAATTAACAACAATAACACTAAAAAAATTAATGATAATGATAGTAAAAAAATTAACGATAATGATAATAATAACAATAATATTAATAAATAATAAAATAACAATGATAATAAAGCGGTGGAAAAATGAATCTCTCACCAAGAATGGACATTCGGTTTCAGATCTATAACTCTTCGTTCTGCGACATCCTAACCTGAGGGAGAGTTAAGGTTCAACTTCTCAATTCAGAGCATTCATGGTGAAATTCTTCTAGCAGCAGGATTAAACTCTCCAAAGTTCCGGGCGATATTGGTGACTCACACTGGTGTATTTCTATCGCCAAGGGTCTTTCTGGCTATTTATCTAGTCCGACAAACTAGCACAGCGATTCTAACCAGTAATGGTGAGTGCACTTAAATAAAATAAATAGCAATAACAATAAGAGGAGTATGGCCAAACCTTTATTGTTCACCTCAAGCATAACTGGTTCGGTACCACTTGCAAATTCGCCAAATTACTATTGCAACTAAACCAATACAGCTAGAAACGGTAAGCGCATTTAGAAGAGAATTATTTCGCTTATAGTTTTTAACACTTATGCAAGCCCATAGTTTTGTTTTCTCTAGCTGGTAATTTAGTTCTTCTAAATAAATTAAAATTTATACCATAGTAATTTTTTTCTAGCAGCGCTCACCGTTAAACATCACCTTTGGTTCCCCAGACACTAAAAAAGTTTTGCTAGGAAGCCACATCTAAAATATTTTATAATTTGTATTTATATTTAAATATTTTTATATTTTATAATTTTTAAATAATTTTTATATAAATAATTAAATAATTTCTATAATAAGTAATAATAATGGCAATTATTTTTAGTAATAATTAACAAGAATAATAAAAATATAATTAAAAAATTGTAAAAATAGAAAATAATTTAGAATGCATACACTAATAATCAGCTCTGGCAGCTGCAGCTGCGGTTTTTTAGCAGATATTTCATGTGGACTAATGGAACTTGCGGTTTTCGCTGTTTTTCTTTGAGATATGGTTGATTTATTGAACGATTTTTCTAATGAGGTTAATTTTCAGTGAAAATTTATTATTTTTCTTCATTTAATAGAGTATAATTGGACTAAATAGCGAATAAAATAGCGAAAATTAAATTTAATATATTTGAAGTGGAAATAAAATAGTAAAGATTAGGGCGATGAGAGAGATGCGTAGTCGTTTGTCGCGGTAAAACCTCTTTGTTCCAAAATGAATGTTTAGTAAGAGACTCTATCGAGTAATTAGTGTGGCTAATGAAACCGGAATTACGCAAAAAAGGTCTTTCAGGCAATGAAGAAATGTACCACGAAGTTTTTGGTAAGTTGAATGAGAAATAGGCAATCTTGATTTGTTGCTTCATTCGGTAACAGTATTGAGCAATTTAAAATTTTCAGTATGGTGTTTCGGTGGCCGATATTATAAAACAAACCGTGAATGATTGTATATGTGAAAAACTATTGCCTGGATACGTGTTTTTGGATAAGTACCAGTTATATTACAATGCACAGACTGGTTATTATTACGACGCAGTTAGTTTATTTATTAATAACCTAGTTTTTTTTTTTTTTTATGAGCTATTCATATGGAGTGTTTTCTTTAGAATACATCATTGTTTTATCACGCGGAAACTCGATGTTACTACTATTATGATGAGCAGAGTTCTTCCTATGTCTTTCATTCGAGGCCATTGGCTGATCATGTATGGTCAACAAAAACTGCTAAACGACATGCTCAGATTATTTTCGGTATTTCTTATTGTAATTTATATATTTTTATTATTTTTATTATTTTCATATTTTATATTCTTATTTTTTATTATTTTGGTTTATTCAGTTAATTTAGTCGATAATAAATATATTTTTAAAAAACCACTTTCCCACCGCTGTGGGTGAATGGGTTTTCTTCAACTTCGGAACAGAAGCTTTGGAGTTTGAGGGTTCTGAGTTATCTTAATTGTTCCTAGGACTGTGTTGACTTCCCAGTGGGGATGTTAGATGATTAATGTAACTTGGCTTGTTTTTCTTAATTTTATCAGTTACAGTTACTTCATATTTGTAGATAGATAATTTCATAACACTTGCAACATTTGCAATTTATTTCGTAAATGCCAAAATTGTTCCCGTTATTCAAAAGTATATATTTGTATTTATATCACCCAAACTGGTTAACACATAGAAGGACGGTGCTCATAAAAGACCTTCATAAGGGAACAGCCCTACTAATAACCTGCCCACTCATAGTGTGGAAAGTCCTGTCAAACATCACAGCCATCAAACTTCATAACCAGTATATTAATGCAATTCGAAAAGGCATTGGGAACAACAACTGAGGTTCTAATCACCAGTTGCTCGCAGATAAGGTAATCACTCTAAATTCAGAATCCTCGGAGACCAATCTGTGTATTTGACTATAGGAAAGCCTTTGACTCAATACTCCACCTATGGATCGATGAAGAGACAAGGAAGATTGCAACATCTAAGGTGAAACCATAGAAGAGCTATTGAGAAAATGTCTGAAGCATGTAGATATATTGCAAAGATCAAACAGAGGAAATACCATGGCAAAACAAGACCCAAGACCCTTGCATCATCGACAGATAGTTGAGGTAGCTGACGCTGTGGACTCCTACCAGTGATTGGGGAAAACTGGACTAAAAGGTGACACTGAGGTATTGATTACTGTAGCATAGGAACAAGCATTAAGCACCATCCATCCATCGAAATAAAGGTCTACCACATTTGACTGGATTCTAGACACAGACTATGCAGAAAACCCCAGAAATAGTCCAACACACAATGGCAGGTTGTAAAATGCAAGTAGGAACAACATAAACCAGAAGGCATGACCGAGTAGCTGGCATCATCCACAAGAACATCTGCTCGGTATGTGGGTTAGATCATCCCAAAACTAAAAAGGAGATTCCTTAGTAAAACGTAGAGAATAATAAGGCAAAGATCATGTGAGATTTCTCCATCTAAAGAGACGAACATATACCGGCCAATCAACCGGATATATGGTTGTAGATAAGAGTCAAAAATTAGCACTGACAGTACCAAGTGACAGTTAAGAAGAAAAAATATGAGAAGTTAGAGAAATACCAGAGGCTGAAAGAGGGACTAGAGAAAATGTGGAAAGTGAAAGTTAAAGTAATTCCAGCCATAAGAAAAGTATTAGGAATTGTTACCCATCAACTAGAAAAGTGGCTTCAGCAGATTCCAGAAACAATATCAGAGATCTCTATCCAGAAGAGATCTTCATTCTCCCAGGTCTATGGTTAGAGGACCCGAGATCATGATCATATTCAGGGAAAAAAGTTTTTTTTTGCTAGTTCACCTCATTTATTTGCTTTATAGCCTATTTTTCTGCATTTATTTACCACATAAGTCAGAAATTTACATTTGGATCATCTGAATAATAATAATAATATGAGCATTAGCTTGCTTGGAACTCAAGGGAAGCCTAGGAGATAAAGTCCACCGCTATATCTAGTGTTATTGACCTGTGAATTTTATTTGGATAAATATGTGGAGATTTTTAAAAAATCGTTGATATTGTCCGTTTGTGTATCAATAAAGAAATTACTTGCAAGCCTTACGAAGTTTACTACAAAAATTACGAGGTTATATAACAATTATGAAAATATGAGATAAGAAATGAATGGTTGAAACCTAAAAAATATGTCAAATAAATAAATTATTCCAATATTAAGTCAATTCCTCGTTTATAATTTGTTAATTCATATACCATCTGAATATGAACTTCTATTAATAATGCTATGGTAATATACTCCTCATAGACATGCAGACAGATAAATAAAAAATTTCTTCAAGGTGAACTATACATGAAAGGAATGTCTCAAGATGAAGTTGATGTATTTGAATGTATATGTGAAATAATTGAAACGCTTTGCAAGTCGACTGATTTATCAAATGGAGTTTCTTGCGATGAAATTCTTTTAAATGAATTCGAGAATGAAATTGAATCAATGATTGAAGGTTTGTTTTGCTTTTCTTTCTTCTTTATTTTCTAATTTCATATTTTGCTTTCTATTTTAAAATTTATTTATAAAAAAAAATTTAAAAAAATTTTAATTCCATTTTTAGTTTCTTCCTGATGCTATTTTTTCTTTCTTTGTTTTCTCTACCGTTCCGACTTTTGGTAATTGTGAGATCTATTAAGCTTATTTTTTGTTCTATGATTATATTCAATGAAATACAATTATGAAATGAAAATGCCATAATTATCTTTTTCTATTTTATAAATTTTTAAGAAGAAAGAATACGGTACGCTGCATGTATTCGCTTGATCGAAGTTTCAAATGCATCTAAATTACACATAGTTACAATGAATGGTGCCAATATTGGTAATCTTCATGATTGTGATGTAACGATAAGCAGTTCTGTGGATGAAAAATCTGAAGTACAAATTTTTGATTCGTTTGGTTTTATAGTTTTAGTTTAGTTCTAGCTTAACTCACCATTTTTTGCTTTGGCTAACTCCTGTGACTTCTAAAATATTTATGAATTTGTTATCAGTTGGACATCAGACAACGTATATTATTTATTCTGAACCTTGGGATCCGTTATACACGCTAAAACCCCAACTAAAATCCGTTGTCATAGCCTTATTTTTGAATTATGATATTCTTAAATTAAGGCATCTTCAATATTTTCATGTGGCAAGTTTGAAATTCGCAGTGAAATTAAAATTGCTAATAATTGGTTCCAAAGGATTTGAAAATAAAAGTACAGATGGGATATAGATGGGACTCCAGTATCACTTGGATTTCTGCAAGTTTATTCAAATCGTCGGAATTGGAATCCGACAATATTGCTTACATAGTCAAAACAACTCAAACCACTCTACCTGCTCTACCTCTAGCCACTCAATTTTTAACGTTCATTTTGCATTCTGATTATTCATAAGTTTATAAGTTTTCATAAGTTCGTTTCATTTCATAAGTTTCAGGTTTTTGCTCGTATTGATTATCTGGACGAAAATAGCCAATATGTTATCACTGCGATGAGTGAATATAATCCACTTATGGTGAATGGTGAATATATAAGTAAAGGCAGTAATGTAGTGGTTAATCATTTCGACGAATGGAAGATTGGGAACAATGTTTTAGTAGCACATATCCATTATGGTAATTTTTTAAAAAATAATTAGCTTCAGCGAAATTGAAGGATAAGAGAAATTTTTTAACAAATATTATTCATTTGAGGTAGCAATACATGCACAAGCTGTGAGCCTGGGTTATTGGCTGTGAGCAATAAGCCAAATGCTAAAAATTTTGTGAACAAGAAGGTTTCTTTGGAAGTATCAAGGAGACGAACAATGAAACAATTGAAAGCTGAATATGGGCTTTTGGTATTTCATCTTATGATTAGTAGTTGGCTGTATTAGCATGTGAATATATCCATTATTAAATTTTTGGCCCATTTGTTATCAATAGAACGTCAATCAGTCAATCTGATTTATTTCTTTTGAACCTTAGGATCCGTTGAATACGCTAAAATCCCAATTATTTTCCTTCAATATTCTATCAAAATTTCGCTTACTACTTTATCATAAAACCTTTCATATCCTCTTGAACTTTATAGAATTTTCCTAGAACCTTATCTATACTTCCTTGTCACAGCCTTAATCTTGAATTATAAATTCGCAAATAGTATCAGGATATTGGTTGGCAGTATGAGGAAGTGTTAGAGGAACTGGAGATGTTAATGATGAATAAAGAGTATTCTTCAAAGTGGATTTTGAAGTATTAAAAAAATACGAGGTTTAAGAGGATATCAAAGAATATACCCGATTTTTAAAGATGTATGTAAGAAAAGGGATCTTTTCACTAATTCTGCTTATAAATTACCAAGAATTCATGAAATACTTTAGGACATGGATTATATTGTATCTCCTTCCGTAAAGAGTAATCTAAGGGAGTCGAATGGGAGTAATGTCAATGTGAAAACTTCAATTTATAAACACTGTCAAGCAAAACCATTGCCAGGTTGTCCCAATATTTTTCTTGAAGTTTTTATTTTTTTTAATATTTCAATTTTATGGCGCATTTTTTCTTTTTCATTGGCCTAAATAAAAATGAAAAAAATAGAAAAGCATTTTTCCTAAAGTGTATCGGGATATTTTTCTCTCTGAGAGAAATTATAGAAATTATATTTCAGAAAAATTGCATTTTTTACTATCGCAAAAAACACCATCCGTTGAAGCACCCATTGATAAATCGAATAAGGGTTACAAACTTCTGCAGACAATGGGATGGAATAGCGGAGAAGGTTTAGGTCGTTATCGACAAGGAGGCACTGAACCAGTAAATATTATAAATTTTACATATTCTTTGAAATATCATAAATATTCTTAAAATAAGGCATCTTAAAGTATTTTCTGGTGGTAAGATTGAAATTTACATTAGTTTGAAATTCTGGTGAAAATAAATTCTGGTGAAAAAGTGACTAAAAAGTTGTTGCAAAGGACTATATATATATATATATATGAGCATTGTACCTACATTTTTGTACTTTTTTCTGTAAATAAATAATTCAGATTATCAACATTAAACGGACCGGTAGAGCAGGTCTTGGGTCTTTAGAAAAAGATAAGCGGACAGAGCCTTCAAAAAAGATTAAGATTGCAAAGATTACGAAGGAACGTTTTGATGCAATCGTGGACTAAGTTTTTGTAAGTTTTCAATTTATCTGTTGTTATCTATATATATATTTCTAAAGTTTTTTGAACAAGTTCATATTTTAATTTATATTTTATATTATTATGATCCAACTGAATTTGATATTAAAATATCTCTTCCTTACCTCCCGTGGATAATGAGGGTTATCCTTAATCTCTGGTCCTTCAAGATTGAGAGATCTGCTCAATATCTAGCATTGTTTCCTTCTGGATATCTGAACTAGATCTTTGATTTTGTTTCTGAAATCTATTGAAGCCACAAGTTTTCTAGTTTTTTAGTATAGGATTAGCCTCTAGTCAACCACGGAGTTTACTTTGGCCTTCACTTTAGACATTTTCTTTTTCCAGTCCCTAATATTTCTCTAGCTCTAGCTTTTTAGTTCTTTTCTTTTTTACTGTCATTTGGTGTTGCTATAATATCTAGTGCTGATTTCTGATTCTTGTCTGATTCTGATTTTTGCCATGATGTCTAGTTGATTGACTTGTTGGTTTATCTGGATAAGAATCTTGGCGTTATTTTTATTGTCGTATTATCCTTCGCGATTTTCTAGGGAGTTCCCCATCTGGTCTCGAGAAACTCTAAACCATACCCATATACTAAATACGTATTTCTATACACAATGCTACCTAGTTGTATGCTGTTCTTGTTTGCACCGTGAAGTGTTATCTCATGGAGGGAGAGTCTTGCTTTACTATGACACTTCTTGGTCCCTTTCCAATAATAAATGGGTGTCTTGGATTCTCTAAAGGCTTTCTTCATGTACAAGTTTCAGCGGGTCCTTGAACCAGTTGGGAAAAAGTTTGATATTTTCATTAAACTCTGGTATTGACATTTCGTAATCATAAGTGTTGGTAACAAATCGCAGTAATTTAGCAATTTAGTGTCGATGAATAATTTGTGACCTGAATTCATAGATGTTTTCGTATTACTTTTCTGTTGTACTCCTATAATTTTGTTCTGTTAAAATATTCAATTCAATAAAAAATATTCAAAAAGGTCGTGATCTATACGACAAGAGAGACCAGGAGATCCGTCATAGAAGGTTATTTGACCACTGTTTGCACACTATTTTTTCTCCTTTTCTAGGGGAGAATCTATTGAACATTGCATAGCCGAAAAGATTGCAAAAGTTGTCCCATCTCTCTTTCTCTTTCTCTTTCTGTTTCTCGTTTTCTTTCTTTGTTTTTCTATTTCCGCATTCTGCCTTTTCACCAGATTTATTCTCCAGTTTAGTTCGTCTCGCACCTATTCTCTCATTTCATTGTCTTAGATCCACCATTCACTAAATAGACAAGCTACAGAAGAAATTACAATCCCAGTAGTCGCAGTTGGAAATGTATTTTTCTATTTGGCGAAATTTCTGTGAAATTTACCACCATGAGATATCAAATATTAAAAATTCACATCTATCTAGGTGTAGTGCATTATGTTATGTGGCGAAACGTAGTCAACGAGAATGCAAGATGTCAAAAAATTATCCACCCCTCACCATTCTTTTTTAAAGAATATTCTACGTAATTTTTCAATGGATAGAGTTGCACATCGTCGTATCTACTTGCACTCGATTACCTTCTGCATTACGTACATTACAACAGAATTACGCTGGTTAGATCATGTTCTTTGGCTTTGGCGCCTATCACAGGAATTTGTCTATACTGAGTGCCAAATGCAGTAGATGACGTTAAAACTGAACAGCTCCTAAAATAAATTTAGTACCATTGGGGAAATATTTTGAACACAGATGACCCAACGACAACTATTCTTTTAGATACTGCTTCTAATAGAGAGGCTGTACTATTGTAGGCAGGTTATAATCAATGGGTTCTGTTTAACCAGCAGTTTTACGAACTGTTAGAAGGAAAAGATTCAGATGTTCTCCATTGCAGATTTTGATTTTTGACTTTTGTGAAGCTGCTTTGACTGATGTTTTCTTTTTTTTCTCTTTTTCACTTTTGATACTTTTTGTTCATTTTGAATAAAATTTTTTATTTTCAGGTTTTTAATGCTCTTTACATGTTTTTTTACGAAATTGACATTTAGCGCATGAATCAGGACAAAATCATCAAATGACTGCAATCAGACATTATGGGTTAGACCCCTCTTAAAAATTGTAACTCGAGCGGCACTTACATTTTTCAAAGTGGGTCCCTGGCGAAGGTGCGTTACTCTAGCAACCAATGTAGCCAATCACATCTGAAACTGCACTGTCGGCAAAGAAAAAGTCAGCTAGCACTGGCACTACTGTTGTTTGTTAACAAACTGTATTATCGCCATTCTAAAACGCAGCCTCCGAACAATGGTATTTATCAACGCAACTGAACCTATTGGAAAAATTCGGTACTTCTTTTCGAATGCCTGGAAAATTTCTTCAGCATACTTTAAAGATGTTTAGCATTTGGCTTAAGTCGCAACGTGTAGAAAATTTTCTCCCAAATTTCCTAAGCTGAATCCAAACATTATCAGAAATAGCCAAAAAATAGAAATAATTGCTTAAAGAAGTTGGAAATTTGGCCGAGGGTTCAAAATCCTCGGTGTGGCATATTACGGGGCTAATTTTGCAATACTTCTTAGATTTAAATTTTTTATTTTAGATTTTTTTCAGTTTTTCAGTTTTTTGGAGTCTTAAAAATTTGCATCGAATATGTTAGCAAATTTACGAATAAGAATTAGCATTTCGGCGTTTAATCATTTTGCATCAAATTCATTTTCAACAACCGGAAATGTCTATAATCGAGCAAAATACATACCAAGACGAGCACTTTTATATGTGCCAGGCAGTAATTTAAAAATGCTTCAGAAAGTACCTCAAATAAAGGTTTCATTCGGTTTATTTAATTTTTTAATAAAACAATTTTTATAAATTATAAATTATTTATAAATTATAAATAATTTATAAATTTTAATAAATAATTAATAATTTTTTACAAAATAACAGTTAACGAGATGATATTAAAGTAAAGTTAGATATTTTATAGAATATATTTTTATAAATATATTTTAATTATAAAATAATATAAATTTTTCAGGTCGATAGCCTCGTTTTAGAATTAGAAGATGGAGTTGCGATGAATGCGAAAGCGGATGCAAGAACGAATGTTAAAAATTATTTGGATGATTTACCAAATAAAGGTGTTCATAGGTGTTTTGAATTGGGTGTGAGAATCAATTCGGTTTCAAGTCAACTTATTCATGATGATCTTAAGGTTTTAAATTCATTTTGTGTTATATTTCGAAAATTTTATAGTATTTCGATTAACTAACACGAAATGTTACCATTGTTACCAACGAAATGGTACAACATTCATTACAATTATATAGGTTACAAATACTGTATGGGGAGATGAATAATAGGCACTAAGTTTTTTAGAGAAATTCTGTAGCTTCATTTCCTTCCTTTGCTTACAAATTTTCGTTTTTCACATATCTTCTATTTTTACTATTTTCTTTCCCACAAATGTTTAATACTATTTGATTAATTCGCCTTTTACCATTCATGTATAAGGTACTTTTTATGGGTTCGACGAGTTGATAAAATTTCACATGATCGTATCTACCTTCGTTCAAATACTACTTGTAATAGCAGTACCATCACATAGCGTCGCCTTTGCTAGTTAGGGCACGTTTTCCGTCGTCCACCATAGAAATTGGCATATTTCGTTACTTGTTAAATCGTGTGATGGGTGGCGTCAAAAGCGAGGAGGGCCAATCAGAACTTGGTCTGATACAGTTGAAGAAGATTTCGAATAGGTGGACCAGCAGTGTATGAACTTAGACGATGGAAAAAATAATGGATTCTATTACTGTCGACGATGGTAACAGACTGCGGCGCTTGGAAGCGTCTTACCCTTATAGCCATTGGAGCCAGCTTAACCAATAATGGTGAGAGTTGTTAGAGGAAGAAACAGTTATTTTTCTCTAAGTAGATTCATATCATTGTACTATTAAATAAGTAATCCAAGCGCTGCCTTCCTCGCCCGGAAATGTTTGTGGAGCTGTGGAGTTTTCGTAATATACCTTCTTCTGTAAGTTATTTCTGGTTAAGCTTGCTCCAATTTCTGTTAACGATTAGAAATGTTTGCTAAAGATATGCGATAGAAGTACAAGTGGATTGCCATCTCTACCTGAATTTTTAAATTAGATACTCTTATATAAGGGACATCTTCCTCATGCGTTTATGGTTCCTAAAGTTGATTCCATCGATGATTTAGCTGGCAGGGAGAGCCGAATAGAAGGGACAAAGTAAACCGGAGTGCTCGATAATAAAGCATAAAAAAAGGAAAATATTATCGTTAGATATGGAGAAACTATTTCAAAAATTTATAAAATTAAAGAAAAATAGAACGGCTGTATTATATTAATTATAAAAGTTGTATAAGTGCTGACGCTTCTTTTATAACTTTTTCTTTAGTGATATTTTTCTTCACTTACCGGATAACCCAGAAGTGTCTTTAAACAATTGTAAGTTTCAGGAATTGGCGAAAGCGAAACATCTCCCTCATGCGTTTATGGTTCCTAAAGTTGATTCCATCGATGATTTAGCTGTTATTCTTGATGCTTTCAAGACGACTTATGGTGAAGAAAGAATTTCCAATTCGGTATTTTCCTGAATATTAAAGTTTGAATACTAGAGATGTTTAGATAAGTTTAAAAAAGATCTTCAAGATCATAAATAACTGGTTATTTATTTTTACCACAACTGATAAAGATATTGATTTTGGATTTTGGTATTTGGTATTTGGTATTAGTGTTTTGGTATTTGGTATTGGTATTTTGGTATTTGGTATTTTGGTATTTTTCTGACTCTTCCACCCTTTCTGTTTTTGTTGTTTTGTGAGCTTAGCAAATTGAGAATCATTTTATGTTAAAAATTGATAATTGTGACTGATCTAGTTATTATTCTAAATATTCTATTCAGCATTCAAAGAAAACAAAGGATTTTTTAAGGACGTTCGCTTAGTAATTTGGATCGAAAGTGCCCGTGCGATTTTGGATATGCCTCGAATAATTAATGCTGCAATGAATTTGCATAAAACTATCAATTTTTTCAAACTAGATGCAGCAGTGTTTGGTTCGGATGATTTTTGCGCTGATATAGGTAATTTTGTCATAAAAAATGATTGAAAATTTTATCTTGAAAAAAATAATTATTTGAATCTTTGGTTGGTATTATAACCTTTACTCCCAAACGAAAAGGTTATAAAAGTGTTGGTAAGGCCTGTTTCTTGCAAATAAGCCCTGTTCTGTTCATTTACCGAGCATTACACTGTGCTTGTGACGACATCCACCTTTACGCGGTTTGCGGTTCAAACTAGCTATCTTGACCTTCACCGCTGTTTTCTTCCGGTTCCACTACTGGCGACAACCCTTTCGGCTTTATTATTTCATCACTCAAATGCAAGACTTCATATATCTTGAATCCACTATTATGCCAAACTGGCAAGTAGACGACAAAATTCTTAAGTAGCAACAGCTAGAAATTTATTGAAACCTCTTTGGAATCGCTGCGAAGTCACTATATAAATTAAAGTCCACATATATCGGATTGCACTGGGCACATTCTTGCTATACTGCTCAAAACATGGCCAATGAAAGATGTCAGGAAATAATCTGTATGTCTGAGGTAAATTTTACACTCGCTGAGCGGATAAAATTTCATCTGATTCCATACATTTCACTGCATTGACTATATCGTCACAGAGCGTCAGCATCGGTCACAGTAGTTAGACCATATTTTTTGTCTCCATTCACAGAAATTGAGGTATATCTCGCTGCTTTCTAATTACTGATGGTTTGCATCAGAAAGATAAGGAGGGCCAGTCAAGAGCTGGGTTGATATAGGCGTTTCAGCGATTTATAAAAGGTTCAAAAAAGAAGGCTTCTGTTATTTCCAGATATGAAAGCATCGTATCAAGAGGTTTCGCCAACCTAATCAGTAGCAGTAACGTGAACTGTTAAAAGAGAATAAGGATTATTTGGTACTCGCATTAGAAAGGAAACTGTTGTAAAAAGGAAATTTATTTAAATATTTAAATATTATTTTAGGTTATTTATTTAAGTGTTATTTATTTTTTTTAATTCTCGTATTAGCAATTACCGTAGTACATTCACATTTTCTGCTTCTTCTTCATAAATCCATAAGATGGTTTTAGGTGCAACTAGGACGAAAGAAGGCTATGAGAATATTTATGCTAGGCAAAGATTCGTTACATGCTGCAAAGCATTTGGGATCCAGGCTATTGATTCTGTATACATTGATATCAAGGATATTAAAGGATTAAAAAAGCAGTGCGAGGAAGGTAATGGTTTTCGCAAATTTTTTGTCTTGTTCAACATTTTTTCATTCGTATAATTAAATTTTTTTCTTTCTTATTTATTCTCTTGTTTCATTTTTCTTTATTATTATTTCTTATTCTCTTATAAAAACTTATATTATTGACTTGTTCCACTAGCAGAATATCCACCGGATTTGCAGTCTTGCTTGAAAATACCTAAAACTTATTTCTCCATCATCTAAGTCCATATATCAATAAGCCGTCTATTCGAACTTTTCTGACCATGTTAGTCCGGACCTTGGTTGATTCTCCTTACTTTTGACGCCATCCATTGCAGGGCTTAGCAAATAATGAGATATGCGTTCTATGGACAGCGAAGAATGTGAAATAACAGTGCAGGCGACGCTTTGTGGCGCTATTATTAATGCAGATATCTATTCGAGCGAAGCTGGATAAAATCATGCAAAAATCTTTTTGGCTGGTACATAGGATGTACTTTAGGCAAAAATGGTCAAAAAAAGATATTTTCTATGTATTTTCTGTTCTCTCTGGTCATTTTGCGTAGCCATATAATATCATTAGGCGCAGTCAGATTTATGCGAACTTTCATTTTGAAGCGGCTTTCAAAGAGATTTCGCTAAACAAAAGAAAGTATTTCTAACTGTCCGAAGTGGTCCTAAAGTAGAAAGACAGAATTCGGACAGGCAAGCAATATTTTCATGTGGACAATTACTACTTATCATATCCATAAGCATTCTGATATTTGAAAACTAAGGCCAAGACCTCGTCGTACGCCTATAAACAACTGGCATTTGTCATAATTCTTTAATTTTATTAGAATAGCTTCCTTAGTCCAGAGTTGACCATGAAATTATTTGGTGCCACATGGGCCAGAAGTTACCTGTAATCATTTTAATGATAGCTTTACTCCTGTAAAAACAAGTAAGGAAATAATTTCGTAATTATTTTTCGCTGAAAAAAATTGCAAAAAAACAAATTTATTAAAAACTAATTGTAAATTTTTTTTAATTAAAGGATTAAACCATCCGAGATTGTTATGTATAGCAATTGATTTTGAGTGAAATGAATTTTTAGGAGTGAGTTGGGGTTTTGATGGCAAACAGTCAATTCATCCTTCGCAAATTGAGACGATCCTAAAATCATTTCTACCATCACAAGAAAAAATCGAATGGGCACAACAACTTGTCAAAGAATTTATGGAGCATGAAAAGAGAGGTGAAGGAGCTTTTACCTTTCGTGGTCAAATGATTGATCGCCCACTGCTTTTACAAGCAATGAATTTGGTTAATTTGATTGATGTAGTAAATAAAGAATCAAAGTTATAGCGTCATAATTTTTTGTTTTGAGATTTTTAATTTGCTAGAGTAATTTGTATTGTACTGATATTGATAAACATTGATATTTTTTGCAAAATTAGTTTATTGTCATAGTTTGTTGATTTATTGATAATTCTTGTAAAGTTGTATTTCATTGTATTAAATATATGAATGCTTTTTGTCCAGTAATAAATCCGATTTGCAGTTGCAATATATTCTTGATACTGTTCCTTTAAAGTTTTTATGTTCTAATATTAAAAGTTTTAAAGAACTCTCCGTTTGATTTTCTCTTAATATCTGTTCGTTTCCAACAATTTCTATTTCTACCTTTTCCTCATCGCATGTTTTATTGCAATTTGATATTTTATTGGGACATTTTGAATAGCTAATGTGAGAATATCGGTCATGAAATGAAATGATTTAAGTTAAGCAATGTCAAAAGCAGATGAAGGTCGTTTGATCCACATTGCAAAGAAACGAGAACGGGCCAAGGAAGCCATCGAACAGCGTCGTCGGAAAATCGAATTGGAGACAAAGAACTGTTTGTTTTTTATTTTTCGCGATAATTCAATTAAATTATGTCATATTTAATACATGGAAAAAAATTTGTCAAAGAAGAGCATTTTTCAAAATTTTCAGTAAAGTCTGGAATGAAGGCGAAGTTCACGGCAAATTATGATACTGTTGAAGAGTGTATGAAATCAGCTACAGTTGGTCTTGTGACACTGGACGAAATGAGGGAAAAGCAGAAAGATGTTAGCGAAATGAGGTATTATTTTTCTCTCAACAAATCGCATCATTACTGGCTAGGTTGGTTTGTCTGGCTACAAAAGTTTTTAAGTCTCTCGACTCCAGGTCATTATTGAGATGTTTCGATGATTCAATTTAATATGTGGTATTTGAGATCTTTGAATTACACTTAAAGCTCCCAATCTTTGTGCTTAAGATAGTTGAAAGATCTGTTTCTGCGCATTATCTTCTTCTTCTTCATGCGGATCATGGATCGGACCGAAGTTCAATGAAGGTTTCCATTTTTAATTCCAACCGTAGGGCTCAATACTTTTCCAGCAACCACTGATGAAAATGTAGTCGATGTAGCTTATTATTCAGAAATAACTATGTATATCTAAATTCCTTTTCTGATGTTGAAAGCATGTATTGTTGCAAAAAGTTTGTCTTTCTCAGCACAATAGGGAGTTTCTTCCTTTCGCAGATCTGATTCTCATGCTATACTTGCCAGCCACAGAATGCATCGTGGTAGCCGATTTATGTATTCCAGTTTACTGTTTTTTGCTATATTATCTTTTGGAAAAGATTCTTTTGAAATTGAAGTTCATGCATATGGATCTTTGTTGCAGTTATCTGAGTATATTAGAATGTAGAATAAATTGGCAACTCTTGGCGTTCAAGAAATTTTTTTTAAAACGAGCGTAGGCCATCGTTATTCCTCTTAATTTCGATTATAGCGGGATGGAACAATATTGATAGCGAGACAAAATTCGATAGAAGGAGACCAAGTGTCAAAACTAATCTTAGATGAGGTTGCACTGAAATGTTGTGCACGAATTTAGCTTGAAAATACATTATTTTATTTGAATTTATTTATATAAATTATTTTATGTGCTTCAATTTAATTTTTTTGCTTTTTACCATATTGATTTTAGGGAATCGCAATTGGTCCCACAAAGTCTATCAAGAAATGAAAAAATAGAGCGTGGTGTCTTACAGAATCATGTAATTGCTATGAAGTTTTATTTCCCATATAACTTAGGGAATTCTTCAGTTATGAGTTATTTATCAATACTTAATTTGGGAGTTATTGATGCATACTTAACCATTTTTTCAAACCTAAAATTCTCGAAAATTTTTTGACAGAAGAGAATGTTATCGTTTGATTTCGATGACTGCGAGGATGATGGTGAACCAATTATTGAAAAGAAGGCAAGTCTTATTTGAGATGAAAGGAATTTTAACGTTGATTATATTTATTTTGAATATCCATTTATTTTTTTTTTATTTTTTACTTCGTAAATCGTTTATATTTTTAAGAGGCTTGGTATGGATCCAACCGTCGAAACTGCTTTCTTGCCTGATCGAGAACGCGAAAGTGAATTGACAAAGTAAAATTTACTTTTTTTCCGAAATTTACTTTTAGTTCCTTTTGCCTAATTTAGAAAAAAAATTAATTTTAATCAGTCACCGAATATATTCTAAATTTAGATTTGAATTTGTCCTATATTATTCAGGTGAAATAGGAACAGTGAAACAGTATTGTATTTTTTGTGATTATTGATTAAGTCTGTTAAGAATTAATAATGTAGAAACAATCAGTTAATGCAATTTTTAAGGCTTAAAGATAGCCTAGCTAAGGAATGGCATGCTTTGCAAGAAAAAGAAAAAAATGAAGAAATTAATGTGGCCTTCGCTTATTGGGATGGATCGAGTCATCGCAAAGATCTACGGATGAAAAAAGGGAATACAATTTCGCAGTTTCTTGCTCGAGCTCTAGAGGTTTTTCCATTATTCATTTGATTGAAAATCGTTCTATAGAAAATTGTTATGGAATGATATGAAAGACTGGAATTTTTTTTTTTAGGTTTGTGATGTTTTATCTGTAAATCTTTTTAGTTATTAAAAAGAGAGTTCAGTGAACTTCGTTCTGCCGTTCCGGAGAGTTTGATGTTCGTTAAGGAAGACTTGATTATACCACATTTTTATACGTTAGTTTTTTTGTTCTCTTAATTTTTAGAAGATTCAAGGCTACATTTGACGTCTTAGGATCTACTAATTTTATGTTCATTATTATTGTGATTGTTATCAATAATACAATTTTGAACCTTTATAGATATCTGTAGCTATTAGCTATTACATTGAAGATAGAAAGGCTCAGTGGGTTGTTGTTCAATTCCGAGTGCTGAAGTTCTATTCCCCTCAGAAGTAAACCTCTCCGAAAACCTGGGTCCACGTGTACTTCTATTTTGGTTACGGCCACGTGCTTGCCATAGCGTAAGAGCTTGAATATGTTTTTGGCATCGTAGAAAACATCTAGTCATGTGGAACTCCCTGGATAATGGACATCGTCTGTCGGCACTCAAGAGATGTTCAAATCAGTCCAGAGCATCGTATCATAGGTCTTGAATACGCTGGTAAAGTAATGACCTTTTTGCTGACAGTTATGACGAAATGCAAGTAATAATAGATAACGTGTCAGCTACTGCAGCAAGAATTGGACTCATGATCAATGTAATTAAAACAAAAGTCTTTTCGTTTTATGTCCAAGAAGCTGATGAAATGCTTCTTTTTATAAATTCATTGCCAGTTGAGGAAGTGCGCAATTTTAAATACCTTGAGTCCACTCTAATACCAAATGACCAGGCAAGAGACGATATTGCAACCGGGATCTCGGCAGCTAGAAATGTATTCTTCCGATTGACGAAATGTTTATGGGGCCGTCGTGAAATCACCATAAAAACGCCATGATTAGCTTGATCTCGCTATATGGCTCTGGACATGGCCAGAAAGAGTGGAGTGGAGAAAGAGTAGAAAGAGTGTGTATTAAGAAGATATCTGCCTTTGACTACTTTTGTCTTTTGTCCATTTTACGAGTTCGAGCTGATAAAATATCACATGATCATATCCACCTTCGTTCATATACCACTTGCATTAATAATGTTATCACGTCGTCCACCACTTTCGCTGGTTAGGGCACGTTTTCCGTCATCCACCACAGGGATTGATATATTTCGTCTTGCAAAATTATGTGGTGGGTAGCGTCAAAAGCGAGGAGGACAAATCAAGACTTGGATTGATACGTTCAGAAAATATTTTGAATGTATAGGTGGACCAGCAATGTATGGACTTAGATGATGGAAAAAGGAATGTTACTTCTGTTACTGTCAATGATGGCATCAAACCGCATAGCTTGGAAGCATCTTTCTCTTATAGCCATTGGAGCCAGCCTAACCAATAATGGTGAAAGCTGTTAGAAGAAGAAGTGGATCGTTATGGATTGGCGCTGGTGCTGAGGTTCCACTTCCTGCAGGAATAAACATGTCCAATAATCTGGGTGATACTGGCAACCCACATATACTTCTGTCGTCAAGGTACTCTCTGGCATATTTGTCCAATGCGACTAGCCAGCAGAAACAACTTTAACCAGTAATGGTGAGGACCCTTTAAAAAAATGTTAGCGCAGGATAGTTGAGTATATAGCGATAGGAGTATATGGTGAGAAGGACTCGGATCCTGCAGCCAGGGATAAATTCATCTAAAAATCCTGGTGCGGCTAATGATTCATCTAGATTTCTATCGCCAAGCAACTCTCCGGCAAAAATTTCTTACCACACAGCCATCATGGCTAGCCTAATCACAAATAGTTAACGCTAACCACTTACATTTTCTTTACAGATTTCAAGACTTCATTGTTACCAAAGCGATGGGGAAAACAGGCCCACTTTATGAATTCGACGCTGCGGGTGAAATAAGGTTACGTCAGGACGCTGCAGTAGACTGTGGTGAATCTCATCCAGCAAAGGTTATCAGCTGTGAATTATTTTCGCAAAATTTCTTATATCGAAAAACAGACCTTTGAGTCAATAATTTTTATATTGGTTTGCGCAAAGCTTGACTTATTTATAAGTTTCAAATACTAAATGTATTTTAGGGTATTACAAGATGTTTGGTGGTCGTGTTGCCTTTACCACGAAAAAAGATGCTAAATATTTTTTGAAAAGTTCTTATTTGTTTTTGCAAAAGTTTAAATTTCTTTTTTTCCATGATTTTCTGTTCAAAAGTTTTTTAGGTAGTCCTTCGGAATTGGTACGAGAAGAATAAGCATATTTATCCAGCTTCAAGGTGGGAAGCTTTCGTGCCTAACAAAGAATATCGACAAACAGTTGATGATTTGACCACTATATAACCATGGTTCCATAATAATAAAGATCTATAAGTTTATCCCCATTTTTCTTTTATATTTCGCAACAAAGGATGTTGTCAAAGCGTAGTTTGTTGCGGTTGGGCGAAAACAGCGCGATTTAGATTTGCTTTAATAATGAAATCGAGAGGGTTTATCAGTGTAATAGTCAAACCACAAATTGTCTTTTTTTATCATTTTTTAAATTATGTTTATTTCAATGTTTATAAAAACGCGATAGAATCCTCTTCAAATCCGATTGTATATCGAGTCACAACGCCATGTTCAATACTTGCCATAGAAGATAATGGGACAGCATCACTTCCTACGCGCCCTTTCCATTATCCGACAAGTTCACTTATGTTTTTTGGTAATTAGCAGGTTCAGTTTTCTAACCTTATTGGAGAAGTATTTTGTTGTATGAAGTATAGTCTCTTATCTTCATCCAAATGAGCAATCATTCAACAACTAATTCCTTCATTAATTTTAGACCATTTGATCCCGTTGAGTTCAAATTTAACCTTAAATTACAGTTTTGAATCTAATTTGACATATAAACCATATATTAAGCATATAAAATTTTATATGTACAAATTTTACATCGATGAGTTGTGAATGAGTCTAGGTAATTTAGTTGAAGTTAATTTAAACTGGTGTTTTAAACTGGGATTGCTGTTTGGAGAGACGAAAGTATTTTTGGAGTCCTTCAAATTAATTTACCTGATTTGCGATTACGGCGTTGTGCCAGGTGGCGGTCTAAACATGCTGCTGTAAATCTTATAGGTACAAGTGTAAAAGTTTAGAAAATCTCGGAATTGCTGTGATTTTTCATAGAATTATCTTTTTTCCTGTAAATATTCGGATAAATATTTGAATTGAATTATTATTAAAACAGTTTAAATGATGAAATCCAATTCCTTTGAATGATGGTTTTTATCATACTAAATGGAGCATATAACTGTGGGCTTGAATTTATAATAACATTATAATACGACGAATAACAAAAAAAATAGATAGATGGTGATTGCAAGATAAAGATAAGAGATAAGCATCTAGAAAGTGTACCAAAATGCCAAAATATTTCATAAATAATATTAAATCTTTTCCCTCGTTAAATTTTTTTGCTTAGTTTTCTCTCAGAATCATTCAACATGAGAACTGGTAAGCAGTTTTCTAAACATTTTTAGATGGAACTCGAAATTCGTTCGCAATAAATCTTTCTTTATTCGGTGAAAAATTCATAAATTAAAAGAAAAGTACAAGAATTATCTATATTTAAAAAAAAAAAAAAACAAAAAAACAAAAAGCATTTGATATTAAATTATTGAGATCAAATATGGCTTTAAATACTTTTTGTATTTCTAAGCCTTCCATGAAGAATTTTGCTTGGCGCTTTAAACAGGTCGAGTGGTGGTAATGAGATCATTCTATCAAATTTGCTTTTTACATCATTTACATCATTTATTGATACCATATGTGTTTTCAATTTTTTTCCTGGTTCATTTTGAATCTTTTTTTTAGTGATATTTAGTGGTGTAACAGTAAGCAATAAAGATGGAAGAAACAAAATCCCATGTAATAGTCCAAGAGAAATTACAAGGAATATGGTCTTTAAAAAAACTGACACCATATAAGAATCGACTAAAAGCAGCGGCGAAACGCAGAGTACTGTCGACAGACCTGCTTGTATCATTGGCCAACCGATTGATCTACAATAGTAAGGCATTGTGGCAATGCTATGCAATGAATATATGAAATTCGCGTTTAATGAAATCAAGAGCAAGAAGATTTATAAATATTTAGAAGATTGTATAAATTACGTTAAAGCATCTCGAAGTCTCTCTTCGGGAATTTTGCTGCTCGAGCACCGATAATAATGGTAACATATATGGACTGTGAAATCAACTGAAAATCCGATTGAGGTAAGGGTCGTGCACATCGTTAAAGGATCCAAGCAAACATTCCAGAGAGATAAGCCGCCAAAAACTCCAATGTTTATCGACAACATCGCCAAGCAGCTGAATAAATTTAGCATTATTTCACCGAAAAATTGAACAAACTATACTGTAGAAATGTAAATCGTTGCAAAAATAGCAAGAATTCTAAGAGATAAAAGACATAAGAGATTATCGAGATAAGAGATAAGATCCGAGTGCCTTTTTGGTTAGTTAAGCAAAAAGTCTAAAATTCTAAATTTCTAAATGGACTTACGTAATAATTTGAGAATATACAACAATATACAGAATTACAGAATATACAGAATTCTTAGCATTAACGGTAAGTGCTAAGATTTTGTTTCGCATAAAATAATTTATAAAATTTGACTGAATTAATTAACTAAAACTTCGAGCCAAGGCCTTGACTTATGCTCTTTAATTTAATCCTCTTGTAATTTTTTTCACGAATCCAAATCAATAGGGCTGACATAATCATCATCCTTATGGCTAGCTACTAGAATTTCTTGCACTTAACTACTGGAACATCCATACTTTGTTCAGGCTCCTGTATTGGCAAAAGTTTTTATGATTATGACCTCAGCCAAGCAGTAATAGGAATATAATAACTAGCACAATAGGAATATAAGGGTATAGTCTTTCTAAATTAAAAAAGATCGAATGATCCATTTCATTGTGATTTTTGCAAAATAGATTTGCTAAAAAATGGTACAAATAAGCAGATTTTACCTAAAAATAATGGATAAATTTGATGGAATAGTTAGAAAACAAATCAATGCCATAGCGACCATCGCTGTTATCACTGTACTGATCATTGTTGGCCTTATCGAATTTAGCTGGTCAACATAGAAGCTATATGGCTAAAAATAGTTGGTAGATTCTCTCATCAGTTACGATTTAGAATGATTTAGATTTTTAAGATGATTTTTTATAAGATTTATCAAATGTGCCTAAATTAAGCGAATGACTTTCAAATAAAAAACTTAATAAATTTAATTAAAAATTCAATTTCAAAAAATTGAAATTATAATCGAAGAAACTTACTTGATAAACAGTCACATTATATTGTTGATAGAAAAATGCCAAATCTCGCCATGCATTTTGTAATCGAGCGCGAAGTACCCATGACGAATGATTTCCCATGGCAATTGCTGTGGCGAAAAAGAATCGTTTAATGCCAATGATAGTTTGGTTGAAACGTTCGACTCGAATGAAATCGTTCCATCGTCTTCCTTCATCCTTCAAGCAAATCAAGCATAAGAATATTCATAAGTTCATTTTCGATGATTAAAAATCATCTAAATTTTTTTTAAAATATAAATGAATCGATAGAATTGTGATTTCGACGACATCAAATTCCTTCTCTTTGCTACTTTTATTCGGAAATTTTTACTTTATTTTTTTCATTAAAAATGATGATACATCTCATTAAATGAATTTAAATTCGAAAATTTATGGAATATGAAAAATTTATAAGCAAAAGAAACAACAAAATAAAAAAAAGAGGACGAATGATTTGCTAAACGTATAGGGCATTAAGAAACGAATATCAATTCACCGTAAGCCAATCATCCAAGAGAAAATAAAAGTCATTATTTTGCTCATTTTCATAAAGCGAAGCTTGAGAAAGAAATGATCGAAGCCATATTGACGTTGAATTGTGTCCCATTGAATATTCCAAAGTCTCAAAACGTTTGACCAAATTCAACATGCGATTACGATTGTTTTCGTAACGTAATTCTGGTGGATTATTGATGAACACAAAAAACTAAAAAGATATATATTTAAAGTAATTTTTGGCAATTATTTCTAATTCATTAACTTTTTAAGGCATATAAATGTTTGCAGATGATAGAAATTATAGGTCTATCGGCATAATATTTAGTTATAATATTTTATTGACTCATCACCTATCCTAAGGCTTTATTTTGTTCAAAAAAAGTCCATTATCTTGCCTTTGACTTTCATATTTCTTTCATACATTAATGGTAAATCTTTTCCAAAAAATTGAATATGATAATCTCAAAGATCTTTTCAAAGTGAAAGATTTTTTAATCAAAGCCTAAAAAATTTTCGTAATAGTTTTTTTTAACCCTCTAGATATTTGGGAAATCTGAAAGATTAATCGAAAAGCATTCAGATTGAGAAATTATTTTATTTTCCTTCCAAATCCTGAGATTAAAAATTAGGGAAACATGATTTGCTGTTTATTTGCTGTATATCAAACTAGATCTTATAACTTGTACAACTTGTATATGTATCCTAATGTCACAAAATCTAATGAAATTAGAGAATCTAATGAATAATCTATAAATGGAATGAAATCTATAAAAAATTGCTTGTAACTATTTTTTGCACCATCTTTGGTTCGCTAGGTCCGTTAATTTGTTGGACAAGACAAATTTTCACTTAATGGTGTAGGTGAATCGCCCAAATTTTTGAAAAACAGGTTCACTTTTGCTGTGATTAGAATCCTAGCATCGACGTTTCGAAATGGTAGCAAATGAAATCATTGAGTCATTCTATTCCATAGATTAAATAGTTTTCAATGTCTTTTCAGTATTTTATAAAATTTATGAAAATATTTCTAATCAAATTGAAAGAATGGCTACCCTATAAATATTCATTTATGTAGGTCGTAAAAGAAATATTTCAAAAGTTACCAAAGACCCTTCACTCCATAAATATTTTTCGTACAGCCATGCGACGTTGTTCAAGGGAGAATCGCGCAAAAGTAGATTAGTGCTATCCATTTTAACCGGCATCGTTAGGCATCCATAAATAGAGACCAACCAATAAGTAATGACAAAGGCAAATACCATCAAACGCCACTTAAATTATGTGCAAATTTTTCAAATTGTTAATTTACTAGTGAAAAAAACGGTTCCACAAACGGTCGAAATTATCTATAAACCTTGGCAAATCCTTCGATACTTTCTCAAAAACCTATAAAAAGTTCCGAGAAACTTATCAAGACGTATCTAAGATATATTACAATGGTAACTAAGAGACTAAGAGATTTAAGATAATTATATGGATGAGATAGGTAAAAGAATGCAACCATTAAAGGAAGCAATATTTCATTCCTGGAATCACCCAGAAATATAACATATCCCGAATATGCTGAAGATGGTGCTGATTTTAGAGAGTTAAGAAGAGAAAGGCTTGAAGAATTGCGCGGAATCTACGATGATTTAAATTAAAATGAAGTGGAACTTTGATGGTGGAATAAGATACATTTAAGTGGATTAAGTGAATTTAGGAGATAGAGGAGGATATTTAATGAGGATTTAGGTAGGAAAAAATTTTTTCTCGGGATGAATTCTTACTTCTTGGATGAAATTTTTGTAAAATAATTCAAATGGCCATTTAAGGGATTTCAAAATGATTAACCTGATATCTGCCGAGACATTTACTATAATATATGATGATTCGATTATGAACAACTGAACAATGCTTATTCTGAAAACTTTGTTCATATTATTAATTTGTTATATTTTGGACTGATAAAACTTTGATAAAATTATTTTAAGAATTGAAAAAAAAGTATAGGTTGAAAAATCACACGATTGCTAACGCGATTAATTCGATTGTTATCACTGGCCTTTGATTCATTTACAATTCTTTTTGGACCTTGATAAACCATCGCTGCACCAAAGAAAGTTATCTAGAAAATTTCTTTAAATGTGGTTATTCATAGGACATTTTTTAGATAAAATAAGGTAATTATTTGATGTTCACTTTGTAATGTAAAATTCGTTTCTGTCTTTTACCTGATAAATGAAGTCAATAAGTACACCAAGCGTGGCGTATATGCAAAAAAGGCGTATAGCAGGTGTACTCGTAAGAATTCCAATTCCAAAACTTAGTGCATTTGTAACTGAGGTCACTGTTATTGATGGACCAGCTTCACTCATTGTCGTTACTTAAATGGCTGTAGTTATTTGGAAGCTTTCATTTTCATGAATTATTCCAGTTATAATATTTGAAATATTTTGACATATTTTTGTCAAATCATTAGTGTGATTAAAAATGATAAGTAAAAATCTTTTTATAAAAAAAAAAAATTAGTACATGACTGATAACTATCTATTGCTCTTGACTAGCCAGTTTATTTAGATTTAGACAAGACTTTTGGTGGCGTTTTATACAAAACAACACCAAAAGCAGCATCCTTCACAGTTATTCATGAATTTGATGTTAATGTTTAATCGGATTTTAGATTATTTAAGTGGCCCTATTAACAATGTACTTACCCTAGTTATTCGTATACACGAGGTTAATTTTAAACCTTTTTGCCTTTTGTTTCCTTTAATATATAGTTTGTATGCTTACAGAACTTATTTTTTACATACTAAACAATGGCCTTCAATTCGAAGAATAAGTTATTAGATGGGATCAAGAAAAATTGTAAATAGGTGAATGTTTCACATATTAGTGCCAAATGTTTTAATCTTTCACCATTATATATTGAATATCAGTCTGTCCTAAACTCGGATAAGCAATTAGCTTATTAGCTTTTTGGTTTTACTTAGTTGTTATCATCAGAATCATCAGAAATTGTACGAATAAATCCGATATTTTTCTCATCAATAAACATTCGTGCATCCATATGTGCTATATGGTTGCGTAATATGATTTATTCTTTCCCTATATAGAGAAAATTAAAAATTTACAGAAACATTTTTTGCACCGCTTTAAGTCCATCTAACTCCTCAGTTAATTATAAATCCTTTCAAAATTTTTATAACCTCGATTTATTCAAAGATAGGACAATGAATAATTAAATTCTGGTTTTAAGATTTGATTTAATTTGAAATTCTAATTAATATTTTGTTTCGCTAATTAGTTAAAAATTTATTAATAATTATAAATTCGCTTAATATTTTCAAAGGCAATGGTTCGATTTGCCAACATCCATCTATAAATCTATAATAAATAATGCTCTACCTAATAATTTCTTTCATTTAATGCTTTAACCAGTGGAAGAAGCGGCCTAATGATGCCTTTTTTTTGCTGCCTTCAGCACTTAAAGTATACTCGTCAGGCTTATTTATGACTAATTTGTAGCCACAGCTAAGGTTGTTAACAGATTTTTTTCATCAATTAATTCGACGTTACGTGTACTAGCAAATGACGTTATGCTCCTTTATAAAGGAATTAAACATTAACTATTAACTATTATCAACCTATTCGTCGGCCAATTAGGTCATTCGAACTCGTTTTACGCCATGCATGTACAATGATAAATACGTCATCGCATCCGACTCCCATAATTAAAAATGGTACAACCAATGTTATTGAATTAAATTCGTTGCCAATAGCTAATAGTACTGTAAATCTGAAAATAAAAGGAACTAATCGAATATTCAATCAAATTATATTTTTGTTTATTGATGGACAAATTTCTATAAAAAAAAGCAGAATGCATTTGTAGTTAATAGGGTTTATTTTTGGAAGGATTTTATACGGAAATAAAAGATTTGTGCGATAATCAGTTTTTTTTAGAATATTTAAACAACAATGATATCGTTATTTTGCCAAAAACAGGATTAGTGCTTTGTAGAATAAAAGACAACTAGGACAAGGTCGAAAAGCGAGGCATTCACTATGAGAGAGAACTTCCGAAACGATTCGATTTCTCCACTTTTCGGCTATTCGCAAATTTTTCTAGCAAAATTCATTTCGGATTATGTCGAAATCTTTTCAAAGTTCATCGAATGATTTAAACAAATAAAAGAGAATTTTCGACACATAGTGGCGTTTAATATTGTAAGGTTTTATGAAGGGTTTTGCTATATCTAAGAAATGTGAAATCACTAAATCACTATTATTATACAAAACGACTAACGTTGTACAAATAGCCATTAATGGTCCAATGGTACCAACGAAAGCGATGAATAAACCTTCACTGATATTCGATCTTTGATTAGTAATGAGAATAAACGAAAATACGGCTGTAACCGATAAAATAAAGTAGGGAATACAAGAAATACCATTCCGACGAACCTCAAAGATATATTTTAAATAATTTACAGTTATTTTTCTCTATTTTAAAAGATTTATTATTATATTTTAATAAGAAACATACTTCATGCGAAAATAAGCCATCACTGCTGCAACTGATATTGATAAATGGATGTCGAAATGATTGCACATATGATAACAATTTTTTTTCCCATCTAAAGGAATTTTTAAAATTTTTAATGTGTAATTTTAATAAATTTGGCTCATTTTGAACAAATCATTTCACATCAATTTTTTGCATATCACATAATGAAATTTAATTTAAGGGATGAAATTTACAATGAAGGACAAATGGAAATCGAGATTTTACATATACCAAGGTTGTTGGAATATGGCTGATTTCTATGATGGAACAAATTTGGCTCTTCAACTTCCACTTTTTCTCCTAGCGATTAGAGCAGAAGCATGATTTCCTAGCATTTATAGGTACCACATATATATATCATAAGTTACTGCATCAAACTCTGCACAATTAAATAATTGAACGACTATACCTATTTAAAATTTCATCGATATTTTTATTTTGACGGTCCGTTCGGTAATATAGCACAATTAATCTGATATCGCTAAAAATATATATGATAATTAAGCCTATTTTCTTTTCTATTACGCTAAAAGGACTTCATATATTCATTTTTATTCATTTTCTTCTAATAGCTCGCATGATTACCGATTAGGCTAGCTCTATAAGGATAAGGCGTTTCCGAGCCGCTAAGTCCACTGCCATATTCGAAAGCAATTGAAGCCATTCCTTTTTCCAAAGTCGAATTTCATAAATCGCTTAATTGCCTATACCTTTACTTTTTTTTGCTTTTACTTAAACTTTCCTATTTGATTTTTCACTGTTTGACTAATCGAAACCTTTAAAAAATATGAAAAAATACAAAGAATGAAAGGAATGAAAAAAAGGAAAAATTTTTTCAGTGAAATTTATTCATATGTGATAAATTTGAGTGCCACAGAAAAATAAAAGAATTTTGATAAAATTCAGCTGTCTTCTGAGGTTTAACTAACGAATGAAATTACTAATTTGATTTTGCTATTATTTCAATGAAAACCATTTAACCTGATACGATTCGTGGTTCTATTAACTGAAATTCCAGCGAAGTGTTCACCTATATAATATTCATCATTATAAATATGCATTGTGGGATATGTGAGGCGAAAATTTGGATGAAAACGTCTTGAATCATTTCGATAAATTAGTCGAAATATAGGTATCACCTAAAGTTAATTGTTTTCGTATAAATTAGAAACAGTTTTACTTTTCTTTTATTTATATAATCGCTGGGATTTTTCCTTTATAAAGTACCAATTCCACAATAATTTATAATTTCCTTCCAGTTTTCTTCTAGTCATTCTATCAATTTAAACAATTTCATAAAGGTTTTTAAAATTATATTTGGCATACTTGATTATCATTGCAATTCCCCGAACAAATATCTTGAAATGAACAAAAACCAGAGCTCTTCAGATCACATTGTACTGTTAGATTGTGCTGTATAAAAAATGAAAGTTCTTCCACTTCTTCTAAATAACCATCTCGCAACAAATTTCCTTCATCACGTGATGTTATTGGAACCTTAAAATCGAATTTAAATGTCAAACCCGTTCTTGCGTCAAAAAAAAGATATCCGATCAGAAAAATTTTCAGATAAGTAAGCTTGAATAATTTCGTTTTAATATTAATTAATTATATTTAATATTTATTAATATTTATTTTATATTAATATTTATTTAATATTAAATGTAAATGCAGAAAAATGATAAATGTTAAAAAATGAAGGAAAAATTGGTAAATGATGCGATAATTTCTCAATTTTTAAAAAAATTTGACTTTTTCTTTGCCCATATCTTAGTGTACCTACCTTAAGGATAGCACTTTTCAACACCTAAATATCTCACAAAAAAATGAGTTAATTAATAATACCTTTAATATTAAGGCAATTCTCAAATAATAATTATCATCATTGTTTAAATCAGTGTCGATAAGCATCAAGAATATAATGTTTTACCGAAAGTTTTTTATCTTCAAGGTTAATCAATTGAATTTAGATATTTGAAAGAAACAATTTAACACATTTTTCGGACGGGTTCATTTCTAATTTTGCGAGTGATAACTGAATAAAATGAATAATAGAGCAATAAAATTCGTGAATTTTACCTCGAGTAAGAATTTGCCACCCCTTTCTTCAAAAAACTCATTTGCAACTGCATGTTCGTAATGAGATGGAGCATTTGATGGACTATATAAATACCAAATTCGATTTTCTTCCGAAAAACGTAATAAACCGAATAAACTTATACAAGTAAAAATTATTGGAGACCAGAAAAATAGACCAGTGTGCCTTCAACAAATAATATTTGCGTTATCACAATCAGATTATCGCACAGGATGGATTCAGTGATAAGAAGTCGTTTAGAAGTCGTTTCAGTTTCAAGTTTGAAGACAGTTCTTTGGTAAGTTTTCTTAGCAACAAGTTGAAAATTTGGCTTAATTGTGATAAAAATTTATATGGAACCAAAACTGGAATTTTGCAAGACTTTATCAACATTTTTATAAAAATATTTGATATAGAATTATAGAAATATATAAAATATAGGATTTAACGAAAATAACTGTCCCAAGATTTATCTGAAATAATTATTCTTACAATGTTTTTCGAATGCTTTTCTATAAAAAATCTTTTTATAATTTTAATATGACTTTAATAATGAAATAATAAAAATGTTGAACAGCAAGAATTTTACAGAACAAACCGTGAAATAAGAAATGCGAGACAATGAAAAATCGTTCGAATTCGATCTGAAATAAATGCTCCGATCGAGAGCGCCATCATCTGACAATACTGAAACACACAATGCCCCTATATCCATCATTCACCAACACTATCAACACACCGTTTCACTTTTAGGAATATGCAGAATTTTGATATGCAATTTCTTTTTATTACGCTTATCAATTTTTAAGACTGCTTTTTATAGTTTTTTCATCAGTGAGCAATGATCAGCTGATTTATTGAACCAAATAAATTTTGCCAGGGAGCCACTTGGCGAGAGAATTACAAGATTCAGGTTTATTCCTACCGAGCATGGAACCCTAGCATCGATACTCCAACTAGTAAATACTCCCAGTAAATTCTATCAACAAGCAATAGCTTTTTTATTATTCGAAAAGATTTGATAACCGTGAAAAGCAAATGAAACAATCTCGCTGCCTCTTAAAGATAGAAATTATTTAAAATAATTTTTTTCGGAGATTTTTCTGATCTAATTATCAATTTTAACGGTCAATGAATGCTCAAAAAATATGCGAGGAATTTGTTCAAATTCTTTAGTTTTTCAGTTTATTTTGGCTCTCAATTTCTTCCATTTTTTCTAATTTTCTGACTTATATTTTGGTAAGAGAAAGTGATAAGAAGTTATATCGATCAATATTTTTTTATTTATGAAAATGCTTCAGGTTTTTATAAATTAATAGGCACCTTGGATCCACTCTTATACAAAATGGAATAATGAAAGACTTAATCTCGATGTCGTTGTCCGCAGTTAGATTTTTTCTAATCACAAAAGCAACACAGTTTTATCAGGTTACTGTTTGGCTGCGAAATGAGAGTCGAAGATGTGAGAGAGCCATTTACCCTTGACATTTCTGGCCTTATACACATTCTGCTATGCGCACAATTTAATTTCTTCCAGTTATTTTCGCTCGATTGCAGATGTTTTAAAAAGGCATATCCTTTTTAGGTGGCAGCGCATCACAAAAACTAACATATATCTCGCTGCATTTTAAGCCTAACGATAATCCAGAAACATGAAGGCGTAATTGGATTGGTATGACTAGATTTCGAGCTTATGACAGCCCCTTGACAGGTAAGCTGAAGCCGTGGAGAGGAAATAATTTCTGCTATTTTCAAATATGATATGGTATCAAGAGGCTTGGAAAAACCTCACTCTTGTAACAGCAATGATATAAGCTGTTAGAAGGCTTAGCCAAAAGAATCGTCTATGTTGATCCCTAATCATATACTTTCATGTTGACCCCTAATCATATAATTTCTCCAGGTGTCACTCGGTAATAGACCACTTTATCACATTATTATGACTGGTTTTTTTCAAAAGTATAGAAGTATAGAAATTTTTTCATGATCCTTTTATAAACCATTCAGAAATGAATAGTTCAAGCTTTTCATCGATAATTTTTTGCTATTTAATGTCAAATAATGAATGGTTCGAATTTCTAAAGACTTTAGCAGTATAAAGTATAAAGTTTTTAAAAAAAATTTAAATTATTTTTTTCATTGCTTCATTAAAAACTCTCGTTTTAAGTATATTAGGTCTCATCACGGTGAAAATTTTTATAAAAACACTGCTAGCATTTTCTCATTTATCAAATGTGTTGTGTTAAGTCAATTTGGATTCTCGTTCGTTATGAAACCAAACAATATCAATTAGAGTAAAATTAATATAGTAGTTTTACCAAGGAGATAAAAGACCCATAATGATTATTTCATAGAAATGATAATATTTCATAGAAATATGCAAGTTCAGCGTCAAAAAATCGAAGATTTCATTTTAAAAGAAGGATGTTCGCTAGATTTTAATGTAAATAATTTTATTTATATCAATTAAATTTTTAAAACTTTATCAAAAGCCTCTAAATATAGCTCCTTATCTTAAAACTTGTATCAGCGAAGTTTTCTTATCATAAAGCACCTCTATCACACCAAAATTACTTCCAGACTAAGCGCTGTCGCTTATTGACTTCAAATGTTAAAGCATTTAACGAGAAATTTTCACTCTGTAAGTCATTTTTTAAAGTTTTTCAAAGATGCATTTTGAAAAATTCCAACTGCATCAATAAACTTTCATCATTTCTGCGTGCTATTATTTAATTACATCTATTTAACAAATTAGTTATCGAAATTATCTTCCTAGTCCCATCTATTCCGAATTGCACTATCCAAATGTATCAAAACTTGGAACAGCGGAAAGCATTTGAGAACTAATAGGATGAAAAATCCCTATTATCCTTTAATATCCCCAATCAATGTCATGCTAAATATACATTGATGTTATTAACCATGAAAAGTGATTTTAAGGGTATGAAGGGAATATTCAACAGGGTTTAAGGTTTTTTCACAAAATATAATAAGCTTAAGAATATAAAGATCCCAGTACAGTAGATCGACATTGTGGCAGTATGTGGATTTTTAAGCATTATCGAGTCGCATCAAAGGACCATAATATGCTTTTTTACGGCAACGGGGCTGCCATAGCGTAAGTGCTTGAATATTAAAAAGGAATTTAAAGGATTCTTTTTAAAGGCCATCCTTTAAAAAAAGGAAATAATGTAGGTTGAGAGGATTAAAGTAACTTTTGCAATATGCAGCTGTTCTGACCAACTTGCAGTTCGATTCCACATAATATAAGCTGCGCAGTGGCAGGTGGATTTTTCTTAAGCAAGATCATATTGGTCTAATCCCTTTCGAGTTAAAGCGAAAGTCCTGTTGATTTAACGAAATGCTTCCCGATAAAATGTATGTTGCAATACATATTCTACTCGAAATTTCATGCATATATATATATATATATATATAATTATACCTATAGGTTATTAAGAAACCCTATAGGTTATAGAATGGCTCAGTGGGTTGTTGTAGGCTAGCGGCGGTGCTGAGGTTCCACTCCCTACCGGAATAAGTATCTCCAAAAACCTGGGTGATACTGGCAACCCACATATATTTCTGTTGCCAAGGAACTCCTGAAATGTCCGTCTAGTTCGACAAGCAGACCAAGTTTAACCAATAATGGTGAAGGACCCGAATCTAACCTCCTCTCCTTTTTACCCCGAATAGAACTATAGTCATTACATAAACAAATAATTGAAAAATGGAATGTTAAAGAGCAGTTATTTTTATTCCTATATTTGAGCAATTCAGCAATTATTCGCCCAAACTTTATATCGATATGCATCCCCTTAATACAATTATATGGACCATAAAAAAATATGCAACTATATACTAAGAAGTTTTCAGGAATATTAAAATCGAAGTCCGATCTTCTTTTAATGGAAAAACTTTGCACTGGACTGAAATTCTTACTTTAAATGCGCTTTTGAACAATTATAAGTAATAGTAGCAGAAATTTTTAAATAATCATAAACAATTAAGGATGATAGTTTAAATCACTTTCAAATCACTATAGCTTTTCGAAATGGATCTTGAAAAATTTCGCGAAAACAGGCAGTGAAAATTAAATATAAATTTTGCGCGATTTCTTTTGAATAGGGCAAATTGTCAGTACAACTATTCTTCTTTCTTTTTTTTTATAGATCATAAACTCAGCTTCAAAAGGAAGATTCGATGGAATAAAACGAAATTATAATGTGGAAGATGTGTTGAAATTAAGAGGAACAATCCAAATCGAATATACTCTTGCATGCAGAGGTGCCAACAAATTATGGCACTTACTTCAAAGAGAGCCGTATATTGCAGCATTGGGGGCACTAACAGGCAATCAAGCGGTACAAATGGTTCGAGCTGGCCTCAAGGCTATTTATCTATCAGGTGATTGATACCTATTCGCTTAGAAATTCTAATCTTTTTTTCAATCTTCCAAACGCTTTTATTTTACTTTTTATTGCCAAAATCAACCTGAAAATCAACCTGAAAAAATCAAATAATTTCTGTTATTTGCTAGAAATAAAGTTTTTGATATTAAGGATGGCAAGTTGCGGCGGATGCTAATACATCAGGCGATATGTATCCTGACCAATCACTTTATCCAGCCAATTCTGGGCCTGAGCTATGCCGAAGAATAAATAAATCTTTACGTAGAGCGGACCAAGTATTCGTTTATTTAATTAATTACTAATTATTAATTATTAATTGTAATTACCGTTAATAACAAAAATTCATTTAATTTAAAATCAGATAGAAGCAGTTGAAGCAAAGGATTATTGTTCACCACATGATTGGTATGCACCTATTGTAGCAGACGCTGAAGCAGGATTTGGTGGTTCTCTTAACTGTTTCGAAATTATGAAAGCAAGTTGTTATTTTATCCTAGATGTTTTATCCTAGATCTGGCCTACAAGTGATGAAGCATTTTTATTATCCAGTATCTAAAACCTATTTCTTAAGGCATATATTGAAGCAGGTGCTGCAGGAGTTCATTTCGAAGATCAATTAGGAAGTGAAAAAAAGTGTGGACATATGGGTGGTAAAATATTAATACCTACAGGCGAGCATATACGCCATTTGAATGCTGCACGTCTTGCAGCTGATGTTTGTGGTGTGTCAACGATCATTATTGCTCGCACTGATGCTGAAAGCTCGAGGCTTATTACAAGGCAAATGCCATTACTGAATTCACAAATCTGAACCAAGACTAAATGCTACGTTCCATTAGAAGAAACAAAGCTAATTTTTGTGGCATCGTTTCTTCGCTTTTCAATCTGTTCACTCTTTTTTCATCCTTATTTTTTTCATGATTTGGTGCTATTAAGAACAGTTTCTTCGGTCTTTTCTAGCGCCAGTCAATCTCAGAATTGTTGAATATGATAGATAAAAATATTCTGAATCCACAGTTTATTTGCATAAATACGTTTCAATAATTCAAGACCATTCAGTAATCAAATTCATGAAATTTCAGTGATAATGATGAAAGAGATCATGGTTTTATTGACCGCAAAGCTGGAAGAACATCAGAAGGATTCTACAGGCAATTCTTTTTCATTGATCATTTTAAGATGTTTTTAACGAATGAAGAGTCAAGGAGGTACATATATACATATATAGTTGAGATAACGAATGATCTCAAATTATAAAAGTTCAGATTCTGTTGAGGAACCACTTGTATTTTTATGCTCAAGTGGTGCACCAATCTGTATGTGATGGAGGCATCATATACCTATATATATATATATATGTATGGCAAGTGGGTAATGCTGGCAACTCACCTTGTAATTTATCGCCAAGAGTTTTCCCGGCATATTTGCCTAGTCACACGCAAGCCAGCGGAATGAATCTAAATAGTAATGTGCTCTTAACGAAAAAAGTTTATGGCAAGATAGGACCATAATTGTCATTAGGAAAGTTGTACATTTTTTTTTCGCTTGAAAAATCTGTATGGAAAATCTGTATGAAATCTGAAAATCATTGTTTAGATTAAAAAATGATGCACCAGTGCAATACTGCATCGAAAGGGCCAAGCACTATGCACCATATAGTGATTTGATTTGGATGGAAACTTCCTATCCAAAGCTAAGTGATGCGAAAGAATTCGTTGAAGGTGTCCGTAAGGAATATCCAGACAAATTATTCGCATACAATTGTTCACCATCTTTCAATTGGAGAAAACATTTGCGTCAAAACGATTTAGAAAAATTTCAAAAAGAACTTGGTGCAATGGGATTCAAATTTCAATTCGTTACTCTAGCTGGTTTTCATTGCAATAGCTATAGCACTTATGATTTGGCTAGAAAATATCGAAAACATGGAATGATAGCCTATTCTGAACTTCAAGAATTGGAATTCAAAGCTGAAAAGTTAGCATTAAAAATGAAGCTTCTAAAGCTTTTGCTAAAATCGTGATTGTTGTGATAATGATCATTTATTTGTTTTTCAATGAAGAAAATCCGATTTAGATACGGATATTCTGCAGTAAAACATCAACATGAAGTTGGGACAGGTTATTTCGACTATGTTGCAAATACAGTAGCTGGTGGAAAAGCTTCGACTGTTGCACTTTCTGGATCGACCGAAGAAGCACAATTCTATGAAAAACGAAATAATTCATCGTCATATGAAGATGATAAACATGAAAATATAATAGTTCATAACAAAATTTCTTACTTTTTTTTTCAAATTACACCATAGTGAATATTGAAAGAAAAGAATCTAAGCTCTTCAACAAACATCTTCCAGGTAGCTCCAGTTATGCATGATCATGAGAAAATTATTACACCCGATGCTATACGCTATATCAGAGAATTACATGAAAAATTTAATGGAAGACGCTTACAACTTCTTGCTGAAAGAGAAATATTACAAGCAGCAATTGATAGAGGAGATTATTACCCCGATTTTGATAAAGCTACTAAAGCTTTAAGAAATGATACAAAATGGAAAGGATCCAAAATTCCTGATGACATGATGGTTGGTCAGTTTAGTCAGTTTAGTCTAGCGATGTGTTGCTTAGATTATCATTTCAGAGATAAGGGTTTAGCCCTGGCGCTATTAAGATCAAACTCGCTATCCGACAAAACCAGGCACGCGCCATCTCTAGGGGATCCACCAGTGAAATGCCTTATCCTAATGGATATTCGCTTTATTTGCAGTTGTGGCTAAATGAGATCAAAAAGAGAAATGAAAAAAAGTGAAAAAGAGGAGCTAATGAAAAATGGAAAATTATTTGTCCTTAGGATGTGTTGATTTAAGGATCGGCGTGTTGAAATCACCGGTCCAACTGATAGAAAAATGATCGTTGATGCTTTAAATAGTGGTGCGAAGGTGTTTGTGGCAGATTTCGAGGATTCAAACGTACCTTCTTGGAGAAATCAGTTAGATGGACAAGTTAATTTATATGACGCAGTGAGGGAAAATATTTCTTTCACTGATCTGATATCTAAAAAACAGCACTTCTTGAAAAAAAAACACGCAGGTTTATCTAAAATTTTTTAAATATTATTATTGTTTACTACAAACTTTGTTGCTTTATAATTAGAGCTCTATAGAGAATGACTGAATTTTCTAATAAGTTTTATCAGTTTTCTTGATTATATCACTGAATTTTCAGTAATAAACGTTCGTCCACGCGGATGGCACCTGCCAGAAAAACATGTTCTTATCAATGGCGAGCCAATAAGCGGATCATTATTCGATTTCGGGCTCTATCTATATCATAATGCCAAAATTTTATTACAAAAAGGTTCGGGTCCCTATTTTTATCTTCCAAAACTCCAAAATGCTGCTGAAGCTAAACTATGGGCTGATGTTTTTGAATTCTCTGAGAAACGCCTTGGTTTGCAAAATGGATTCATTAAATGCACCGCACATATCGAACATCTTCTTGCAACATTCCAGGTTCCTTTTTGGATATTTACTAATAACCTTTTTTAGCCTTAATAAAGCAATTTAAAATATTTAATTGCCGTATTAATTTCAATTACCGTAAGGGGAATTTTTACAATAGAAAAGAGCAGAGTTTTTGATAATCTATAGAGGATATTGATAAGGAAGAAAGATATATTCAAAATTTGTGATACTTTTAATATATGCGTCATGATTTTTAAAATTACGAAAAAAAACATATATTTTCGAAACCTTTCCGATAATCTTTCAGATGGATGAAATTATATATAATTTATCAAAAAATATTATCGGTCTTAATTGTGGTCGATGGGATTATATTTTCTCATTTATTAAAGTGTTTCGAAATCACAGCAATTTTTTATTGCCAGATCGTTTTCAAATTGGTCGGTATAATTGAAGGCTGCTTTCTTTTTAGTTAATCATCCTAAATAAGGATCATTTGCTGCTAATCCAATATATTCAATCGAGCCCATTATCCAGTAAATGAATTCTAAATCTTTAGAATCTGATAGAGTGTTCAATTTATTTTCTTATGAATTTTCACGCCGCAAATCAAAAAAAAAGAAGAAATCCGAGGAAATTTCCTTTCCTTCCTTTTTACCTGAAAATGATTTTCAAGAGAAACAATATTTTAACATTGATGTATTAGTGATTTACAAAATTGTGAACAAATCTAAGGTATGACTTCGCCATTCTTGCGAAATTACGCATTATTATGCATTAAAAGCTCTCATCTACGAAATATTGCCGCATTGGGTGGAATGGCCGCACAAATTCCTATAAAAAATAATGCTTTTGCTAAAGAACAAGCTTTAAAAGTTATACGCCAAGATAAAGAGCGAGAAGCCAATGATGGTAAGTTTCTTTTTTATTTTCCTTTCATTTTAAATTTTCCAGTTCGAATTCATTTTTTTCCTCTGAGAGCTCCCACCACTGCTCTAAGCCTAATTGCTCTTGCCCAAGAGTGCGACGCTTCCAAGGCTCTTAATTCTTTATCCGAAACCATTCCTTCTTCCACATATCGCTGAGTCATTCAAAATCTCTAATAAACAGATCACTTAATATATCGATAGGTCTCCTCACTTTTGAAGCCAATCATCATAAGGCTTAGCAAATAGTAAGGTATGCGTGCATTCCTATGATAGGCGACGAAAAACATGGCCTAACTTGACCTGCGACGACATTATTAATGTTTACGGTATTCGAGTAAAGGTGGATCCAATCAAATGCGATTCCATAGATGCCGTCTTCCATTTTAATACTGTTTCCACGGTAATTCCATAGGTTTTATCAGAAATTCTTAGCTGCTGCCATTCAGATTGGAATTTCGCCTTTCAATTAGCAATTTAGTAAAAAAAAATATATAGAATTTTTTTTCAATCACACTTTTCCAGTCGATAAATTTGTAAGAGCAGATAGCTTCTCAGCTTCTAATATGTAAGGCGAAAAGTTTTTCTGAGTTTCATTGCAGTCATCGATACATCGTGTATCATTTATTGCAATTCTTCATAAGCAAAGAACGCCATCCACGATTTCAAAATATGTGATAAAATACTCTGAACTTGTGCACATATTCTTGGGTAATGGCAAGTGATATCCATAAGTCAGCCTTGTCGCACAGTTGAATATAGTAAGGAAAAAAATACAGCCCTAATGAATGCCATTTTTTATTTCAAAAAGAAATGACAGAGTTCGCTAAAGTAGGTAAAATGTCTTAAAGAGTTGGACAATTTTCTCTGATACATCGAGGCATTAATCTCGGAAACTCTGTCAGATTACTGGAAAGCAGTGGCAAAATTAAACTATTGATGGTGGATTGCTATTTAAAGCGATGTTCCAATCTTTCTTAGGATGAATGTCTGAGCAGTACGGTTCAAATTTCTTCTGCCTTATATTGCCATAAGTATTATTCTGCTGAGGGGAGGCGAAAAATTTCTTAAAAATGCCTTATAGGATGATTCCTCGATAGTTGCCACACGTAAGTGTCGTCGTTCTTGGAACTTGAGCGTAGGAACTGCTAGACTGCAGTTATCTCTTATTAAATTTTTTTTCCACACCAGTAGACATATCTTCTGATGGTGAGAATTGAGAATGTTGCATTACAATTTCTAGCTGGAAATCTTCTTCTTCATTCTTTCTTTTCTTTCCTTTCTGATCATTCCTTGTTCTGCTAGTGGCTTGCAATTTATTTTGAACATTCCAGCTTTGTCTGAGATGGCTCACCTTGGCTAAGTTTTTTTCAAGGAAATGAAACTTTCTATAGTGAGAATCCGAAAAAACACCACATAAATATTTCAGTGACCATTTCCCAATTAGATTGCTTTACGATGAAAACGAAATACTTTCCAATTACTAGATTATCTAATCAGGAAAATAAATCCACGTTCAGGGCCATATCAGTCCAATAACCTGGCGCTGTTGCTGTCAGGCTGCCAGACGCTTTCAATGCGTTCAATAAATATCTTCACATTAGGGTTTTGGTGTCGTTTCTTCCGACATCCAACTAACTAGCTCGTTTCCAAGTGATATATCCTATTTTTGGCCGTCTTCGTGCTTTTAATTCGGTCCAACACTCATTGGACGTTCCATAGGTATCATTAATATCATCGATGTTTGCATGTTTCGATTTTCGCTTAGCTATGGAGCATTAATGACTAGCGAACGTGAGCTGTCTGGTCATTAACAAGACAATCACAACTGATTGAGATTTTGCAGATATGACAACTGCCGCATCGTTCTGAATTATATGATATTATGCAAGCAATATCTTTGCTTCGTCCCAGATACCCAGATATTCACTTGGCCCCCAATTTCCATAGCTGTTCTGACGCCACCCCAAGGTTAAGGCTTCGCATGCATATAGAACTAGTTCATTAACTCCTTAGCGAATCTAGAATAGATGCCTTATCTCTCTGTAGGCTTTCACCATTAAGAATATATTTAAATCTGAATTAACGTCCGGTTCACACACTTGTCACTTGTGGCACATCGATTTGTTTTAGAATGCAAAATGTACGTATTTCGTTCTTTTTTCTTTTTTGATAAATATTTCTGAATAAAGGACATGATGGTACTTGGGTGGCCCATCCAGATTTGGTGCCTGTTGCTCAAGAAGTTTTCGATTCAGTCATGCTTGGAAAAAATCAAATTTGTAAACAACTACCATCGTTCAATGTTACTAATGTTGAGCTTACTGCTGTACCCGATGGAAAAAGAACAGAAAAGGGATTGCGCTATAATATTTCTATAACATTGGGTAAGTATTTATTCTTTATGAAAACCAGTAGACCCATAGTGATAAGAAAATTGTCGATAGTGATCTAACTAAAACGAGAAACAGTGTAACATGATATTAGAAAAGTACAGCTTAATCGTTCTTCTCACAACCCTCCACCCCCCAATTATTGATTAGGCTGTTTCCGCAAGCCACAAGATGCGGTCTCAGTCCGTCGGCATATCTGAAGGTAGTGGATGCCATTTCTTTTTCCATCATCTTATAGGCAATATATCGCTAGACTAGCAATATATGGACTTAGACGATGGAAAAAGGAATGGCTTCCATTACTGTCGACAATATCATCAGACCGCGCCGCTTGGAAGCGTCTTACCCTTGTAGCCGTTGGAACCAGCCTAACCAGTAATGGTGAGAGCTGTTAGAAGAAGAAGAACCATCCATTCGAAATTCCGCCTGACTGTTTCGATTTGACCAATTAGCACGAGATATGCAGATGGTATTCCAGCGAAATAGCAGGAACTGATACCTATGTAAGAGAGCCTATCCGTTCGACAAGTCCACTTTTCTGTCTTAGGCAAAAATGACCAAAAGTATACAGTTTCTCAATCTTGCACTTCCATTGCCCATGTTTCGCAGTATTACAAAATGAGATGGGAAATGAGTTAATTAATAAATTAAAATATTCGCAGTATTAAAAATTACTTTTCGAAGTTTACTAGATTATTTGGAATCATGGTTGAGAGGGACTGGCTGTGTACCCCTTTATAATATAATGGAAGATGCTGCTACTGCAGAAATCTCACGTGCACAGATATGGCAATGGCTTCATCATGAGGCTAAATTTGAAGGTTTTTTAAGTTTTAGAAATTTTTTGCAACAAAATCTTTAGAATCATTTTCTGTTTTAAATGAAATCATCTGAATTATCTTTCACATATTTGATATATCTAATCTAATCATTAATCATACTGCAGAAATCTCAATCTAATCATTAATCAGTTATTATTCTTCACCAGTAATTTTGTCCATACTTGGCTTAGTATCCATATTAACTGAAATTTGGATATTTGGATTTTGGAAATTTGGAAAATTAATTTCAAATTAATTTTGCAATAAATGGATTGCATCGGATTGTGTAAATGAAAATCGATGTTCTACAGAAAATAAAACTTTAGATAAGAATTAGTTAGTTTAGATAAGAATTTTAGATGGTCGGAGAATTGATTTCGCTCTCGTAAAACAAGTAATAGAAGAAGAAACCGAAAGGAAATTAACCCATGCAAATCCCGCAATTAATCGTTTCCTGGAGGCAGCGGAACTGCTTGGCGAATTCTGCACAGAGCCAATCTTATCAGATTTCTTAACACTTAAAGCATATGACCGAATTATATCGTAGTGTAATTGTAAATGTTAAGGCAATAAAGGACAAATTTTTGTGGTTTTCATTGACAACTGGTCCATTTTAACAATAAAAATCTTATTAAAGCTAAAATCCGGATTACTGCTCTCGGATTCCATCTGTGTTTCGAGTGCATTATCAAGGTATTCTCTGATAGCTGTGATTTGATCAACTAATTTAAGTACCACGATTCGATTAATAATTAACGAAAAAACAAAGATCTTAGAGCAAAATAATTTTAAAATCATTTTTCGTAGAGCCTTTTCACTTCATCACATTTTTCTTGTTCGTATATATTGGAAGAAAATTTTTCATAATTCTAGTTTTTAGAATTTCTTTGAATGGAAATATAAATCTTCAGAATCTTTACAGACTTATTATTTCTCAAAGCATTGTTGGGATTTCTAAAATGTTTACTTCGAAAAGATTTAAAAAACGTGGAAAATTTTATTTCTAGCGAATGAATATATCTTTCCCATTCCAAAATACTTATTTTGTGCCGCGGCTCATTGTTAAGTGACATGAGGCATCAAAAATGATAACACTTGTGTGCGGCACTTGCAAGAGATGATCGTCTGATATATATTCTTGAATCTTTGGTTCCACTGGTTCCACTCTGCAAATTTCTACTTTTCCACCCAATTGCTTTGCCTAGACCTGAGTGATTTTACTAGTGAATAAACAATTATGAAAAATCTCTTTGCACTCTTAATAGTTGATAATTATGTGATGATAATAAATTTATTATAAATAAAAAAATAATTTAGCCTGTTAGGTTTCATACTGCTTCATACTTTGTTAAAAAGGATGCTAACTGAAATGCTTTTTTTTTTTTCATCTTCGGTCGATTATTTCTCCCCAATCCTCAATCTTAGCAATAATCTTTATACTATTTCATATTAAACACTTTTTTAATATGCATATTAATATTATTTATTTGCATATAAATAATATAATTCACTGCTTATATTTACTATTCTTCAACCATTTCAACTGATATTTTAGTTTTAAGCAAATGTAAAAGAGCAAAAAAAAGTCTCAAAAATCTCGTAGGGAACTTCGTACTAATTATCAGTGCTTTTCTAAACAATAATAGAGCGATTTATAATCGGAAGAAATGGTATAACTCTTATATTTATTGTTTTTTTTTTAATCGCAAAACTGGAATAACATATTAAAAATTGATCGGTGAGATCGAAAAAAAGGAAAATAATGATAATAATTATCAGATTATCATTAAACGCTTATATTGGATCTAGTGAATGCTGAAGAGAATTAACAATGATTGACGATGCAATCAGGTGTTCACTTCGATCATCGATGTATTCAAGATCATTCATATCGATTGTTAATGATAAACCATTTCTAAAAAAAAAAATTTGAAAAAATTAAATTTTTGATTTGGTTTGGTTCAAAATTTTATTTAAAAAAAATTTTTAACAAGAATTTTTCACAAAAAATCATTTTTTTTTATATTTTACCAGTTTTTTTCAATTTTTTCTCTTTTTTTTCCATTAAATTTTTTTAAGTTGTCAGAAGAAAAATTTATTCTCTTGAATCTCAAAAAAAAAGAAAAGAAAATTGACATGAAAAAAAATTGAACTAATAAAATTTCGAAATTTTTATTACACATTAGTGTGAAAATTTTTATAAATTTCTTAAAATTTTGAATTTATTTTCAAAAATTTTTATTCAATTTTTTGGCATTTATTGGCCAACAATAAATAAGATCAATACAAATCCAAAATTAAAATCAAATCAAAACATTGCACAGCTTTCGTTAGCAAAATTTGCAACGCAAATCGATTCATCAAGAAAAAAAATGGCTTATCAATGACAATATATCAGTGATAATATTTGCTTATATTAAATCCAATTTTTTTTGAAAAAAAAATTGGATTAATATGATAATGCGACAATCATTTGCACCTTCTATGTAGTAAAATAGGTTATTGCAGTTAATGGATAAAACGAAATAATCATTTTCCGTGCTCAGTTTAATAAGCTTAAAGCAAATTTTATTTGAGCACAACGTCTTCCGATCATGCGTTCTAGCTTTTTTCGCACTTTCCCAGCAATTCCGCAAGAGAAACCGATATTGGCAGTCAATCCATTTCGCTGGCATAATTTTTACAAAAAAATTCTACGCCACCGACCTTTCCATATTTGTTTTTTGATAATTGTTAAGCTGCCACTAAAAATGAAATCCTCGAGGTTCTATGAGCTATTTTCTATCTCCGTTTTCCTCCTGTGATTCTCTGGAGAAAGGATCACAAACAAAGAAGAAATGATGAGTGCTGTTTGAAGGATTTTGTAATAGACTTATTTTTTTACTTAAATCAGTTATTTTATCAAATTGATCAAAACCTGCGTCTAACTCGTGAAAAAATGTTAATTGCCGATAGTTTTAGGATTTCCGATTAAAACGGTGACGATTCACCGCCCATTCTTTATTTGAGATTAATGAACGTTTGAAAATTTGCTAATGGAAAAGAAAATTGCTTAAATATGGATCACCCATTCCATCCATTCAACTTTACTCTAAATTACTCAGCTGAAAAGATGCATTACTATAAAAAAAAAAGAATTATACAATTTAAAAACTCTAAATGGAACGAAAATTCTAAAATTAACTAACCTGAGGCATTTCGAAGTGGAATTATCGTAAGCACCACTATCCGATATACCATTTACGTAAATGGATTTGCGTGGACAAATTTTGTCTTTGACCAAAACCAATATAAGAAGCATAAATGCAATGAATGCCGATATAGCAGTAAATATTAAGAAAAATTTATCAATAGTTTCTTTTTCCATCAAAAAAAACAAAAACAAACAAAACAAACGAACACCAAATATTTCGTCTTCGTCTTGAAAATAACAAATGGCATCAAAGATTAAATGGCATTAATTAGAAGAATATGAAGATAGATGATCGAGTTTTTTCCCTTCTCGAAAGTCGTGTTAAATAATTGAGCTCATAAAACGCGACTAATTGCAATTATAGGTTTAGATTGGCAAATAAATATTTCAAAGTGTCTAATAAAATAAATAAAATTTTTATGACTCTTAGTTCGCACTAACACTACGAACAATATAAATTTCTTATAAAAAAATAATTAAATTAAATGAAGATGAATAAAAATAATAAAAATAATAATAATAATAATAATAATAATAATAATATATTTCATATTTAGTGCCATTTAGTGTCTGAACTGCGACTATCTCTTTATCCTGCAATATCGTTTAATCCTCGAATTTATCGTTTCCATCCACAGAATGTTTATATTATTCCAACTTTTCGTCTCCGTTTATCTTCCTAACGTAATCCCCTAACCTTTGCTATTTTACTCAAGCAGTTACCTGGAAGCTCGTCCATAATGCATTTTCACACCTTTAAGACAATTTCTCTCTCAAATTACATTTGGTTTATTTTCAACAATGCCTATGAACTGCAATACTAATTGAAAAAGAGGAAAAGTTCCACTCGCTGAGATTCTAGTCGTTTTGCGCTTAAAAAACGAAAAATCTTGTTTGACTCCCATAAATCTCAACAATTTCATATTTCCTTTTTTTATTGTCTGCGAAAAATATTATAATTCTTCGTCTCAATTATATTAAAAAATGCTTTATTGTGTTAGAAGATTACTAACAGCTACATTCTTCCTAACAAAATCACAACTGATGATGATTAGCATTGCAAATCTATTGATTTGGTAGAATTTGGTAAAATAGCAAAAAAAAACAGCACAATCTACTGACCGAAAAATTTTTCTAGGAACGCTCACCATTACTCGTTCCGCTGGCTTCTCAAACCAAATAAATTTCGCCAAAGAGTCACTTGGTGATGGAAGAACGAATGAATCGACAGCATCACCCGGATTAATTAAATAAATTAATAAAGCTATTATAATAAATAGAACAGAATATATTAAATTTATTATATATTAAATTATATTATACATAGAATTAAATTAATTGTATATTAAATTATTAACTATATAATGTAATATTAAATTAAATTATAAAATAATATTAGATTTAATATATTAAATTATATTAAATTTTATTATATTAAATATATATTAAATTTTAAAAATAAAATTTTCTTAAATAATACTAAAAAATATGAAAAAAATTAATATTAAATCAACATTAAAAAAAAAAAAAGAAGCTAAAAAGATCAAAATACTTTTTTTCATTTCTTTTAGAGCGATTTGTAAAATTTTATATATCATTCATCATTATCGTTTTATTTTTAACAGTTGATAGTGAAAATGATAATAAAGAAATGGCCATTAGAGTGATACACTGCTTCACATCTAACTACATTTTAATCCATCATCTTTTTATAGAGGCCAAAAGGCCAAAACTAAAGCTAAATATCGCCGAGCGACTCTCTGGTAAAAATTTCTTACCATACGTTACGGCGCCCACTTCATCAACCAACTAAGCTTGCTTAATCAGAAAATGGTTTTATTCATCATTTTCTTGCAGACGTCTTAATTTCTGAATAATAGCTGAAAAGAAGACAAAAAGCAGAACGAAAAAAAAAAGAACTTCCAAAGTATGGAAATAAACGAAAATATCGCGATCAATGGGTAGCAACAAAACGTTTCTCACAGTTTTTTCCCTTCAAAAATTGCTATTTGTTATTGTCGTTTAATAAATTTTTTAACAAAAATATTTTTTATTATACCAAAAAGAAAATTTTAAATACTTTATTCTTAAATATAATTAATAATAATAATAATAATAATAATAATAATAATAATAATAATAATAAATTCATTAAATAAATAAATTGTTAAGCAAATAATAAATGAAAATGAAGTAAAAGTAAAACTTGCAGAACTTACAGAAAAAAAAAATTTTTTTTATGGAATAAATTATACGAAATCTTATAATGGAATAAAAACCACAAAATTTTGTAAATAATTTCAGTGAAACTGGCCAAATTTTCAATAAATATTGTCCCCTAATAAGATTTACTAGTGAATATAGTTGTTCTATAGTTGAGCAGAATTATCTTTAAACGCCTGCGCATCTAATGGCACCTCTCGAAACCATCCCCTTAATTTCTCTTTGAAATCTACTCAACTACGTAATTCTCCTATTCTCCGCACCCTTCAGTACCTACCCTCATGCTACTGCTTACTCTCATGTTGCTCTTTGCAGTCTTAAAATTCATTAATTGCAGAATTGTACGACGAGGTTTGACGACAGAGCGAAGTGAAGAAGGTGGAGGGGAATACTGTTGAAAGGTTGCAATTTGGCTGAAAAGGTTAATAAATTACAAATAAACAACGAAGTTCTTTGAACAGAAGAAAAAAATATTATAATAGTTTTTAAAAAAATAAAAATTTTAAATAAAATAAAGTAAAAATTTTTCTTATAAACTTTTACCGTTTCGAACAAAAAAAAAAGAACTTAGAATGAAAGCCATAGCAGTAGAATAAAATTGGTGATAAAAGTGATAATAAACTCTTCGAAGACATCCTTCAGTCTAAAGACAGGCCAACAGCTGTTCACTTCATCAGCTGAAACAAGATATAAGAGAATAATCGCGTAGGCGCTAGGTGACAATAAGCTATTGATTTTTTTCACAAATGGTACTATACTAAATAATTTAATACATATAATTTGACCTTAAAATATTATCAAATAATCAATTTTTGATAAATTTTGAAAGAATTTTAAGTTCGCATTTTGTGCTTAACAAATTTAAGTTGTTTAATAAAAAGGTCGACATTAAATGGCATTTGTATGTGCTTAGAGACGAAGAGACGAATCTGTTTTAAGCAACTAGATTGGCATTTCAAAAGTCACATTTGGGCAAATTAAGAAATTAGAAATCGAGAAGACCGAATCCTAGCAGGACAAGTTAAGCAATCCAGATGACGATGAGTATTCACTAGCACTTTTGTCGTTAAGTGGTTCTCTAGCAAAATTGTCTCATTCTATTATTTGCAAGTACATGAAATCTAACCATAAATTGTGAACGTAAACTATTCATTTGGTTAAATAAAAAATATTCCTTTATGTTGTTAATGTATCCTCTTCTTCTTCTTCTAACACCTCTCATCATTACTGGTTGCGCTGGTTCCAACGGCTACAAGGGTTAGACGCTTCCAAGCGACGCGGTCTGATGCCATTGTCAACAGTAATAGAAGCCATTCCTTTTTCCATCGTCTAAATCCATATATTGCTGGTCCATCTATACGTTCAAAGACTTTTCTCACTGTATCAGTCCAGGGCTTGATTGGCCCACCTCGCTTTTGACGCCAACCATCACACGGTTAAGCAAATAACGAAATATGCGTCAATTCTTGTGGTGGACGACGGAGAATGTGCTCTAACCAGCGAAGGCGGCTCTCTGTGATAATATCATTTATGCAAGTGGTATTTGAACGAAGATGGATGCGATCATGTGATATTTTATCTGCTCGACAGTAATATGTACCTTAGACAAAGGCAGATAACTTTTTAATTTCCTCCACTCTCATTGGCCATGTCTCAGACCCACATAGCAAGATCGAACGAATCACGGCATGGATTTTCGTTTTAATGGTAATTTCATGGCGGCTCCATAAAGGTTTCGTCAACCTGAAGAACGTATTCCTAGTTGCGGTGATCCACGTTGTAATATCATCTTTTGCTTGGCCATTTGGTATTAGAGTGGACCCAAGGTATTTAAAATCGGGCACTTCCTCGGCAATGAATTTACAAAAAGAGGAATTTTATTAGCTTCTTACACATAGGGCGAAAATACTTTCGTTTTATTCACATCGATTTTAAGTTCAATTCTCGCTGCAGTTGTTGACACATTATTTAATGATTTGCATTTCATTATAATTGTCAGCAAAAATGACTACATCACCAGCGTATTCAGGATCTGTGATACGGGTGTCCATTATCCAGTTTATCGCATCGTTGAATATTGTAGGGAAAAGTACGCAACCCTGATGGACACCTGTTCTTATTTCGAAGGGATTGTCAGCTCCCCATATACACAGACATGGGCCGACGTGCGCTCATGAAATGCCTTTATGAGTCTAATGATTTTCTCTGGAACACCGTCACGTTCCATCATTCTCCAAAGCGCCTTTCTATCAACTGAATCAAAGATAGCCACAAAGTCGATGAAACACCTGACATTGGGTTACAAATATCTGAAGCGATGCTCTAACACCCTTCTTAATGTGAATATCTCGTCAGCACAACTGCGACCCGGTTTGAATCCAGCTTCATTAGGGCGCATTTTCCATAAACCTATTGTGCAAAAGAGAAGCAAAAATTTTCGTTGACATCTAGTAGACAGATTTCTCGATAATTTGTGCAGTATATCCTATCATTTTTCTTGAGAATTGGGAGCAGAATTGCTTTTCTCCAATCATCTTGTAATATTTCTTTTTTCCTTACTGGAGAGTACATTTGCTGAAGGTGTGTTATGAAGGACAATGGACAATATTTGAAGAGTTCAGTCCGGAGACCATCTTTTTCCGGAATCTTATTGGCTTTAAGCTTATGGATAACGGAGATTATTCCTTCTTCTGTGGAAGGTTTGCAATTGCAAACGTATGGTTCGGCGAACGTATCAGCTATATCAGGGACAATAGATGGTTAAGTTTGGCAAAAAATTCTTTCCTCAAAGAATTCTTTCCATCTTATGAGGCGGTCCTTAATACCCTTGATCGAAATGCCATTGCTTTCATGTGTTATTAATGAACACATGGTGTTCATTAATAATGAATGCATCAATCTTAATCACTACTATACCGATTAAAGAATTGTAAACACCGAAATTTCAAATAATCTAATCAAACCAAATGAGATCTTTTGAAGAGTGGAGAATTTGACAGAACAGAAGTAAATGTGGATCTAAGATGTCGGCTAAAACTAACGAGAGAGAAAGAAGCGGGTAAATGAATAATCGTCATTCAATGTCGGAAGGGAAACAGATTTATATAACGAAGTCGAGCATGAAGAGGTGCGTTGATCTTGTGCTCCCAACGCTATCGCGCAAACTTGAAGAGAGCTCGAGCTAGAGTCCTATTACAGTATTAATTAAAGATCCTTTCGGATCAAAAGGTTCAAAAAAAATATTTTAAAAATAGTATTGCTTTGTTCAATTGCCCATGTCTCTCGAAATAATGAGATTCGACTCAGTTCTTGTAGTTATTCCTTTTCCAGAAGGTACGGCTTACTTCCATGTCTAAATTTATGGACTACGGTGCTTTACGACCTCTTTTAATCAGAAGAGGATCTTTCCATGTTCGACTTCACAATAGTCCATGTTTCTGTAGTGGCATGATAATGGTTCAGATTATCGCGTTGAAAGGCGATGGTTCCTCTCCTTACTTTAGCAGGAGAAAGCTGTTATTAAAAAAATTCAGGTGGTACTACCTGTACTCCTATAGCCAAATGATTCTCTAGCAAAACATGCTACTAACAGTCAATGAAAGCAAGTCCAATCAAATGTGGGCTTACCTGATCGGATCAAATAAATAAATCAATTTGTTCTCATTCAGGTTGCCAGGAGGTAATAAACATTTTTTATTAGACTATTCTTGCTTCAGATTTTAGATATTAAATTAAATTCTTTCTGAAATTCAAATTTCAAAATAAGCAGAAATATCTAATTGAAGTCGAACCATTTAAGCGAAATTCTTTCAATATCAGCGTGATCCTGGATTCCATTAAGCGCGACAGAAACACGCAGATTTGCGTGATAAATTAGAGGTGTTAAAAAAGCGAATAATTTAACATTTATTTATTTTTACATATTATAATTTCGTTTTTATTTATTTATTTAATTAACTAATTTATTTAATTTAATTAATTGATTAATCAATTTAATTAACCGTTTGATAATGGAACGAAAGAATTATTTTCTTATAGCCAAGTAAGTTAATTATTTTTAAAAATTCTTAGAAAAAAATTAAAAAATTTGTTTTTTTACTAAGAGGAAAACGATTTTTTGAGTTTTAATAAATTTTTTTTTTTTCTTCTGATTGATTTTAAATAGTAAAATTTCACTTGTAATTTGAAAACAATTATATTATTTGTTCATATTTTTTGGTAAATAAAAAAAAATTTGAGAATTAGATTTTTTTCCGTGAATTAAAATTAGCCCACCACGTACGTTGAAATTACTTATTAGTTATTCTAGAATTTTATCAATTCTTTAATATAAAATTGATTGTAAAGTTTAGAAGAAAATTATATGCAAATATTGTTATCCACGATTATTCTCCAATATTTTTCTCAGCAAAAGAAGAAGACGTTGGAAATGAAGGAAATATTTTCGATTTTATAATCGATTACGGCAAAACGAATATAATTTTACAAAAAATAAAGCCATAACCTAAATATTTGCATATAATAAAAGAAAAATTAAAAACTTGTGAAAAAAAACATTTACGATAGGGAAGCCAGTCCATTTCTCTATGCTATTTATAAATTTGACTGATAGCACATCACATGGCTATCGAACAAACCCGAAAAAATGATGGTGTTTACGTCTTTATTTTATTTACCGCAGCTGAAACTATTGATTAGCATTTGTTGGTTCGTAATTTGACATATGATTTTAGGAATAACCATTGCTAGAAAAATTTCAGCTTTCTTAGTTTAGCCAAACCAATATGAACCAATGGATGACCTATGAATGCTTTTTCTTTTTTCCTTTGACAAAGACTTTTTCCACGCGACTGATTATGGTACATTTCATTAAATTTTATCAAAAACAAATTACGCATATACAAATATCAAATAAATAAAAAGGTGAGGAGTGGGCTTTCCTCATGAGCAAAATAAATATTTGTGTTCAAGTAAATGTTGATCAACTAATTTTTTATCGCAAAATTTGACTATTATCGAAAAATTAAATAAAGTCTTTACATAGAGCAGAAACATGGAAATGAAAGCAATCTGTACTTCTAGTATTTTTATCACGTGATAGCTATATAAGGTTTCATAACTCAATGGAAGATTCTTTCGTTCAAGCACATGAAATATCTGACAACCACTGAGAAATTTCCTCATCATTCTTAAAAGTTCTTAAATATTCCATATATTTTTCTCGAATAATTTTAAAAGCCTCTATATTTGCATAAGGAAGGCCAGTTAAAGGATCGCGATATTTGGCCGGTCGTGATGTTACACAACATAAAAGTTTAACCTGAAAGAAAAATTTTCCATTCCTTTCATCTGAAGCAAAATTTCTAGACAATCGAAAAACTTAAACACGAATCACGAAAAGAAAACAAACCTAAGTCTAATAAATCACCAGTTTTATCAAAAAGATGAGAAGAATTAAATAATGACAAACCTACCTTTCTTTCTGCCTTTTCGAATTTCTTTACGTCAGGTAAGACCATAAACTTTTTATTCGGAGCATCAACAATACTTATGTAAGGTGGTGCTAGCTTTCTAACGGTGTTCACTTTTTCACGTTTCTTCTTTCTTTCCAATTCAAATTGTTCGTATTTTTGCAGTGATGCAATGTTCAAACGTTCAGTTTCCTTAGCTTCTTCAAGGCGCTCGGCCTATAAAATTTATATTCCATTTACGTTTGTATTTGGAACTTATTTGTAAGGCTAGAAGTTTCTGTATCACATGATGATAGAATTACAGATGGGACCAATCGGATTTTTAACGACAAGTTTACTTTTAGAGGCAGCGGCCTAGTTTTCGCCATTCAGCCCTGTAACTGTCGTCATAATGTCGCATTTAAAACAATAAGTAAATGAAGATGAAGTAAATATACCTGTGTTTCACGGCTAACTTGATTGGCCGCAACAGAACGACCACTCATCTTCGCCATTATCCACTTTTTATTTCGTTCTAATAACTTTTTTCGCGAGAACTCTGGTTCCTCAAAAAAAGAATTTATTTTACCTCAATGCATTTTAGTTTGAATTTCCAATCTATCAAGATACATAAAATGAAACTTAATTTTATGAAACAAAAAGTGAAAAGTAGCAATCACCCATTTATTCTTTGCCTCCTTATCAACCAGCAATTGAAGTGAGCCAATCATTATTTCGCCAGCTACAAGGAAGAAACAATTCTAAATTCCCCTTTTCATTTTTGAAAACAATAAAGAGATACTAATCTAATCACAAATAACAAGATGATGCCGCAGGCCTACAATTTTATATCATTCTCTGAAGAAAAGAATTCACTAATAGAGCGAGCTTAATGCAGAAATAATGAGTGCTGCTAAAAAAAAGATAGTGATAGGAATAAAACTGAGTAATACTTTAAAAGTAATTCGCCGCTTTTTTCGCTGCTTTTCTTCCTCATCACTAATAGGTTCATCTTCCTCTTCTGATCGATCAAAATCTGAATCAACCACATCCTCATCCGATTCTTCGTCATATTCAGGATCATCATCATTATTCTGGATGATAACAAACTTTCAACAAAAGAATTTGAAGCAAAATAAACCAAAAAATTAAGAAATCTATCAATGAAACAATAGATTTCGCAAAAACGCATATTATTTAAAAATTCGCCTTAAAAAAATCAAATATAGAAGAAAAGTTTTAAAAAAAACAAATTTTGCTTCTGCGCTCTTACGAATGAGAAACTTGCAGAAAAAGAAAATGCAAAATTGGACAAAAATTTTCTAGAATACCACTATCATTTTTTCCCTTCCTTTTTGAAAGATTATTCAATAACAGTTCACCTCATTCAAATCGCCAAAGATGTTTTTATAAAATTCATCTTCGTGTTCTGCTGATTCTAATAAGACGCCCATTTTGTTGCCTGCATGCACTCGTTTTGCACGACCTAAGCTAACGCTATATACCGGTTCATTTTGTTCGTCACTACTGCTGTAAAGATTTTCGTAAATGAAATTAGATTAAAAACTGAAAATAGCGTGGTTTTCCTCTCTCTAAAAATATTTCATCATTTCACAATCTATAGTGAAAATTATGTAAATCCACCAATTCCTAGCGAATAAAATTTGACTAAAATAAAAGAAAAAAAGATCAACTTAAAAAGAAAACACCTCCATTTAGATACTTATTATACGAACATTCAGTTATTAATATTGCCAATCAATACTGTCCATAAAGGCTGCATCAAATGATGTAAATATTAGCTGAATTTTCACGAGGAAATCAAAAGTGCTTCAAAACTTAGAAATGATAATATACATGAATAAAGCACGAATCAGACCTTTCATCGCTTTCTTCTTCTTGTTCATTCTGCTCGTCCACATGTTTCTCTCCACGATCTTCACTAATGACATCGTTAACACTGTAGTTGTCAGAATTACTATGCTTCCTTTTCATTGTCTATATAATCGTTGAAACTGATCTGAAAATGAAAAATTAAATGAACATACCATTAGAAAAATAGTAATATGATTAAACACCACTTATATAAAATGTAAAATAACAAAAACCAGAAGATTTCTGCGCAAATATGGTTTTCCCTTAAGAGTAGTTATAAAGTAGTTTTTCCTAAACAAACTCCACTGATCATATCATAATATGCAAGAAATCGTGTAATACACAACAATTTGCTGGTAAATATGAAAAAAAAGAATAAAAAGAAAGATTTCAAACCGAATTATTCCAAAACCTCCCTGCAATGATTAAAACATCAGCGATACCTTTGAAGGCCAGTGAATATTGGCCACAATTAAAAATCTCCGAATGCTTGCAAAATTCATGCTAAGAATGCCACTCAGAAACTCGAAAGATATGCGCTAGTTAGGTACCAGAAGTATGAGCAAAATGCCAGAAAAAAATCACCAGAGCATAAGTAAAGCATAAATAAATAAGTATAAATAAATAGCTATCGGGAATTTGGAAAATGTACAATAACGACAGGACAGTAAAGGAAACTATTGGAGTGATATGACTCTGAACATAAAGATGGCAGATTGACTAGGCAATGATAAGAAATTGTTTCGCCTTCCTAAGGAGCCATAATTTGGGAGATGGTGAGTGAAATGACCAGAGACAACGATATGGTGCCTTTTATGATTCTAAAAGATTGCCTCATACTATAAAAAGTTCTCTGAGAAAAAATTCTGCCAAGATGCATCACCTAGAATCCAAGATATAGTTGAAATGCTCTTTGGGTTGCATAAATTGTGATCTAACAGAACAAAAAATGAAATCTCTTAGAAATAGCTTCCAGCCGAGAGGCTTGGCCCATCTTTGTAGACAGTAAAGTCAGCCTAACCGGTAATGTGCGAGTTGTTAGAAGAATATATGGTGAATTTCAGTTGACGAAACAAATCTAAACAATAGATCTAAAATTGTTTGATAGATTGAAATAAAGACAAGAACCTTAAATCTTCGATGAGGAAACTTGAATAAAAGAAAAATAAAAATCGAAGAGATATTCTTTATGCCAGTGAGTAACTTGGCAATAGAAGCTAAATTGCGAAGATCACGAAGATTCTAAAGAACAGGTTTACTCAAAAGGTGCGAAGGACCTCAGCATCGACGCTTCAAATTGAGCTTCTTTACTTTCACCGTTTGACAATATCGAAGTACGGCGGAGAGATTCTCGATTCTAGTGAAAGCCAGAAAAAGAAAATCATCCAAAGAGAAGAAAAATGGGAGGAAATCTGACGAAATTTTTCCAACTTTTCCAAATTTCATTTCAAAAAAAGAAAGGAGATAAAGGAAACAGAAAGATTTCAGTTATCAAAATTTCTAAGAATCAATAAGAGAAAAATAATTGTATAGAAAATTGAAACATTACATTCATTATATTCATAGATCCATTTTCGTATATTTCTTATATTGAAACTAAAACAATAAAAAACAAAACCTTACCTGCATTACACATACCGAATGAAATTTCGGGAGTGTGAACAACAAAATAAAAACGCTACAATGAATTAAAATTAAAGAACCCCATATTATATGACCTCCATTCTGAAAGCTATATGGACGAGTGGTAACGCTTCATTTTCTTCCTGTTTCTGTTCATCACTGTTGGGACCACACAGACTACGTCGTGGTACCCATTCCCAGCAAGCATTTTAACCAATAAAAATAAAATAAATTCAAAATTAATGAATAAATAAGGTAATAAGACCAACCAACAAAAAATAATTTAAAAAAATTGAAAGAATAAGTACCGTAATCAAACATTCGTTTTAAGATATTATTGTCAGCTTTAATTTGCATACAAATAAGCAATTCAAATAAAAACGTTTTTTTCTGCAAACATATTTTGTGCATTTTGATATATTAATCTTTGTCTTATTCCATATTAGTTATCTTCTCTCCGCTTTTCCCCTTCTATAACCCCTACTCGCAAGGTACCACTTCACCATGACCCACGCATTTTGTATCCCTCATACTTTCTCAGATCGCCACCTTTTCTCCATAGCATCTCTCTCGTAAGATATTATCTGCTGACGCCCCTCAAAGTTCTTTTAAACTTCTCTAATGCCAAATCAAACCTCGTTGTGCCATATTCTATCGATCACATTGTAATGAACTTACGTGGTCCTGTGCAGCACGTTTAACCGTACGTTAAGTTTCTTAAAACATTTTATCATCCTCCACACTCCCGAAATCCGTTTAGCCTTCATTAATACCCCATAAAACCGCATTGCTTTCTTTTATTCTGAAAAGTAGATACTACGACTTCCTTAAACACCCTTTTAATATGCCCACTTTGTCGAGTCCTTATAATATTTGATCCCTTTCTAGTAGCTTCACTTGTTGTGGTACCAAGGCCCATCACTTTAACAGTTCTTGAAAGATTTTCAATACTTTTTAAATCTCCTTTTAAATATCTATTTACGTATTTTTTTCATTTTCCTTTTTATCTGTTGCGTATTTCATTTAAAAATATTGCGATGATTAGCAACCAATTAATAATAATTGTTCTATTTTACATGTCGTTTGTCATCTCTTTTTTAGCTGTTTTTGTTCAAGTTTTGGGAGCGAAACGGTGTCTCCTCGAGGAGTCTAAAAGACTGCGAATTTAATTGCCTCATCTAATCTCACTTCCATTTCTGATCGATAAACAAAAAAGTTTATCAAGTAAACTTTTTATATGCACGCGATATGTGTGGCGAATCCAATCGATGACGCTTGGATTATCTTAGTGCCTTTTTTAATTTGGCTTTAGCAGCAATGACGTCGAATGCATTTTTATCAACAAATATTAATATATTTTTCATGATTTTATGATAATATTCTGATTTATCTATTTTCTATTTCTTTTGCTTTACGCTTCTGTGAATTCCGCAAATTTAGTTAAATGAATACAGCAAAAACGGACAGATTAGCGAAATAAGTGAAACTCGAGGCTGAACGTTATTATCAAACTTCTATATACAAATTTATTGTTACGCCGTAGATTATTAAAATTTTAAAGTTTATTTTCCACTGGAGAAAAAAAGAAAATTGAAGAAGGGAAATCTTTCATTGATGGATTTCGATAAAATTAAACACGCTTTTTCAGCTTAGCAAACTTCAGCAAACATGCTTTGAGCGATTTATAAATCGCAACTGACAAAAAGATGAATTTCAATCAAAAAACGTTTTTTGATTGAAGAAGGGGGATATTGTGCTATTAAGATTTTAGATTCGGATTTTTGGTCTCGAAACTCGAAATGCTTAGGACTACTGTGTAATTGTCGAATTTAATACGGTGGTGGGAGGGCGGAATAGCGATTTCTTTGGTGTGAGTGGGTTGGTGTGTGGGTGGTACTCTGGTGAATATGGTTTGGATCATTCGGTATATGAAGGGGTTTCGTAATAAGTAAATTTAATAATTATAAATGAAGTAGATGAGAGTTTTTTTACAAAAAGATTTTGCATGAGTATTTTTCAGTTGGTTTATGAAGGATGTCTAACTGGAATTTTTTTTTTTTTTTTATGAATTTATTTCTTATTCCATAAATATTTACGGTTGATGTTCTTGTTATATGGTGTAACAGTCTTCATTATTTAGTTTTTTTTTTTTACATTCCATTATTTAAACATTTTGAACATTTCATGAAACGTAACAAATAGAAATATTGTTGGGTCAGAAAAAAAGAGAAAAGTGAAATTGTTTAAATAATTGTGAATTTTTTTCATTTATCAATATCAGAGATTAGAAATTTGTTTATAAAATTGAAATTTTTTTTAAAAATTCTTTCGACGATTTCTTTTCTTTTTTCCGGTTTTTAATGTTCGTCGTAAGCTATTCATACGAAATATCTGAGGCTAATAGTTGTGAACTTGGCCTAAATTCTTGCAATTAAGCAACATGTTATTCTTTTCAATCGTTTCGTTTTATTTAAAGTGTTCATTATTCGATGCGTACGTTTCAATGGCAGATATCTTAATAGGATATTTGTTTTAAAGGATTCCACATTTGTGTAAATATATGTCTTTGTCTTCACCTTTTTAGTCGTATCAAATTTTTCTAATTATATATATGTATATATATATTCCTCTTTTACGATATTGATTTATTTGATGAATGCATTTATGTCATATGCTCCGTTATTGTTTGGGTTTTAATACACTTTTGCCTCTTATTATAGATAAAGGTTTTATAGCTGATATTAGAATGAAAGCAGACTTTCATAATTTCGTATAGATTGGACCAAATAATGGAATGTGCAGCAAATCATGACGTGTTATAAATTAGCGTTTAATTCGTTCGTGGTTAGGATTTATATTTCATGAATTTTCTTCAAATTGGAGTAATCTTAGCCAAATATTTGTAGTTCATTTCGATAAATGGAAATTTTCTTTAGTCTGCGGTATTCTTGACGCTTTCTTGTGTAATGTGGTGGTACTTCCAGGTGTTTAGAAATTTAGAAAAGTTGCTTGGCGAAATTGCGAAAAAAGGAATTTTTTGGTATAAATTGGTGAATTACAAAAAAAGTTCGAAGGAAAGGATTGATTCTTTTTTTAATAATTATAATTATAATTATAATTTATAATTATTAAAGAATAATAATTAAATTGTAAAATATTTCAGTTCAGATTTCAAATTTCTGTGTTTATTTGATTCATCGTTATTTCAGTTGAAGTCGAGCAGCGCTAACGACGAGGATAATATCGTAAGAAAAACACGATGGATTTGTCGATTATGTGGTAAATCATTGTCGTCGAAGCGTTCTTATGATGAACATACAAATATCCACAATAAGTCGAGGCCATTCCAATGTGAACATTGCAATTATGCTGCTGGTAATTCATACTTTTTTTGGTACAAATTTTAATTTTAATTTTAATTTCTTCTTAAGCCTTTTTGTGCATTTATTTTCAAGTTATTTAGTAATAAATTTTGAACACCCACTTAACTGGATGCTTTTGCATTTTGTCATTTCATAGCATTGAGATGTAAAAGATTATTACTTCATTGTTCAGGGCAGAAAGTTTTTGCAACAATATCAGTACAATTGATGAAGATTTTTCAGCGAGTCAAATGACGTTAAGGCGTCATATTTTGCGTAATCATACTCCTCGACAAGCTTGGGGGTATCAGTGCCCCCATTGTCCTGAGTTGTATATGGAACCAGCCAGTTATCAACAACATGTGGCGTACGTTATCTTAGTATCTTTTTCCACTATTCTGTGATTTTAATCTTAATAGTTTAGGTCAGTAGTTTCTTATTTATAGGCCACATTGAGAGTTTGATGAAAGCTTTTTAATAAGTTTAGTAACAAGGTCATATAATCAGTAACAGAAAATTTTACGCACATATAATAAATTTGTTCTTCCAGTGCAAACAAATCATTGGATCTTTTTGTCTTATTATTCATTAAAATTCATCCAGATGAATAGAGGGGCCAGAATCACTGATATGTTTGCATATATATTTGAAGTTTAACAAAATATACATTGAATTAGGTTTTCAGTTCGCGTCACTATGGTAAATCAGCAACATTTGGATGTCCATCTGAGAACTGTATATTCAAAACAAGATGTTTTAGTCATTTTCGCGAACATATTATGAAACATCGTGATCTGTTTCATCCAAACATGGATATTACTCGAGTTAATGCCAATTGTTTCTTGGTTGATGATAAACTTGGTGAATTATATTTTTATCAGCTAGAAGATGACTGTCAGAATTCTTCTTAAAATCTGATTTGATCTGTTTGTAGAGTGAGGTATGAAAGATGGCCGGAATATTCAGTTTTTCATACGTTTTTCCGCTGGTCACTGTATTTAATAATGGAGAAATTCGATAAAGTCTTATTAATTGCAGGTGTTGGTTATCAGGGAAATTTCACTTTTCGAAATCCTTATACAATTATTAAACACGGTTTAAAATTCAAAAAATTACTGAAATTTAATGGGGAACGTTGTAAATTCCGCAAGGTACTTGTTTTTGTTATTTTTTTTAAATTTAACTTTCTAAAAATTTGAATTTGTCTTATAGGTACCTCATCCAGAAAAGATGGCTTCATCTTCTCTTCATGACCGTTCAAAAATGTATGCAGAGCGGTTTAGAGAATCTGTTTGGAAAAATGTTAGATATTGCGAAGAGGAAGAAGCAACTCCCATTACCGATGTTGATTGCTTAGAAGTTACAGTTGACGACTCAGAAAGTTCATGTAATGATTTTTATGAAGGAATGGTAGAGCCTGAGTTGGATTAAGTTTGATAATTGGTTAATTGTATTGCTTGCTTTACCCTCGGATTTTTTAAAAATACTTTTCTATTTTTGTAAAATGTTTTCATTTATTGGAAAAACTCATTCGGGTAACTTTTTTCTTTGTCTTTCATTGTTTTTAATGTTTTATTGGTCATAGTGGTTCATGCCTTTTCTTTTTTAAGTTTTTATCTGTTTAGTATTTATTTTATTTTATTATTTATTTGGTATTTATTTATTTGATATAATTATTATTTTATTTTTCAATGAATTTGTTATGTTGAAAACCATCCCTAACTGATAGTAATACTGATAACGGAATTAAAATTTGGTTAGATATTAATTGGATTTCACATGATAAATTTTTTAAAAAGCAAGCTACTGTATCTTTTAATATATCAATATTTCAGCTTTTGTGTTTTTCTTCTGTTAGTTATTATTGGTTATCTTATCATTCATTTGTTATTTCTTCATATTCTATTCTATAAATTATCTGTTTATACAACTTAATCGTGATGAAATCCTTTCAAATGTGGAGTAAAAAGGTTCAATATGTTGTGGATCTGTGCTGGAGCTGTACTGGTGTATTTAAAAAATCCAGATGATTCACCAAGGATTGTTCTGTTCTCTGGCAAAATTTATTAATCCAGCTGTGGTTTTGGAGGCAAAGGAATCTAATATTTTGGTTGTAATACTTTTCGTTATTTTCCACATATCTTTGATTCCTTATGTATTGATGGCTTTTTTATTTATCATTTTTCATAATTTTCACTACAATAAAATCTTCGTTTTTTATGGCTGTTTTCTCTTATATTGTAATTTCGTTCTGTGTACTTTTTTGATTTTAAATTTTGCATTTTGAATCAAAAGGGTAAAAAGTTTAAGCTAATTTGATTTAAAGAAAAGCGAATTTCTGTAAAGATATCTTATGTGGCTAATGGAAGAATTAATTTAATCTCGTTTGCCTTTCTATTTTAATGAGATCTTTAGAGTATTTTTGATGCAATTAAACTATATGAGTAATGTGAAAAAATCAAATATCAAAAAATCAAAAATCAAAAATCAGTACCAGATTTTTGTATGAGTTCCGGAATCGGTATACATATTGAGTCTGACACGGAGACTTGGCAAACTAATTTGGTAAGTTTTTATTTTTTTTCAGTGGATTATGAATAGTACAAAAAAAGCATATAGCGAAGTTCGATGTATGCAAAGTTAGATTTTGTTTTGCGTAATTTTATCGATTGAATTTGGTGAAGCGAGTTTTTTGCTTCTGATTGAGATAAAAATTGGGACAATTATATTAGTGGTGCAGTTTTGTATCGGCATAGATTATTCTAAATGTTCGCTCTTGTGCTTTTTCTTTGTATTTTTGTAGATTATTTTAGATTAAAAAATTGTTCAGCGATAAAAAATAAAGGTGATGAAGTTGTGAAAACTGTTAAATAGGAACGAACAAGTGGGCGTAGATCTTTCATCATAATTTTCTTCTAACACCACCTTTACTGATTAGGGTAACTCTAACTACAAGATTGAGGCGGCTGGATCCGACACTATACATAAGGGTAATTCCTTTTTCCACCGTCACTATATATCTAATATGATTGAAATCTAACTGAATAAGGATCGTTAAATTTTTATAAGTTTACTCTCGTCAAATAGTGAAAAAATGGTGGAAAAAAGTCCGATAAAAAGAATATCAAGCTATTAAATCATCTTTTTTTTCTTTGTTTTATTCGAGGTTTAAGTTTAATTGGGAACTTAACTAACTTGCTACGGAGATTATGAAAAAACGGACTTAGAACGTAGAAGGAATTTTGAGAAATTTCTGGGAATATGACGATCAGTATGTTTAATATAAATAAGTAACGAAATATAGTTGTTATGGACAATAAACGTAACGGAACAAATACATATCTGGTAGTCTCTTGTGAATCGAACAAGTTCCATCATAAAATCATTTTTGATTTTTTAGAAACTCACAGTCGGTGAAGATGATGGTGATGATTTAAGTGAAATAGAGAACCTCAAAGGGCATTTGCGGGTTTGGAATGATCTCGCTGGACCATCTGGCTTGCGCGATTTTGATCAGCTTAATCAAGAACAGGTTAGTGTTTCTAAATCTGCCTTTTATTGATGTTTTCTATGGGTTGATTTTTTATTTTGTTGTAACGAATATCCTATGTATTTTTATTTTTCTCTTTATTAAATCAAGGTTGGCTGCTTCAAAATAGCAAGCAGTAAAGAAAACAGCATAAATAAGACTGTAATGAATTGATCGAGATAATCAAATAAAAATAATCATAGATTTGATTAACAAAAAGGTTCACATAACATCAGATCATTGCATTTTGGTTTAAACATGAATCATGACCTATATTCCAACAAAACTAAATAAAATCTAAGTAAAAGTAGAAATCAAATTTTTGCTTAATTTTTTTTAACTATCTAGCTTATGCAAATTAGGCTTAAATATTTAATCAACTGGAGGATCAAACCGTCTTTTTATTGAAGTTGAACTAGATGGTTGGTTAGGGTAGCTCCACTGGCGCTATTAGTTGCGAAATTTTGGGCATGAAATCGGTTGTCAATAGAAATATAATTCTTCAGCATCGTCGTTTTATTTATTCGTCGCAAAAAGTCATTCTCATTTACTCTATCTTGCCGGAAAAGAAGTGGTGCTATGTTTAAGTTCAAACAAATAAAAATTTTCTCATTGATGGGCTGAAAACTCTTTAATTTTAGAAAAATTCATAGGCATTCTCATACTTAGTTAGTACAGTTCTTTTTCACAATTTTTTGCCATCATTCACTTAAGGTCCCATTTTTTCCAAAAGTTCTTAAATGTCGTCTTGAAATATAAAAAATAGTTTGAAATGGTTTTGAATATCATCCAAAAAGCCAGAAGTTTTTTCCTGCACAGGAATTTTGCAAAGACTGAAAAAAACCGTAGTAACCATTCAAAGATCCCGCTTCGAGCGGTCTTTTTAAAAAGACACGAAATTGGGCATTGCGCATTTATCGACTTCTTTGGTGGAACACATGAAGGATTTCGGTATTTGTAATATTTTTGTAATATTTGTAATTATTCTTTTATTTTATCGTAAGCCATCTTTCATCGTCCATCAATATTTGCACTGAAAAAGGTTCTATAAGCGGTGTATAACCCAATAAATTTTTCTGTCAAGTAATATTTCACCTGTACATCATAAAGATGTTGGTGGACAAGTTTCATTATATGTCGTGAAAAGTGGCCTTCAGGTTTTAAATATATGTGCCAACTATGGTATGGCATTACCAAGTGGATCATTCTTGAATGCTGTTTACATTTGTTCGCCGTTAGTGGCTTTTGTTATTTCAGGTCACTAGTCCTGAATCTCATAAACCGACTCCGATAATGCGTCCAAGTAATAAGTTTGCGACTTTAAGGGTTTTCTGATTACTTTGTAGGTCAAAATCAATATTCTCATCAATCATTCGATAAATTAATCCATCCTGAAGCCACTTAAATATATCGTCTGAATAATAATTACTGAAGAAAAATTACTCGATTTCTAGCCATCCGCATGGAGCTAGAAACAGCAATATCAATGTTATTACTATAATTTAATAATTCAAATAAGTTAGGTTCTGTTTAAACTAAATTCTCAGTAATACCCAAATTGTTTATGGCCATTTATTATCAGTATTTTTTCATAATTTTTCTTGCAGTATAATTTTACTGATGAAAACGGTGGAGTAAGATCAGTTCTTAATGATTTATTAGCTGAAAGCAATCGCTTGTTTCAACCGATATCAGATGATAACGTATACAATTTTAATTAAAAAAATTTTTGAATAAGTTGTGTTTTAATAGCATCGATATCATATATCCTTTGCTTTTGAATATAATCTTACATTCTTTCAAAAATAACCCAAATCAAATTTACTTTTAATTTTCAGTACGTTGAAGAAATTTTGGTAACAAAAGCTCCCAAAATTGTGAATAATTATCTTTTTGGCGATACTATTGGTGAAGGTTCGTATGGTAAAGTGAAGGAGGTTTTAGAAGTGCACAGTCTTGTAAGGAAGGCTGTAAAAATCATTAAATTTAGTCGTTTGCGAAAAATTCCCAATGGTCGGGTAAGTCTATTTTATTATATCCTCTTATATAACAAATGAAATCGCCATTTGTTTGATAGAATTCTTAGAAATATTTTTTTTTTTTAAGTTTGAGAGCACCTTATGCCTTCAATTCGTTTAAGTGAGATTTTTTGATCACTGGAAATCTTCAGGCAAATGTGGAGCAAGAGTTGAGGATATTGAATCGTGTGCAACACCATAATGTCATTTCATTATGTGATTTATTTCGTGATGACGAAAAGCAGAAGCTATATATAATAATGGATTATTGCACGGGATCTCTGCAACAGATGTTGGACGGTTCTGAAGAAAAAAAGCTGCCACTTTTTCAAGCACATAGTTTTTTCACACAACTCATTGATGGTCTTAATTATCTGCACGCTCATGGTAAATCGTTTAAAAAACATCTTATTAGGTTATTTAAAAAGTTAGAACTTTGGTGTGCCATATTTTTGTTATCATGTCATTGACATGATTGGCACACAAAAAATTGTATGAGACTATGTCCTCATCATTTTCAGTTTCTATTTCGTCTGCTAAAAATCGCCTTTTAGGTGTTATTCACAAAGATATAAAACCTGGGAATTTACTCTTGACGCTTGATGGTGTGTTAAAGATCAGTGATTTTGGAGTGGCAGAATTGCTAGATGTTTACAGGAGTGATGATTGGTGCAAAATTATTCAAGGAACACCAAAGTTTCAACCACCTGAAATAGTATCAGGAGTGTGTTGTTATTACCGGTTTGTTTTGTCGACCGTGACTTTGTTTTCCGATTTTATTTACTCCTTCAGAAAAGCAGCGAATCATTATTAAGCTTACCATGTGTTTGTCACAATGCTATTGGACAAAAATATTATAAAAATAATATGACATTGATGAAAAGAAATAGAGTAATAAATACTAGTTACCAATAACAATATAAAAGAAAGGAAAATTAATAATTTTTAAGTGATGGTTATGTGTAAAATTTTGGCACTTCACTGATGTTCTCACATTCTCACATAATTTACCGAATATCTTTTATCATCCATTTTAATTTTTTGATATTTTGAATTTTTGCCACAAGGAATTTATTTTCTCTAGTACCATGTAATTAAGAAAAATTAGCAAAGGCGTATTGTGCTAATTTCTTTAAAATGATAGTATTATAGAATGAAAATGATATATCATTTTACAGTGGCAAGAAAGTGGACATTTGGGCATGTGGTGTGACCCTTTACAATCTCATCAGTGGTGAATATCCTTTTGAAGGAGATGTTATCATGCATCTGTTTGATAATATTGCAAATCAACCTTTGCAAATGCCTAAAAACACAAATGTCCCATTTTCACTGAAAGAATTACTTGTAAGAATGTTAGAAAAAGATCCGGAGAAGAGGATCAGCATTCACGAAATATTCCGATGCGATTGGTTTAGATATAGTTATGCTGACGTAAGCAATATTGAATTGTAATTATTTTTAACAAAATTTAATCCAATAATCCAAAATTTAGCGCAAAAAGGATTTTTTACTATTATAGAATCAGCGGCAAAAGAGAGAAAGAGAAACAAATTTAGCTGGGATATATCTAAAAAAGGTGATACTGGCGACTCACCTGTACTTCTATCACCAAGGAACTCCCTGGCATGTGTGACAAGCCGGCGGAGCGAGACCAGTAATGGTGAGGACTCTTGAAAAAAAAATCTAAAAAGGGCAGGTGTAAACGAATTATTCTGGTACCAATGTTAGTTAAATTGCTATTGCCAGAAATTGTAGTTTTTTTCATTTCGTTTTGGATGAAATATTTTAAGGAAGATTCCGCACGAATTAATATCCCTGTTTGTAATAACATGCCTGCTCATCGTCCTCTTAGTGTATATGTTGCTCTTGAGCAAATGTACGGTGTAGTCGAAGAAACTGAATCAGCTACTGAATCGGAAATTGCGCCACATGTTATTACTCCAACAGATGGTGGATGTGTTCATGTATCAAATGTTGATGGTCAGACAGATCCTGTGGCTGATTCCAAGCGTAATAAAAGCATGTAAGAATTATATTTACCGTTTACGACCAAAAAAAGTTGTTTTAGAATTTAAGCACATATTTATCCTCCCTATTTTTTAGAATTTGATGAATTTCCTCAATTTTATTTTGTTTGCGAACTGATTTTATTCGAACATAAAGTAAAAGATTTGTATAATTATGCTATTAAGTAAAATAAGTAAAAAGTTTTTATAATTATGCTAATATTCTGTAAAATGCTTAATTGGTCTGTTGCATATAAACAAATTTTTGTGCGTTCTTTCTATCTTAAAAGATAAAAGATGCTTTCCACTTAATATCTCCATTATATAGTTGATAATAATGGAAACAAAAAGTTCTGTGGATAGTTTCATTTGATGTACAATTTAAAATTCCACTGAAGGAGTTTATTGCAGTTGCTTAAAATCTTTATAATGCAATAACCTAATTTTTAAATCTTTCATGATTGAATTTGAAAATTGCTTAAATATTCGAGTTTTTTTTACAGCTTGTCAATGTGTATGGGCTCATCTCGTTCTGCGTAACTAATTGCATACAATACATTTGTTTGGTTCTGTTCAGCAATTTTATCAAGACCTAGATTTTACTGCTCGTGCGCTGTGATTGCTTATAAATGGATGTTTTATACTACAGTGTCACTTGATTCATCTCGTTGCATTGTGAAAATTCGTTGCTAAAATTTTTTTTTGCATTATATAACGTTTAATACATTTTATATGCTTCGAATTTTCAGTGATATAAATATATATATATATAGTTTGTATGATATCGTTTATAGGGAGATATATTTGAATTTCATTTAGAATTCTTTGCCCACTTTTTCTTTAATGAGGTTTTGTGCTCTAATTACTCAGCCGTTTACAATTTATCAATTTATAATTTTTACAAAAATTTTTAATTCATTTGTAGAAAGAAATATTTTATTTGATCATGTTATTTCAGCTAAAAAATCACATTCCATTTGTGGGAAACGTACTCGAAGGAATCCTTTTTATATTTTTGATACTATGACATTGAGCACATTTAATTTGTTGGAGATCGTGTTGGTTTAATGTTTCATTTTCATTCACCTTGTTTTTTCTTTTATTTTGTAGAGAGAACTTTAGACGTTTATGATTTTTAGTATATCGTACTTATCGTCACTTTATTATTGTGATAATTAAGTGGTATTATACTCATGTTTCCATTTGTTTTGTCTATTTTTTGTTACTTATATTGGCTAAAATTATAGTCTTAATTTTCAGGCATTGTGAGCAACCTTGATTTGATTTTGGAAGCTACTTGGCTTCTGTGCTATATATCCAGTTTTCAGAGTTTGATTTCATGTCATGTGATATAGTTCCCTTTAGCTTTCAGAAAATCGTATAATGTTAACAAACGGCTTATGTGCGAAAATATTTTTTCGATAAACAGAGGACAATAGGATATTCTACTTTTATATTTTATTGCTCTATTATTGTAATTAAGTTTGGAGTGTTGAACTTTTATTTTGTAAAATATCCGGTTGAAAATTTTTTCAGTCCGCTAATAAAAATAAATAAAAATATCAAAGAACTTTTTTTGAAAATGATAAGTTGTATTCTCAACTGTTTTTTCGTTATTTCTAATGTATTTTAAAGTTACGTTATTCCTAAGTGTGTTACTTTTAGTGGATTTAATAATAATATTGGGAAGGAATAATGACAGATGACAAATGAAAATAACAGAAAAAGTGGGTTTTTCATTTTTTATCCATAGAAGAGTGATTTTTTCATAAAATTCAACAGATGTGTTGATTCCATTTCTTTGTGAAGGTTTGATGAATGAAAGATTTAAATGTATATTAGGCAGTTTTTTTCTGTGGGAAATATTTTCGAACTGGCCGTTGTGAGCATAATTTTGCCTTTATTGTGAGTGTTATGAAGAATAGAAGATTAAGCTTGAATTCGAAAGAATGGAAAATATAGAAACAGTGTGAGCGTGATACTGATGTGTGATGAAATTCCTCGTTAAATTTCAGCAGCATTTGGGGGCGAAAATGCGAAGACCATTTTCTGTAATCGAAGTAAATTTTTTGTTAGCAATGTTGGTTATTGAAGTAAATCATCGAGTGGATGTCTTCATTACCATTATTATTCGAATTCGAGTAAAAAATAAACTGAGTAGAGATATCGGCGGTATCGCGTAAAAGCATAAACAGTTCCCATTAGCTCATTTTATCTAGTATAATTGTTTAACTTTTTATTTTATCATTTTATTAAGGTTGCTTTGCGCTTTTTTTATTTACTTATGTTATAAAATATGGCTCTAGATATAGTTGAACTATATTGTAAGTAATATAGTTACTAATTAAACAGTGGAAGAGAGTAGATTTGCAAATTGTAAAGTTGGACATTATTTCTTCGTATATGGCATTAACTTAATGCAAAATTTTTTTCCAGAATGTCTGTTGTAAATGTTTATGCGACATCTGCAACTACAGAGAATCTCTCTCGCCATGAAATGTTGATGTGGGTGAATGATTGTTTGCAATCGAATTTTTCTCGCTTAGAAGAGATGCATACGGGTGCTGCTTATTGCCAGGTCTCATTTTTTTTTCATAATTGCTACATTATTTATGAATTTAATTTAAATTTGAATATATATTATGTATCGGTTTCCCCTATTTCCCATTTTTCATCAGCTGACTTTTTTTCAAAATTTTTCTTTTAGGTTTAGACAAATCAGATTGTTTCATATGATTTTCAGTTTACTGATTTTCTTTTTCCTGGATCCATACAGTTGCGTCGAGTCAAATGGAATAGCAGGTTAGAATTGGATTGGTTGAGCAACTGGAAGCTGTTGCAAACTGCATGGAAATCTCTTGGTATTGACAAAATTGTACCTGTTGAAAAACTCATCAAGGGGAAATTTCAGGTTATTACTATTTTTTAAAATATGTTAAAATTTTTTCTCCTTTTGAAATATTTCCTAATTAAAAAGGTGCATAAACACTAATTCTTAACTTTCTTCCACACTATTAATTATCAATTCATTACAATTACTTTATGAATTTTAGGATAATTTTGAATTCTTGCAATGGTTCAAGAAATTTTTTGATGCGAATTTTGATGGTCATGAATACAATCCTTTGGAAACACGTGGCGGTGAACCACTTCCTTCAATTGTAAAAACTAATGCCCCCTCTCGCATGCCTGCTGCTAAGGCACTGGGGCATGAGAAGTACTTCTTCTGATAGGTTAAAAATAAATTAGAGTTTTATGCTAATCAAAAATAAGCGTAATAAAAGGATTCCGGTTTTTATGGTAATTACAAATTCGTGCTAATTTTTTCCTTTTTTTTAGAAAATCGCCAACCCATTCAACTAGCAATGTGGCTGGAAATAAATCGGAAGTTAGGAAAGCTGCTCCAGCTCCATCAAAAATAATGGCATCTGTTCCTGTTCGAAATCCCCAGGTTAATGCTGGGCGCACTGTAAATGCTGCAATGGATCAACAGGTTTTTTTTTTATACCTTAGTGTTTAGTTTAATTTTTTGCATACCGATGAATGTTGTCTTTAAAAGTTCTCCATTTTGACGACTACTTTGCCGTGTTTCATTTGAAAAAGGATTATATCTAACATTTTAGCAATTGGAAAAATTTCCATAAGAAGAAAGCTATTTTTTTGCAGTTAATAACTAGTTTGAAAAATGAATTAAAAGATGTTCGTCAGCAGCTTGCAGAAAGTGATGGAGTTATTTTGAGTTTGGAAAAAGTAAGGTTTTTTTAATATTCATAAATATTTTTTACAAATTTGTATGTTGAAAGGCTTTCTCGTATTCTGGCATTAAGAAAGGATTCCCATTCATAGTAAATTGAGGTTTTTTGTCGTTTACGCTTTTATATTTATAGGAAAGAGACTTTTATTTCTCTAAGCTACGCCAAATCGAAATAATCTGCCAAGACAACGAACAAATTGGCAATGTTGACGTATCGAGAGTCTTTGCTGTTTGTTTCATTCTTTTTTTCTCTACATATTTCATATTATGTTGACGAAACATTTCCAGTTATTCCTGAATAAAATATATTACGCGAACTTTATGCGAAATTTTATATTCAATGATCGCAAAGATTGGTCAAAAATTGAATTGCGGCAAAATTTTATGCCTTTCAGGTCTTGTATGAAACGGAAGAAGGCTTCGCACCACCTAATGAAAGCGATGCTGAAAACAACGGCGAGGTTCATTGAAACTATGAATCGGTTGTTCGCCCACTAATAATTTTAGTATTTCATGATGTTTTATTTAAAAAATTCAAATCAGACTTCTTTTTTATTTGTTGCAATTGTATCAATAAATTTAATAAATTTCAAATAAATATTTCTTGTCAGTAAATATTTATTTGAAATATTTTATGCTTTTCATAAATGCGTAAAAAATTTTTTATTTGGTTCTTTTGAATTATAGACTGTTTCAAATTTTTTCATTATCACTTATCGAATTCCATTGATTCTTTTTTTTACTAACTCAATTATTTTTTTGGTTAACCAGATTTGTCTTTCAAAAGGAATATTTTTTTCAGCAAACTGAAGATAAATAGATAAATCATTTTGGCCAGCTATTTTTAGGCTTATCTTACTAAGATGAATTTTTTTATTTCATTTTTCATTGTATTCTATTGTTCATGTTTGCTTATATATGTTGACTTGTTGAAAAAAGCTTCGAGACTAATTTTGTCTTTTTTTTTTCATCATCTAATGTTATTTTGGTTTTTATAATAAATCGTTTTAATGTTTTTTGGGATGAGAAATATTTGTGTTTCGCTGCCTGGTATTTAAAGATTTTGTTGAGTAAGGTTATCTTATTCTATATTTTACCGTTCTTGGGTTTTGCAATTTAGTCACGGTGGAATGACCAACTTTTGAATTGGGTTGTGAGGTTTTTGTAAGAGATGTTGGCGTTTCATTCGCTGTGTTTGTATTTCATCATTAAATATGTATTATTTGTCCAAGGATTCGAACAGTTGAGTTTACAGGCATTACGATGACCAGTTCGATAGCTTCGAACCCATCAACTTTGTTGCCTTTGGAATTAGTAGATAAATGCATTGGGTCCAGGATATGGGTGATAATGAAAGGTTTGTTCGTGTTTCGTTTTGTTTTCCAGATTTCTCTTGATTCTTAATTCTTGAATTCAAATTCTTAAAAGAATCGAAAGAAACGGGGAAATCTTGCTGAAATCTTTGAAAATTGAGAAAAAGATCATTTCCAACCACAGATTGCTTTAACAATATCGTTTTATTCATTGTATTAAAGGCAATAAATTTTCAGAACAGATGAGTAATGGGGTTTTTTAGGTGAAAAGGAGATTGTTGGAACTCTCATGGGATTTGACGATTATGTGAATATGGTATTGGAAGATGTCGTTGAATATGAAAACACGGTAGACGGCAAAAGAGTCACAAAATTGGATACGATCTTGTTAAATGGTAATCATATAACTATGCTTGTGCCCGGTGGGGAAGGTCCAGATGTTTAATGTTTTCGGTGTTGATGAAGTAAAATTTTTTGTTGCTATAGATCTCCTTTTATCTTTTCCATATTTTGCTTTCAACATTACTTGTTATGTATTCATTATTTCTGAGTAGTTTATGTGAACAAATCTTTTTCACTAGGATAATTTGAAAATGCTAAGATTTTTGAGGTCATTTTTTGCTTATTCCTCCTAAATTATTAAACTTTTTTTTGTTAACCTTTTACCTTAAACCTTATAAACCTTTTTTTGTAAGTCTGATTTACTATATTTTGAACTAAAATATTAGCTAAAATATTATTAAATAAAGTGATACTTTATGTGATCATTCTTTGGACTGCAATTAAAGAAATGTCACTGATACTATTTGTGTTGTGGGCTTTTGTAAAATTTAATTTCATTTTTATTTCAATAGCGCATTAATTTTCTACACAACTGGAATTTATTTGAATCGCGCAGCTGATTGAAATAGCCGTAAAATATAAAAGGTTCATTGTTTTACCGTTTTGTTAAGGTTAATATCGTTGTTGTAATTTTGAGCTGTTCGCAAATTGGATTTACATGAGCATAAATTAGGAGATTTTAGTTTGTTTACACACTGAATTGGAATTGCCTTGACCGTATAAAAGCGTCGCAATTGTCTTCCAGCAAATGGGTTTTCATCAGCCACTCTTGTGAATACTTTTAAATCTGTTCGAGTTGGTGGGAAAATTTGAACGTTTCTATTGAGTAATTCGCGGTCACTAAGAGAATTAAGCCTGGAAAATCACGATTGTTGTCGGTCAAATTTATAAGAATTTAAAAAAGCATATTTCAATGTCCATTCTCATGCTACACTCTAAAATTAAAATCAAGTTTTACACAGTTATTTGTTATTCGTTGTGTTATGTTTGATCTTAATATTGGCTCAGTACTTTATAGAGTTGAAAAAAAAACACTTCAGTGCGTCGAAAATTATGAGGCGAAAAGAATTTGATGCACATAGAAAAGATCTTTCTTCCTTATTGATATCATTTTTGGCTTTTGAAAGCAGAAAGATTGGTGATTTAGTTAAGCTAACGGTTTTTTGCTGAACTTTATAGATTAAAGAAGTTTGGCCTAAAAATGAATTATATGAATTATAATATATCAAATGAAGAAAAAAGCAGGCATTACGAATTATTTATGTCCATTATTATGGGATCCAATATTTCTGAGATCGTATTCAAGTAAGATTTATGAACTGATTTATTTCATTTATAAATCCACGATAATCACATTGTTTTCAATTTCACATGTTTTCGGTTTCGTTGCTAATTTTTAAAGATCACTGATCATTCCGTTTAATTAGCGTGCAAATTGTAGTTATTTGCGAGCGTTTTGCGAGTTTTGATTCTTACCATAGTTTCTGGTTCGTGAATTTTTTACGACTGATAAAAAATTTTTTTTTCAAAAACGACAAAATAATTCTATGAAAAAAACAGTGAAATGAAATTTTTTTAAAAATTTACGAAATAATTTTACGAAATCTAGAAAGAGAGCGATTTATGCATTTGATGATATTATGTAATTTTTCATAGAATTATTTCACAAAAAAGATTAGATTGCAATTAATCTTATAGATATTAATTAATCTTAGTCGCTATTCAATTTCCTTTTTTTTTCGCTATCTAACTGATAAATGAAGATCCTTATCATTAAACTCTTAAATTAAATTATTTTTTTTTTTATCCTATCAAAATGCATATTGAAATAAACGTATATAAATCGATTCAAATCGACGCCCATTTAAATATTTATGCAATCCTGAAATTAAAGCGAGAAGCAAATTTGGTATTATATTGAAAATATTTCTTAAAAATATTTCGTTCATTTTCTTTTTAATTTAATCTTTTCAATTGTAGCGTTTTAAAAATATTCGGTAGCACATGGTTTTAATATTAGCATTTTCATAGGTAAAGATTTTTTCGTTAATTTTTTTCAAAAATATTAAAATTCCAAAGAACGACAGATGGAATGACTTATGGCAACGATGGCGTGAAACCTAGCAGTTCGGAAACGTCTTACCTTTGTAGCCAGCGGAGCCAGTATAACCAGCAATGGTGAGAACTTTTAGAGGAAGAAGAAGAAATAAAAAAAAACAAACTTATAAATATATTCTTCTTCATGGTATGCTGATGAAAGCCATAGGATTAAATTGTACGAAAGTAAAGGAACGTTTTTACGATGAGATAGTTTTTATGTTGAGCAAAGGTTAAAGTTGAGTAAAAGTATGTTTCATAGTTTGCTGCGCCTCAACTTATTTCTAAACACATTTATAAGAAATTGAAAACCTTAATAGCTGATGCAAAATTTATGTAACAAATTTTATAAGATTTATAGTATATGAATTATCAAAATATATAATTGTCAAGCACTGAGTTCTGAGTTTCAAGGTGTGAGAAAAGTTCTGAGCCTTTTTAAATTTTTAACGCTTTTTTAATGCTTCTTCAGTTTATTCGTTGATTTTGATGTAAATTAGAAGACTCATAAAACGCGGAAAAATTGTTTCAAAGCTTTGCATCCAGATTTTACATGAATACAGTGTTGTTATCTAATGCTTATTTTTACTTTTACTTCTATGTTAAATAATTTTAATAAATAAAAAATAATATATAATGATAACTTATAACTTGCCAATTATAACTTTGAGATTTTCCGAAACGCTCGGAAAGTTGGGGTTTTGCGATTCAGATTATCACGAGAGAAATTTCAAGGATTTTGAGAATTCTCCCTATAAACATTTTGTAAAAGAAAAAAAAAATTGTATAAACATCTTCGTAAACTTCTTTTCTTGATATGGTTGTGGCTTTGATTCATCTAAAATGCTTGCAATTCTTAAAGTGCGTCTATTCGTAATTACTGAGAGTTTCCTATAAGTCTTCTTTTGTCATATAGTCCTACCTAGATAGTCGCCATTTATTGGAGGATCTCTCTTCATTCGCTTATTTTGTATAAATCGAATTTTCGACCCCTGTTAAAAGTTAGAGGCTCATATTGAGGATTTATGAGACCATTTAATCTGGTACAATTAGCCTTAAAAGAAGAAATCAATAAAAAATTTGATTGGTCATAGTCATTAGTTTTAAAAGCCAAGAGACGGATAAATTACTATAAGTTTATGAAATTACTATAAGTTTATTAGCAAATTCTTTCGACAAATTTCGTTTAGAAAAAAAATCCAACTACTCATTTATCTATTATGAATGCAGGAAAATTGGTTCTTTTCTAGAAATATGAAAAAGAAATAAGGAAAAATTGCAAGGAAAAACCAAGACTTTTGATCCCGGATCACTGAATAATATTAAATTAAATATTTAATCAAAAGCTTCAACAAATTTTTAAGCCACTTTTCAATTCAATTTGTGTTCATCATTTCTCTGTTAAAATGAACAGCGAAGAATTTACGTGAATTGTTTTACAGTATTTCAGTTTCATATAGCATTCGTTGAGCAATATTTAGGTAAACAATTTATGATTTCAATTTTTATCAGTGAATTATAAAAAATTAGAGAATTTAAACTAAAATTGAAAATTTTAAATCGTGTTTATTTTAGTTCAAATGAAATAGTTTAATTTTCAATTTTGAGAAATTTGAATAAAATAAAACAAGCATTTTCCAAAGGAATTCCAATTTATTCACTATATTTGAGCTAATTTTGGTTAATTCAAACTAATACATTGGAAATAAATGAACGATACAATTTTCGCTCAAGATGGTACCAATAATTGATAATAATTGAAATAATTGCTTGCGCCCATCTTCTAGTTTAGTATCGTTTTAGCAAATACGTAATGGCCCAACTATTTCCTAACTTTTTGCTACCAATTTCGCTTGTTTAAAATATTCATTAGGAATTATTTGCCCAGAACGGATTAAATTTGTTGAAAAAATGATTATATCAATTAATAAGTTATAAAATAGCTTTTCATATCATAACTTTTGGTTAATAATTCATTTGTTTGCTGCCATATAAAAATTTTGTTCGTGCTTTCCATTTATTTATTTTTTACTTCTTTCCATTAATCGAAGGATTTCTCTTAATCATTCTATTGATATTAAATTAAAATGGAGTTTTTTGAATAATATAATAATAATACTATTAATTAATGGTAATAAATATAATGGAAACAAATAATAAAAGAGAAAGATTAGACTTAAAAATTTTTTGCAACTTATTTCAAAAATATTGTGAATATTGTGAATAGTAGAAATTTTACCAAGTTTTTGTGATTTGTTAATCATAAATCCGAAAATTAAATCCAAACAATAGAAAAGTTCATTTGCTATGTTTAGTCGAATAAAAATAAAGGGAATGTTTGATTTTTGTATAAAAATTTGAAAATTAAAAAGTATGACATTTAAGGAAGTTACAGCATTTAAGGAAGTTCATTCAATAGCTCATTTAATTAATTAATCTCCAAGATCAAGAATTCCATTAACGATTGAAAGATTATATGGCAATTTGCAATGCAGTGATTTCTTTTTCACTCGTTGTGGATAGTGAGCGTCATTCTCAACCTCGGCTCGTTCACTGGGGATTTAAGAATTTGGTTCTACGCAGTATCTTAGCTGCTCCTAGCAGTAGGATTTTAGATGGAGATCTCTGATATTATCCCTGGGATCTGGAGCTACTGCTTTGGGGTTATAGCTTCCTGTGCGAAGTCATAGTATCAGGTCCACATATAATTTGCAGAGGCTTTCCACATATAATGGCTTGATTTAAGATGCAGGCAGAAACAGCGTGCACTGAACAGCACAGCCAAGTAGCTAGCATTATCTATAAGAATATCAGTACAACATATAGCCCTCCCTAGGTGGTAGATTCCATAGAAAATTGCGCAAAATAATAATCATATGGATCATATAGGTCTTCCTGATTCAGACGAATAAGCAAATACTGACCAACCTACTAGACATTGCATTGACAAGAACCAAAAAATAGCAATAATTGTAGATATAGTAATGCCAAGTGACAGGAGCATCAAAAAGAAGAAGTATAAGCTAGAGAAAAAGAAAGCTGGAGAAATGTCGGGAGATAAAGGAGGAACTAGAGAAGATATGGGATTGCGAAGATCAAAGTAACTGGTCCCAATAGTGGTTGAAGTACTGGTGGGTTATGATCTCCTTTAGAAATGGCTTTAATAGATCGCAGGAATGACACCAACGGTCTCCGTCCAGAAGAATGCACTGCTAGAATAGCTAAGGCGCTGTGAACCCGCAATCTTCCAGGTCTCTGGCAGACGCTCTGAAGTTGAAGAATACTTATACCCACAGGAAGCGAGAAAGGAATTTATTTATAAATGTGTATTTTTTTATTTATTCATTCATTAAAAAATTGAGATCTACATTATTTAAAGATTTTATTTCATGAATGTATATACTAGAAGCAATAATTAATTCAAGCGATTCTCATATAAACAAATGCTTCGAGTTTTAAGTTTAACTCTTACGGTTAATAATATGTCTTTCATCGTTTAATACATAATTAAAAGTAATATAATTAATATTTCCCTCTTATCAATAAAGCCCTTGTACTATAATTTCTGGCTGTCTTGATGAACAATTTGAAAATGCGATATTTTAATTCTTCTATATTGGCAGTTGTTTTGCCTGAACAAACTGAGGTATTTACTATTCATTTTATATATAATTGCCCAGTGTTTATCTTTATTTCATCCAATATATTGTTAACAATTTTCATATTTTTGATAAATTTCATGATCATATTCTGCCAAAATAACATTTTTTAAATCATTGTTCTGATGTTAAGTTCTGATGAAAAACAGTGAATTGAATATTCCGGTTTTTTTCTTTGATTGAATGTTTTTCACTTATATAATCACTTAAATCATATGTAACCAAGGATTATAATAAATGGAATGCCTAATAATACTTAACAATAATAATAAATAAATAAATATTAATAATAAAGTAGTAATAGTAGTAACAATAGTAATAATAATGATAACAACAATATTAATGATAATTATTTATTATCATTAATATTATAATAATACTTATAATAATAATAAATAATAATAATAACAATAATAATATTAATAATAATAATACTAATAATAATGATAATAATAATACTAATAATAAATAATAATAATTAATAATAATCATTGTTAACACTAATAGCAAAAATAATATAAAACAAAAATAGTAATAATTTTCATAATCGTAATTCAATTCTTCAAATCAAATCACCATAATTCATATTAAAAATAACAGATAAATAACCAAGAAAATCTGCTACTGAACCTGTTAAATTATAATATGGTTAATTAAGCACGAATTTTATTAATTAATTATTGGATTATTTATAAAAAATAATACAAAATAATTATTGGCGAATGAAAAGAAATTCAAAAAAAAGATTAAAATAAATGAATTAAAACCGGAAGATTAAATGAATTATTAAATTTAAATTTAAATAAAATTGGATTTTATCTTTAAAAAAAGATGAATAATAACAATAATTTTTCTTGAAACTTTTCGATTTCATAATAATAAAAAATTTTTTTGAAAACGAAAAAAAACGATAAAATTGAGAATTTTTAACCCGAAAATATATCTGTCAAAAATATAATAAAAATAAATCGATCTTTTAAAGTTTTAATTAATCAAAAGCTCGCAAATTTGACACGAGAAAACTTTTCGCACGGTTAATCGCGAACATATCGTTGATATTTTCGTCTACGAAATTTCGTAGACATAGAAATATATATGTAAGTGAATATATATAAAACGCATTTTTGGTCCTCAGTTAAAGCCATTTCAGTTAAGTTTATACGCAATGTTCGCTATCGTCCTTTCTTTACTCGCTTTTATGATCGCTACACATGGCGCGTCATTAAGTCAAAATTCTGATTTGGATGATGCTGCCTCACGTTTCTGTATGTTTTCTAATGATTTTTAATGATTTGCTATTAAATCAACAAGATTAGCGATTTTGCATAATAATACGAAAAGGAATCTAAATTGGCATTGCTGTACAAGTGCAATCATCAAATAGCGAACACATTGTTTACGTCCACGAAATTCCATAGATATAAAAATATTTATGAATATATATATAATCATCGATTGAATGAATTCTTAATTAAGAGAATAAGCCTCGGTGTTTTCTTTCCTGAAAAATCAAGATTTTTTAAAAAAAAATCATCTATTGAGAAATAAATGAATTTTCATTCATAATTTTTTCATTTAATTTTAATTCTTGTATTTTTAGTGGCGCGATACTTGACACAGCTTTATTCAGACCCAGATGGCCAAAATATGCCAATCATTGATGAAGCCAGGTTACTTCTTAGTGAATATTTCTATAGGCCAATTTTCTTTTTATTCATCGTATATTTATCGTAAATCGTCTATTTTTTTACTTCACAAATTTTTACCACAAAATGACACAAATCCTATTATAAACTCCATAAATCAAAAGAAGGCCATTTAACAGGAAATCATTTTAAGCTTCCACAAGTGTTTTCAATATTCAATCAATTGTTATCCTTTTTTTACAAGAAAGATTTTAATATAAGATGCATTATTCAGAAATATATATCTTTATTTCCAGTGATATCTAAATGAAATTTAATCACTTTGGCGAATATAGGTAAAAAACAGTTTACTATTTCAGCCGTACTGATTTTATCGTCTGTAGAAATTACGGGCATTTTTGTCTCACATTATATTCTACTATATTCCTATATATTTATCTTTAAAGAGATAAATTAGAAAAGATTTATAGGATCAAGAGGTTTTTTTTTTAAAGAGTTTTCACCAATATTGGTTAAATTTGCTCCATTAGCTTGCAACATTGGGCAATATGCCACGGAGTCCCTTGACGATAGAAATAGAGGTGAGTCGCCAACATCACCCGGACTTTTGGACAGGTTTACCCCTGCTGGGAACAGAACATTAGCATCGACGTTCCGAATTGAGCAACAAGCCATTAAGCCATCCTATCCCCAATTAAGAAGTCTTAGACTTAATTAAATCGCCTAAGGAGTGCATGACATCAAAAATTCAATAACCTATGCTTTATTGCGATAACGAATCATTTCTTTCAACTGATTATTCTGCTTTTTTTTCCTTCATCAAAATTTATTTCTAAATTAATTTTTTTTATTAAAAGAGTTGTAAACTGAATCGTTTAGAACTCTCGAAAAAAGTTTTTGAAAGAAAAAGAATTCATCATTTGTTATTTACAGATTAAAGAAAAATGGATTAGGTCTACGACCACTTCGATTTGGTTAGATACGAGTTTTGGACATATGATTTATTCATCTCTCATATTAAAAAACTCTAGCCATGAAGGCTAATTTATCAATAATCAGCCTAATCTATCCGTTCAATGATAATTTTATAACCAAAAATCGTTCAAACTTTTATTTTCCATATTCTCATCCATATTACGAATAAAAAATTTTCTTATTATTTGTTTTTAAAGTCTTAATTTATCATTAATCACTGAAAAAATTATCAGTACTTTATACATAAATATTTACATAATCCATCAAAAGCTGGAAAAACATAAGAAGCAATATCTGCTGACTTTGATAAGACAAAAATATTAAAAGCTTATAATTTTTACAGAACTTAAAGGACCTTAGTTCAGCTATTCAATCATAAATTTTGTATGCTAATCATACAGGCGGCAGGATGAGACTATTCCCACGAATTTGAGGACAATCCTTTCGGATATTTAAAAAAGAGTCCGTGGTACTGATAATACAGCTTAAACCTTACATTACAATATACTTTACTACCATTACCTTATTACCGTAATCTACCTCACCTTAATGCCTACAATAGTTTGCCTGATCTCATCTCACAACCTACTAACCTATTCACAAGGTGAAGTAGGTTGCAGAGCAAAGCAACTAGTAGAGTAAGATAGAACATGGTAATAAATTAGATCATGGTGAAAAAGAAGGTTGAGAGGTGAGATAAGGAAGGCAAAAATAGATTGTAAGGATTTCAAATATTAAAGTGGGCGTCGAATAACATAATGCTCGTTGCTCAGTTTGGAGCACCTATACTGAGGTTCTATTCCTCGTTGGGATAAACCTGTTGAAATATTCGAGTGATGCTGGCGACTCACATCTACTTCCAACGACTATCATTGACCTATGCCTAGGATAAATTCCTGACTTAATTCTAAGCCTTGGCCAGAGGATTGGCCGAGCGAAACCTTTGGCTAAGCCTCGGATACTGAGCGTAGAACTTGGCCTGAGCCTCGGTCGAAGTCTGGTTCCAATCGTACAATCCTCGGACTAAACGTTGGCATTCGCCTAAGTCTCCGTGTAAACATTGGGCTAATCCCAAACATAGGCTGAAGCGAAAGCCTAAACACACGCCTAAGGGCAAGTCCAAGCTCCTTCCAAGGCCTAAAATTTTAAAACTTTACAAAGCAATTTGAAAAATGTAAGGCACAAAGCATGCTCGGTTCTTGCTCTCCACATTATCCTTAACTCGAACTCTGAAACGATGGTCGAATAGCTTAGTGGTTGTTACTATATTTGAAGCGCCCATGCTGAGGTTCTATTCCCCATTGGGAAAAACTTGTTGAAAAATTCGATGATGCTGGCTATTTAAGTAAATTTCCATCCTTAATGGACTACTTGGAATATTCGTTCAATATAGCTAGCCAGCGAAGCGAGCTTAACTATAAATGGTGTGGGTTTATGAAAAAGAGAATATTATAGAGATACGGGAAAAATTGGGGTTCTTGCATTCTTGCAAGGTGCACTAATCATCAGTGAATGCTGCTGTGATATAATCGAAACCATTGCTTAATCATATTTAATCTTAATAAGAATAAATCTCAAATGTAAAAGAGGATATCGAATGGCTTAAGTGTTTGTTGTTCAGATTGGAGAGCCTATGCTGAGGTTCTATTCCCCATTGGGAAAAACTTGTTGAAAAATTCGACGATGCTGGCTATTTAAGGGCTCGAGCTCGGACATGGTCTTTTGCTTGCGTTTCACCTGGGCCAGGTATTGGGATCAAGCCAATGTTTAGACCGAGACTTAGGCGAAGGCTAACGTTTAATCTGAGGATTGCCCAAGGTTTCTGCTTTGGCCAAGGCCTAGAATTAATCAAGGAACTAATCCTAGGCATAGGCCAGTGATTATGCGGCTTGGCCAAGGATTTGGCCATGGCCAAGTCTTTGGCCAAGGCTTGGAATTAAGCCAGGTACTAGTCCTAGGCATATGCCTATGATTCTGAGGCTTGGCCAAGGATTTGGCTTCGGCAGAGTGTTTGGCGAAGGCTTAGGATTGGACCAGGACTTATTCATAGGCATCGGCATAGCTCAACGCTCATTTCGAGGCATTGCCAAGGATTTGGCTTCTGCCAAGATTTAGAGCAAGGCATTTTCTTTACTTTAGACGGATTGAATCATCAGAATGGAGGATACTGGCCTAAGGGAATGTGAGTTTGGACAAGATTTTTCATAAAATAAAAATATGATTGATAAAAAAAATCAATAAAATATAAATGATTAGAGGGAATATCCGAGAAAGCAATGGTTTCGCATATAGGACAATAGTTTTCACTGTACATTCTAACGAAAAATGGATGAAACCCAATTTTTCCTATATCTCCATTCTCTTTTTCATGAATCCACACCTGCGTCGAGAATTTTCGAAATTATTCACTTTCGAAATATTTTATTAATTCTCGTTTGTGCTTTAACATCGGCACACCAACCTCCCTTAATAATAGGAAACCACTCACCAAAATGTGCAAACTTCATTATTGAAAAAATTTGTTATATTTTTTAATATATTGCCATTCGCCATTCAACCATTATATATTTCATTATATATATTATATATTATATCTTTTATATTTATATATAAAAACACTGCGTATGCATTGCGAAATTCTCTATCAAATGCAATTTTGAAGTTTTTTAATACCAATGAAATAATGAATGATTTAACCAGACGATTAATATGTAGTGTAGTGCAGCTGCAACTGCAGCAGCAGCAACAGTTGAAATGAGCCTATCGATATGGCGGTTATTTTAAATGGTCTAACGTGGGAATAATTGTGATAAA